GCGTTTGCGATCCACGGTACAGAGCTCGGCTTCTCTCCGCCCCGGACGGACGTCTCGATCTGTGTTCATGCGCTGCGCTGCGGCGAATGGCGGCGGCGGCGGTCGGTCGGTCGGGGGGTCGGTACGGCACGTCCTTTTTTGTTTCTGTAGTAGGATACGTAGTGTACGGTACAGCACGTAAGCCATGGCCGTAACAAGCCAGCCTGCTACAAGCGTGTAGTCAGTCGACTTGTCTCACTCTCTCTCTCTCTTGTCTGTGTCTGTGTTTTCTCCACAAGCACAAGCACAGGTGGAGAACGAGAACGAGGACTAGAGGAAAACACTTTTCATCCATCTGTCATTCCATGCATGGACAAGCACGTTCTAGTGCGAGGGCCGTGATGACTAGAGCTTCAGCAGCTGTTCATGACTTCATCGTCTATGGTACCAGACCAAACGCGCGCGCGCATACACACACACACACACACAGCGTGGAATAGCATTTCGCAATCGCTTTCGGTGCGGGTAAAGGCCGGCCCGTGGTGTGGCTCCAACCAAACTACTGCAAGTGCAAGATGGGGATGATGGGAAGGTAGTGGGAGGAGGCTGAGGAATGGATATGCAGGGCAAGGGCGGCGCTCGCTGTGTGAAAGCAAACACTAAAAAGGCCGTCAACGTAGTGAGTGGTTTGTTGGCGGGCTCGGGCTCGGTCTGGTTAGTGTACCAAGGTTACTGCTGTGTGTGGTGGTTTTCTTCTTGGTTCTCTTGCGAAATTTTTGCTTCTGCTTCTGCGCTGAGAGGTTAAGTCAGGCTGGACCCTTTTGGGGATCTTTGGTCTGCCGTCTGTGTTGACGTTGGGGCACTGGGTGTTCTGTTGTGCCTTTTTTTTCTTGCCCCATGCGGGAGTCACGTTGGAGTAAGGAGAGGTTCCAGAACGATTCCGTGTTCGTCTGCTGATGCTCGTTCTTTCTCGCGACCATAGACCCGAGTCGCCTGCTTTGCCGCAGTCGGGTATCTGTGACAATGCTATCGATTTCCTCATTGCCCAGCCGGCCAAGTTGACGGCTATGGCTATGGAGGGACTCTCGGTGGTACTTTGTTGCTATTCTCGTTCTCCAAGATTCAACCTGCTATTCAAACATTGCTGATAAAACGATTCGTGTCACAGGCGGTCTTTTGGCAGCTGGCTTGGCTGCGCTGGGAAGTATCTCCGTCATCGATGGTAGTAGCTATCCGATGCAGGGGTGGGTAGTAGGCGGAACTAGCCGAATATCGGTTCCTCTCTCAAATATTACCTAGTGTACCATTGATCGTTGGGCAATCTGCCTCGCCAGCGCTCCCACTCCCGCGCGATAGAATCTCATGGGTACGTGCGCTTCTTGGCTGACGTGAGCTAGTCGCTGCTCAATACTATCATCGATTAAAGCTCCTAGGTTCATCGTTGTCGCGCTGTTTATTGGCAACTTAGTCGTATAATACGATTCATTTCTTCACCCGCCCGAATCCGTTCCACATGTATATCATGGCGTCTTATTACAACGGTAAACGGGAAGGTGCCTAAGGGCTCGTGCTCGCGCCCTCTTCTGAGCCGCAACACATCGAGGATACCGGATACCAAGGCTTTTGATCCTTTTTCTCGCTTCCTGGACAATCCATCCCTCGGACTACCTGCACATATGCCCAAAGTCCGATGTTCGGACTTTGGAAAAAAAATGCTCAAAGGCTTTGCCCGCGGAGAATCAACCGCGTCATTATCAAGGGACAGACGGGGCGGAAGCTGAATAATGATGATGGGCCTCTTACTATATTTTTTTTGACTGGCGCGTTGCAAGGATTCGGCCGATAAGTCGCCAGTTTGAGAACTGAGTCAAAACCCCTGGGGACAGTTTCCACACCCTTGACCCTGTCTGGAGCCTGATTCCCCTTCCCTTCCCTTGCCTTCCACACCCCCCCTCTTCCCTGACTCCAAGGTGTGTGCATAGGGGTACCGCTACCGGGGGTTTTTTTTGTTTCCCCTCTTTTCGGTCGCGGACAGGTTTCGGAAGGAAGGAACTATCCGGAGTATGTAGGTAAGACGTTTAGCTGAACCTTGGCTGACCCGCAACGACAGCAATTATCGACTGGGATCATTACCATTATACCCACCGGAGTCGAAAAGCGCTGGCGCGAAACCTTAACAGAGCAAGGAAAACCCAAGGCAACCATTGATCACACGAGTCGACGTTTCTTGTCACATCACCACACTGTCAGCTTTCGTAATTAGCGGCGGGGAGACCAAGGCAAGCAAGTCAGGCAGACAGGCAGGCACACATTCGTTTGTGGTCCCCACAGTTTACTGTGCGGTTGCCCGGCAAAAGGAATACCCCCCTGGACCCATTTCTTCCGCGACGAGTTGCGTGTCTCCATGTTCCGCCTCGCTCGCCGCTCTCCACCTGCAGGACGGGGAGTGGCACAGAGCAAGCAGACAAAAAAAATAACAAAAAGGCACCTGTCGTAACCGACAGTCGTCGAATACGTGCCACGTAACCACCTACATACGACTTGCAGCCCCAACCAACTTTTCCCCCGCGCGCAAGCCCGTGTTAATCCGCTGTCTTCCATCACATCCCATCACATCCATCACACAAGGAGGGGACCGCCCGGCTGGCTGGCTGGCCAGAACCGGTGAAAAATAATCTTCGTCATCCACGCATATGTACATACATACACACACGCACATATGAACAGGTGTCTGTGTCAGAATGACCACCACGCCACGCCACGTCCTCTTTCCCAATACACTCTGGTCTCAATACTATACTATACACAGTCATGGCCACGTCCATCCATGCACATCTTTCTCCTCTTTCTGTCTCTTTCTCTGTCAATCTTCAATTCCCACTAACGCCCGCTTTCTCAGCGAGAAAAAAAAAGAAAAACTATGCCGTAACCGCGCGTGATGAAAGACCAACCAACTACGACACAGCAGTCAGCGCCTAACAACTATGTACATACGTACAGCATTCATCATCATGATTCATCCACTCATCCACTCATCCCATGTCGCCATGCTTGTGTTTGCCTCACTTCACATACATATGCCCAGCTTACCTTACCTTACCGCAACATGCCCAAACCAGCGGTGTGAAAAGAAGACTTGCTGCGGCGGCGGCGCGAGCCCTGTCTCCGTTCCTTCCCATCCTTCCCCCTCCCCTACCCTACCCTACCCTACCCACGCCCCAGTCTAACCCCATACACCACATCCCCCATCTAGCGTACCGTACCGCACCGGTACACACATCTTACGCCCCCCCCCTACAGTCTTACAAGACAAATCGGGTCTAGCGCCCAACACGAGCCGGAGTCCATGTCCGTGGTGTAGGGATCCGGGATCCTCGCCGGACCGCAATGTGAGGTTTGATTGTAATTGCGACGTGGGGCGCGCGTCTGGCGGGTCGTCGGCGGAAGGTGCTACTTTGGGGTTTGGGGTCGGGGTCGGGGGCGGGGGTTATTGTGTGTGTCGTGTTGTGGAGGCGATGTGTTGGGCGTTTGTGTTGGTGATGGGATGCCTGAGGTCGCTTACAGTAGGGTGCGGCGGTTAGATGAGGGGACGGTGGACGGTGGATGGTGGATGGGTACATGTGGAGGGCGATGTTATCTGTCACATTGCGTTGGGCATGGGTGTGTGGTATTTTTTGCGGTGGGGGTGTTGTATGTATGTTGTAGTCTAGGTTGGGCCTGTGTATAGTGAAAGCTGTCGTGATTGAGATTGATGATGTTTGTGTCAGGGAATCGACTCTGAGATGTTGGGGCTGATGTGGCATTGTTTCGTTGGTTAGTTAGCATGTGATGCTCTGCAAATCCCATTGTTGTTCGCTGCTGATTCTTAGCAGTGGGGGGGTGGGGTTTCATCTTGGTGTACTTATATCAAGCTTTTACTTGGTTAATTATGAGAAGAGAGACTAGAAGACTTTCCACACGCCATGTACAGTGTCATACGCGCGTACAAATACTACTCTAGTACAAACCCAAAAGTATCAACATGACAATGCCTCATTGATTCCTGGCCAAATCTTGCCGTGTTTCTGATCCCATGAACATGATACTCCTACCAACGTCCTTTGATTTTCTCTTGAACTTGTCCCTTTTTCTTTCCACAGTCGCGACGGCTGATGCCGCGGGGGCTGCAGGTGCAGGAACTGGTGCTGGTTGCAGTGACATGATCTTCGTACCAACCTCCTTCACCTTTCTCTTGAATCTGTCCCTCTTCCTTTCAACGATCACGGCAGCAGGTGCAGGTCCGCTGGGAAGAGGTTGATACGCACCTGGCCTCAACCTCGCCCTCAACCTGTCCCATCTTCCTGCTGGGGCCGGTCCCGGTACTGTAGTAGCAGTAGCCGCGATGCCGGCCAACCGGATTCTCTCCTGAGCTTCCTCGGCGGCACGTCTTGCCTGGGCAGCACGCCTTGCGTCAGCGATGATTCTCATGTTCTCTCTGTCAATCTACTCGTCCGATCGATAATGGGAAACATCGTGGCCGCCTCGTAGTGCGCTGGCGGGAGCGGTGACGGAGTCGACTCGTTTGAGAGGGTGTTTGAGGGCGAGATTGATTTCTGCGTTCTTCTGCCGCTGCAATAATAGCTTGTGTATGCGCTGCCTCCTTGGCGTCATGGCTGGCTTGGTTACATGCAAGTGACTCCGGTTGACGTTTACCTGCTGAGGGCGTACGCACGCTGGACCTCCGGTTTTATCGTCGAGTGAGGGTCTGGGGTTGGAAGTATCGTTCCAATCCTCCACGGTAATCTCTGGTATTATACTGTGCATGCTGGGTGTGCTGTCTGAGTCGTATGCAGAGTCATCGGAATCGTCTTCTTTGGGCATCTCGAATATGGGCTCTAGAAATCCAAATACGTCCAGCTCTGGCTCACATCTTGCAAAGCCATTCAGAACCAACGGTCTGTGTGGGCTGCGTGGAGGAGGTTCGAGGTAACTTGACGAATTGTCTCGAGGGTTCTCCTTCCTGAGCTTCTTTGAGAAATTGGGAGCCTCCTGTGGTTGTGGGGGCGCATTATCCGGATCCGGATCGTCCGCTGGGGGTGTGTCTGTGCCATCAGGCTGAGGCCGTGTGCCATCTTCCTGTATCTGTTCTTCTACAAGTATATCTCTCTGGTATTGTTTCCAGGCGTACTTCTTGCGAATCCAATACTTCCTGAACTGGCGTTTGAATCTCTCCATGGATCCTTTCGGTACTCTCGGCGCTTTGCGAAGCGTAGGAACTTCATATCCGGTAGTTCCTCGTGGTGCGGGAGCGGGGGGCTCTACCGCTCTTCTGGCCCAATACAAGTGACTCTTTCGGGTTCGGGCGCTGTGTACTGAGGAATGCCAATGCTTCTCCGGGACAGGAAGGATGTTTACAATTGGAAGATGGATATACGGAATGGTCTGATCTTGACACTTCTCCACGGGCATTGGGTATCGATGTGGAAGGGCGTAGAGCCATTTCGAGATGGGCTTGTCTACGGTATGTCATTATATAGATCGCAACAACAAGGGAGAAATTGTACTTACCTACAGGGACAGCGAACCGATCGAACTGGTTGCGTGGTCGAGGGGGCGGTACGATTAAAGGAGCTGCCGATTGAGCTGGCGAGGGACCGTCGACTCTTTGTTGTCCCTGTTGTGCAGTGGCGGGGGAAGATGATGGACCCGCCGTCGGCGTATTCTCGCGAGTATCACGATTTTCAGACGACGAGTCTTTGTATAGATGAGTGTAATCCCCGGAGAAGTTCGACCACCGGTTTGAGACTATGTCAACTGCAGACTTTCGAGGACTGCTGCGACCAGTCGAGGTAATATTGCCGCTCGCTTGCTTCTCAGAACCTTGTGTTTCGTGCTCTGGTAATGGAGATACAGACTGTGTTTTAGATGACGCCAGGTGAGACTTTGGCTTGATCCGTGCAACGAGGTGTCTAGTGGCACTGTAAGCTATTAAACTCCATTACAGAGGACGGGAAGCTTACACTGGCTTTTTTATGTAGTTAAAATACGTGTCGCGACCAGGAGCCACACTCGGTTGTATGAGATTCTGTTGTACAGATTGCTCTTCCGTGTCGTGCTCCCAGTCTGCTATGGGCGACAGCACGAATGCGGGGGAATCTTGATGATCGTCCGTAGGGCGACCCTTCGGCGCTATAGTAGTACGTGGCTCTGATTGCTTCAAACGTTTGTTCAACGTCCTCTGGTCCGACGTATTGGTCGCTTCCAAAGGTTCGGGACTCTCAGTTATGCGTGTAAAGTCGGCCCAGATTGGCGGCTAGCCAGCACAAAGGTCTTTGACTTCTGAAGTAACGACGTCTCGCGAAAGGACCGATGGTGATTTAACGAGTGATGAATCCACATGAAGAAAACACTTGTATGAACATGTGTCCTGCATCTTGATTTGTTCCGGGTCTGTTGTTGCAGTTTTATGTATGAGTGATTGATACGGTAACGATAGACGGGAAGTGTCTGTTTGGTAACACACGAAGGACAAAAAGATTATTGTGAAAGTGGGCTGTTGTGTATGTGAGTAAGAAGAGAGACGGTTGTGGGTGGCACGAAGATAAAGTTGTACATAAAGCTCAGTTGATCCTGCATTATTTGCAAGCCGGATCAAGGCGGCACTTCCTTCCCATCCCAATCCCAGCACTTGCCTCGGCCCTCGATTCCCACTTGCTTAATCACGTCGATGAGTCGTTCCGCAACCCAGTCGCGCTCAAACAGCTTCTCTTTCTTGACGTTGCTCCAGAAGTCCTTGCTCAGTCCCGTCTTGACCGTGCCCGGGTGCAAGGCAACTGCCATCGCATTGTTGGTAGAAGCAGTCCGGAGATGGTTATCAAAGGTCTTGACTACCTGGTTAACACCTGCTTTGGATGCGCGATAGCTGTACCACCCTCCAAGGCGATTGTCGCTGATGCTGCCAACGCGAGCGGACATGATGACTATAGTAGCCGCGTCCGGCAGACCTTCCATATCATCCTGGTCCTTGCTAACCGCCGATGTCTTCTTTGGGAAGAAAGACGAGAAATGCTTCAGCATTAACATTGGGCCTAATGTGTTGGTGCGAAACGTCAACAACGCGTCGTCGGCATTGATTTGAGCTGGCGACTTTTCCGGGAAAAGTATCCCAGGCACCATCAAAGCAAGCTGAAGTTGACTTGAGCCATCGCTAAACTTTTCCTTACACGCAGCTGCGGCATCTGCAATGCTCGCTTCATCTAGGATACAATCAGTCGCGCGGCACGTCGTCTTGTCTGTTCACCACCTACCCAAAACGTCAAGTTTCAGCACCGTCAGTCGCCCCTCGTCTACCCCTAGACCATCAAGTAGCTCCTCCTTGGTTCTGTCAAGATCCTTGCGTGCTGTTGCGATGACGGGCGTATGTGTAGTTTGCAAAACTCGTCTTGCGAGCGCGAAGCCAATGCCTCGCGAGGCTGGCGAGATCAACGACCAAGGTGGCATTGTTGTTTGTTTAGCAGACAAACAGAAGCCATGATACGTGTACAGCTCTACTGTTGACAAACTCGCAAATAGTGGTTCAGACGCGATCGATGATGACATACTTGCTCTGTAGATCGGCTAGCAGGATATGGGTTAGAAGATGCGGTTTGGGGTTAGCCTCCATTTCTTAGTGCATTTCGTAGCCAGCACCTACGTGTTGACCTAAGCAGTCATCGCGCGTTGTCTTCATGAACCATAGTATTAATCTTGATTCGAATTGAACCCCATTCACATGTTCAATGAGATTATGGTGCGCGGTGTTTGCAGACTTTTTTTCCCTCGCATCAATAAATTCCAGACTTTGTCAAGATGAGATATCTTTCTGATGAGTCCTGCATATTCATGCCTAGAGGGGTATACAACATATTCCATTCAGTATAGGCGGTTACATAATTGAGAACAACACGCAACGAATAGGAGATAGCATGTCACATGGGTAGTGGTCTTTACTTGGATTCTCATTGTTTTCATCCAACCTCAAAGATACGAGCAGTCATTATTTCCATCACCAATTCCGCATCCCTCTTCTCAAGAATCTACTCAACAATACCAAAACAACCCCTCAAGGTCTACAAGAGCCAACCTTTGAGAATCAACATCACAACTTCGAAGTTCCCCTGCCTATCTGACTCCGTATCCACGGCTCATACTTTGCCCGCGTCTCCTCATCCCCATAGATATCAATATCAAACCCATCATCTTCGTACTTCCTCTCTTGCACCACATCAACCTCTTCCTGCACGGCCACCGTCTCCTGCACCATCTCTATCTCTTCCACCGGACCACCAGCCTCCTGCCAATCACGACGAATATAACGCCCAGTATCTTGAAGTCCCAAGCCCTCCATCTCCCGATGGACATCCTTGACCCATTCTGGAAACGACAGGGCCTTGGGACACTGAGCGCGGCGTAGGTGACGGTACACGAAAGCCGAGTTGTCGCGGGTCGTGCTATCAGTTTCTCTGCCTAGAGCTTGCCATGCGCGCGTGTCGTCCAGTGGCGGGTAGTTTGCTGCATTTTCTTCTGCCGTGGCTAGTTTTCTTAGTTCTTTGGCTCTCCTGGAAGTGCGAGAACGAGAGTTTCGAGGCTGGGGCACGGAAGGCACGTCTGCGAGGCGCGGAGGGGCCGAATGATGCGTACTAAGTGGTCCTGCGGTCGCAGTCGTGTGCTCGTATTGAGTCCTTGTGGAATATCCTGCGCGGGGGGTTCGGTTGTCACGTCGCCCTCCGTTTGATCCTGTGATCCTGTGTGGTGATTTAGATCTATGCCCTTCACGTTGTCGGCAGTCAGCGTGTGCTCTAGTCTGCTTTTTTTTCCTCTTCGTACTTGACATGGGTCGAGTCTGTTCAGCCTGACCTCGAATCTTGAACTCGCCGTCTTCGCCTCTAGGTGGTCCTCTAGCATGTTGATGTCCGTAGCGCATGTCGTCGGCCATTTAAGCTTTTGTTGTTGTTATTATTCTGTTGAAACGTGGAAACGATGTAATGGCTACGATGAGTTAAGTGTAAGTTAGTCTGCGGAGTGAGTAGGCTGCATGGGAGAAATATGGGAATTATACTACTCTTAAATGGCGACAAGTGCTCAAAGTGTTCTCAAAGTGCTCTAGGCAGCTCATAGCGAGTTGGAAAGCGTGACCCGGCTGGAGAAGGGACCCACGGCTAGCTTCTGGTAGCAGTCTCCAGGCAACCAGTGAATGACGTTGCAACGACACTACAACCATCTAACCACACGAATTAGTAACGTAGAGGTACGTCAGAGCCAATGCTGAGAGGATGAACAATGTTGGGAATTAAACCAAGGCGGCGAGGTTGACTGGCAATGTTGTTGGATATGAATCTGATGTAATGCACGTGCGCAGTGTGCTCACAACCAAAACAAGAACGGTAGCGATCGATTGGCTGCAACGCTAGCTAGCGTAAGCGGAGAGAGCAAGCCACGTGGGAATAAGTCTACCTAGGAAGAAAGCGACTGACTCCCAAAGACACATTCCTAGATGAGTCACAAAAGTCAAAGCTTCATCGCGCATGAGTTGAGCAGTTTCCTTGGTACTGCATACGCAACTAGCAGCAGCCCAGGTAGCTACCCATCAGTCCTCGGTCTTAAACAACAACATCACTAGAATCCAGACACCACAATGTACACTTTCCGCGTGTTATTCGTAGACTTCAATGAGCCCATGAGGCTGGGTGAGCCATACATGATTAGAAATAATCTACATCCATGCTCGTCAACACCATCTATCCATCGTGGGGAGAACTACCATTCCCCCCCAATACCAGCAAGACAAGCTTCAGAAGAGAGAGTTGCAAGCTTTACATTGCAAAAAGAAGACGAGATAGGACGCCGTGATATCCAATAGGTAGTAGGGTAACAGAAGAAAAGAAAACGTGGTGAAGTGCTGACAAGGTCGGATTGTCAGTGCACTGTGAAACGTAATGACGACTAAGAGAATACGATGGGTTATGTACAAAGAGTCATAAAGGCTTGTAAAGAGGAAAGAGGTATCAATATGCAATAGCTGTCCGCTCCACTAGTCACAAGACATACTACCGGGGAGGACTCCGTGGACTTCGTGGGGGGCTTTTGGGGATCGCAGGGACATCAGGTACATCCTCCTGGTCTTGCCTGAGATGCTCTGGCGCCTCGTCGCGCGTTATGGTTGCTCTCCGTATCGCATTTCGTAACCGGCTCATGACTGCTGGCTGTGTGTTTGGAGGCCCCCCTTGGTAGCTAGTGCGATGACCTTGGAAGCTGTTACGACTATGCGACGACTCCAGACGCGTCAACATAGCCGCCGAAGTAAAGTCATTGCTTTGCTCAAAACTAGGACGCACGCGATCCATCGACATGCGCGCGCGATCAAAGCTCGGTCGTACACGACGATCAGTCGAGTTCGTCTGGACGAGTGGAGGGGCTTCCGCATGGGGTGCGGGTGCGGGTGCGGCTGGGAAGCCATCCATAGAATGACGGAAGGTATAGTCGGTGCTACCGCTACCGTTTTGGCTTCTTGCGTTATGCGTCGTGGCGGTTGGGGCAACAGAGGGCGGGTAGATGGGCCGTACATCTTCGTCCGCATTAGTAGCATTGGCAGCTTTGTACTTCGCGGCGTCGACTTCCGGAGTGGGAGAATTCGAAGCCTCAGTAACCTTCTCTGGTGGGGGAGGAAGAAAGGCGTCGGTCTGCTTCAGGTAGTCAAACTTGCCTTGCTTGACTTGCTCTCGAATGATGTCCGCGTCAAGGGGGAAGTACATTTTCTGCACCGACTTGAAGATGAAGCGTGGTAGTAAACAGGCTATTGTAGCGCAAAGAACATATGCCCAAAAGTTGAGCGTACCGTAAACCTCGGCACCGGATTTGTAGAATTGGGCAGAAGTGGTGAAAGACGTGAAAATGCCGGTCCACATCCAGACGAAGATGGTACTGACGATGACGATAGTAACCATCAGCCAATCCCATCGGTATGTGTTGTACAGGACGTAGATGTTGGCAGCACATACGGCGGTAGTAGCAGCGTAGATGCCCATGCGTCGGTATTCCGAAATGTCCAGTCCGTTAGAGGTAACAAAGGTCGCCGGCGCCATGATTTCGTAAAGGAAGAAAAAGGCGACAGCGGATTGGTAGATACCATCAATCATGTAGGCCCTGGATACGTGTTAGAATATAGTCATGCTGTTCTCGCGCAATTTGCTTACCAGAACTTTGGCTGCGTCCACTCCTTTCGTTCGATACCACGGCGGTACAGCTGCGGTACAGCCAACGACACTCGATCATCGACATCTTGATCAAGAACACCCATGACAATAACAGGGAGTGAAGTAAACGCCAAGTTGAAGAAGATAATGTACGTGTAGTCGAAGATATACTGGCTGTCGAAGTTGGTGTAAATCTGGTACCAGAAGAGGGCAAACGTCCAAACGATGTTCTAAGTGAATGTTAGTGAGAATGTCTTACTTCGTAGGAGATGACCGACCTTGTAGAAGAAATTGGCAATGGTCTCCGCAAGTCTACGGTAGGACCATCGGCCATGCACAAGCACGAGACGAGTGAGGTAGCGGAATTGACCAATTGCGTAATCTGACGACATGACGGCGGCCCGGCCCTCGACACCAGCGATACCGACACCAACGTGCGCCTCTTGGATCATGGCAACATCATTCGCACCGTCTCCGATGGCAAGAGTAAGGCAGTCCAATCCGGTCTTGACCATGTTGACGACGGCTGCCTTCTGGCTGGGACTGACTCTGCAGCAAAGAACGGAACGGCATCGTCTGCAGAGCAAGAGGAACTTCCTTCTCACTGAATCATCCAAGGCCAACTTAAGAGTATCTCCGTCGATGATGATAGCGTGTGTCGGTGGAGGTGGTTCGTGGTCATGTTGAGCAGCGGCCAACTCTTCTTCGGAGCCGGTCAGACCGAAAATTTGCAGCTTGTCGTCGATCTGGGCTTCTACGGATGCGATATTGTCGTCAGTCACCTTGAGAATGATGAGATCCATGTCGTTGTCGAGCAGGTTGCAAGAGAAACCGATGTTGATGGCAGTCTCGACTTTGTCGCCAGTCAGAACCCATAGCTTGATACCTGCCTGGGCAAGGAGTGAAATGGATTCCGGTACACCATCCTGGAGTCTGTCTTCAATGGCCGTTCCTCCAATCAGCCACAGGTGATTTTCGATACGGTCAGATACTTCTTCCAATTTGTCTTCACGTCCCTGAATAGCGTTGGCGGCGATATCGTAGTCCCGGCTCCATTCTTGGTACTCTTCTTCCGAGATTTCCCTTTGAGCAATGCACAAGGTTCGGAGTCCTTCACGGGCGAACATTTCCAAGTGTTCACCGGTATCGGCACGGAGCTGGCGTTGCTCGTTAGGAATAAGCCTAGAATAAATCATACTGTCGGCACCCTTGCAGTACAGAACAATGCGGTTGTCGGGCATCCTGATGATGGCGCTCATGCGCTTTCTGCTAGAGTTGAACTCGAGAGTGTTGAGCACCTGGTATCTACGTTCCTGTCCCAAGACGTTGACGATAAGATGGTCATCTTCACGGCCCACAAATGTGAAACCGACGTCACGAGCAGTAGCGACCAGCGCAGCCTCATCAGGCGATTGGGCCTTGAACTCGATCTTCGGAGGGTCACCAGGGGTCCGTTCGGTGACGACGGTGTGGCAGAGGGCGAGAGCGACCATGAAGTCCTCATTGGCCTTTTTCTGCTCCATTCCGGAATCTCCACGCAAGTCATCGACATAGTCCGGAGCCACAAATGTCAGATCATCGTCCCAAAGGTAAGGATTGTTGTGCATCTTCCGGATCCCTTCGAGCATTCGCACGCGGTCGCGTGCGATTTGCTCCCGCGCTTTGGCACCTTCAACCTCTACGTTGACACCGAGTCTTCGCTGCATACCGGCTTGAGCTTCTGTGTACGCTTCACCGTATGGAACGCCGTTGATAGTCGCCTTCTTGAACTCCATGACGTTCTGAGTGAGTGTTCCCGTCTTGTCCGAGAAGATGTATTCAATCTGGCCGACATCGTCGGAAATGTTCCAAGACTTGGGCGTACAAGGATAATCGAGCTTGGCGTAGTACATGTGAATGTCGCTATAGATGAACAGGGCTTGCAGCGTACGGATGATTTCCAGGGTGATGTAGAGCGAAATGGGAACCAAATTCTGGAAGAGAATAACACCAGCCCAGAAAGCAATGACACCGTCGGTAGCAGGTGCACCACCATATGATCCATACTCGAAAATGGAATGCGATGTATCGTCTCGGGCCCAAGTAATTCCCAGCACAATTCCAGAGACCAGACACATGGCGGCCAGGATAAAGAAGTTGTAGACGACGTTCCAGTTCAGTTCCTTTGAAATTCTGGCGCGCTTGCTGGGAGTGATGCCGGAATTGATCATAATTTTGGTCTCGTCTCCGGTAAATACAACTACGCCGAGGATCCATTCGGTGTTTCGCAACTGACAGCCTCGAAGAATCAAGTTGTTGATGGAGATGGGCTCGACCATTTCGTAGGGCTCCGCTGTGGGATCCTTGGGGTTGTGCTGCTGCCATCTGATGGCTGCGCTATACGAGTACAGATTCGAGTGGGCGCCTTCGCTTTCAATGACGAATTCAGCCCGTTCGCAATGTCGGGCATGGCGCACGTCTCGGGTACAATGCAATGCGTTGCGCACCTTGAGGTTCGTTTCGCCATCGAGATTCTTCGTTTCCACGTAGCAGGCGCCATCGTCGGAAGACGTAGAGAGAACAATGACGTCGGCGGGGATCTCCTCGTCATTGTACAATCGCACGAAATCGCCGACCTGAACGTTCTTCCATGCGTCCTTTTTGAAACGGGCCTTTTCCGGTGCCGAGCTGTGGGGGTTCAACACGCTTCCCCAGAACTTCTGTTTCACGGGTTCCTGCTTATGGTCGCCTCCTCGAACCTTGTCGCCCTCTCCGGGACCCAATGGTAGGCGTGGGGATTGAGCCGGGGATGTGCCCGGTAGCGGAGAAGGAACAGGAGTCATTTGGATATCGTTCTCGTTTCCCAGGTACGAGCCTCCTTGGGATGCCACCGAGGCTCGGCGCGTGTCGAATGAGGGCCGCGAGCCATCGGGATCCTGGCCATTCCCCCCTTTGCCCTTGCCACCTTTCTTGCCCTTTGCGCTCTTGATTGCCCGCCATGTCGTGACTATGACTTTTGTGGTAGCCTTCTTGATCTTGCGCCATAGTGATACGGTGTCTTCGGCAGTGTTTACGTTGTTAAAGTCGACAAGCCTGTGCACTGGGGCATTGTTTAGCTCAACGTCGAGGACCGTTCTCCGCCAGTCTTCCACGGCGTCTTTGATGGCCGTTACCACGAGAATGACAATGAGGGGCACTGCATTGAGTGCTGGATTAGAGGCACCGAAAATGGAGAAGATCTGGAGGGTCGGGTCAGTGGGAGAGCCAAGGCGGAAGAAGCGGAATGGGGACATACGCCCAGAATAATGATAAACAAGAAGTAGACGTTGGCGATATTGTGAAACTGAAACCATAGGTTCTTCGGTATGAAACTAAGGGGCGTGTATTTGGCCGTTCTTATCTTGTTGCGGGCGTAGTGTGCGAGTGGGTGGCCTTCTGGGTCGCGCTCTTTCTGCGGCAAAGGCACGTTGAAGTAGACTCTCCGGCCACCGTCCTGCTCTTCAACGCCTGCGTCTGAACCCTCTGGGGATGGGTCGCCCTGCACGCCGCTTTCTTTGCCCAGGTCATTCTGCTTTTCGCCGCCCGAGCCTATGCGCCGGTGCAGACGCTCTTTGAGCGAGTGCCGCTTGTTTTCCGCCTTGATGCCAGTTGCGCGATGTGTTGCCCCTGCATGCCGAATCAGTACATACTCATACGTCGTCACTAGTCAGTCGGCGGCAGAAGAGTAAAAGCAACTCACAACGTATGCGCTTCTGTGGGTGCGAGACCTCGGTCTCATTGGGCTCCATGTAGGGTTGCAGCGTCATGATGGCTGGTGTCGTCGTTGAGGGTGCTGCGGAGCGTCAAGGGAGGCGACGGCCTGAGCCGGAAAGGCTCTACGTGGAAGATGCTGGCCAATTCGTATGCGGACCGGCAGGGCACGTCGTCGGGGGGTTGCAGTGCATATGGCGCCGGGGGCGAGGGGGAACGACGGCGGTCGCGTTCTTGTTGCGTCGGGTGAGAACAGATGGGCGCTCGTGCATTCGGATATTAAAAGCAACCGGACGAGAAACAACGGTTGCGAGTGTTGGGCGGCGCGTGCGAACGAGCGACTATGTATTATGCGACGGGGCCGCGATTAGTTTGTGTGATGTCGTCAGAGGGCTGAGCCATGGAAGACGCAGCGTGGGAAACGGCGGAGAGGCGAGGTGAATTGCTTCTCAGACCCTGATGCTGTGCCTTTCTGATGTGCTTACAGAAGCATGGGTGCGGGAAGCACACGCCTCACAAGCTTCGCCCGGCCGCTACGGTCATAACCAAGACGCGAGCCTAGCGACACCTCCTAGACTCCTAGTCTGCGCTCCGAGGGGCCCACCACGCGATCTGATCATGGTCAAACACACCTGGAGCCCGTCAGATTCATCGCTGAGGCCTGCAACGACTCGACAGCGCGTAGACGACGCGTGGCCAGGTGGATGCTATTGATATTGATATTGATCTTGATCTTGGTCTTGATCTTGATCTTGATCTTGATCTTGCTCCATCACTCCCCCACGTGGCAGCTGTCTCCCATGCCCAAACTTTATGATGGGTATATGGGTATATCTCGGGCCAGCACCATCAGCGCTGATTTCTCAGCACATCATCACACATGCAGCCTTAGTTACCGCGCTCTTCCGTCAGCGAACTGGAACCCCCTTCTCAGCCGCCCCTCGGTCACCGTCCGTCCCTCAACTCCGAGTTGCTTGCCTGACGACAGCTGGCTGCTACTTGGGGCGCTCGGCATCCATGTCGCCTAATATCAGGACCTCACTTCTGACATTCTGACACAGCCCAGTACAGAGGTCCTATTTCAGATTCAATGCGAAACAACACAAACGCACAAGACTACTCGTCAAGCACGGCACACCCGGCTCCGTGGACGAATATTCTCGACTGTGTATATATATGACGCACTTGTCGCAAACGGATGCCGGCGCACGCCCATTCCGATGCATCTCGTAAACGGCAGATAGATTTAGACGCACTACTGTATAGTAGGACTAGGACGGTCCCGACGTTGCTTTTGTCGAGTGCGAGTGTGCTCAAGTGAGGCTAGTAGTCGTGCACGTGACACCGTGCAGCGTGCAGCCTTATTTCCGCCCAAGCGTCGCATCTTGCCCGGGTGACAACGCGTTGCCCAGTGTCTACGTCCCCCCCACACGCAACAACTCCACCCCTCCATTGCTGCCGTCATCATGAAGGACCAAAAGCAAAAGAAGGCGCAGAGGAATAGCATTAGAGACTTTTTTGCCCCATTGTCCAAAGACACTACCCCGCGTGCCACCACTTCGACTAGTACCGTGCCGCAGAAAAGTACAAACCTCCACCGCAGCCACTGGTTGACACTAACCACATCTTGACTCAGAAGCATACAATGCGCCAACACCTTCACTTGATCCCACTGCCCTAAAATCCTCTGAAGTCACACAACCTGCAACATCCAATGCCTCCAACACACCGAACCCCTCCTTCAACTCCAATGCGCCTTCTACTGTGACAGATGCGCTGCCCTTCAACCCCTCACAGACCTCGGCCCATTCCGCCACCAGTAGACGCATAATCTCCCATGGTCAGCAAGTCGTGCTCAATTCCGATTCCGACGACGACTCGCTTCTAGATGTCGACTTTGGCCTGGGTGCCAAACCCACTCCCAAACCTACGACCACCGTCATAACCACCCGCTCCAAACGCAGGTCAGAAGATGAAGACGAACAGCTGCGCAAGCCGGAAAAGAAGTCCAAAGTCGACAAGCACAAGTTTGAGACTTTCATACAGACGGTCCAGCAGAAGCTAGAGACAGAGCAGAGGATCAAAGAGCGCAAAGCTGCCCTAGAAGAGGCTGACGAGGAGCCTGTGAACAACACCACTACAATTACAGAGCACGCGTTGGGCCAAGTCGTGCAAGATGAGGATGACCCCGACAAGGCACATCGCCTTTTCCTGGCAATGCAGAGGACGAATGCCATGCAAATGCAAAGCATCTTTCACTTTTTTGGGGATCCTTCAGACTCAATTCCAGTGCTATCCAAGTTCCCTACTAGGAGTCTTCCTGGGCAGCGTTGGGCTCGTAGTCTCAAAGGTACCATCACGTTTATATGTTTTGGGGCCGCTTACTGACCTGGCCAAGATCCCAGTACTAGAGATCAAGCCTTCATCACTGGCTTTGTGGACCAAGTTTTCCGCATACAACGGCTGCCCGAAGAACTTGCTTCTTGGATGATCGACCAATGTGGGTGACATCGTACTCGTGCAATTCCCTGCTAAACGTTCTAGTTTGTTCCAACCACAATGAGTCACTCAACGCCCGGTATCTCGATATTCTTGAGGTATGTACTTTTCTGACTTTGACCCACTCCCTTTTTGACACCTGTAGTCCCATCACGAGCATCTAGAGACTTTACTCGGTCCAGAAAGGTTGTATGTCTTGTTTAAAGCAATAGGTGCCAATATGCATCAACTCGACCACGAGACTGAACTTGCGCCAACGTCTCTGCCAAAGTCCGAGCATAGTCTGCCGCTTCCTCCAACCCTCAAGTCGCTTGCCAGACTACTTGAAGGAGCGGCACCATGGTAGGCATACTTGAGTAACAGCAATTTGCATTGCTGATGCGCTACAGGCTACGCACCAAGGCTCGGGGTCATGCGCTATTCATGTTATGCCATGTGTGTTTAGACGACCGTGTCGTTGCAGATTCCGAAGTACTTTGCGCCATACAGGACGCCATAGAAGCGCTGGTCTGCCATTTTGCCGACAACTATAGGCTGAACTCTGCTGTAGGAAGCCCTCTTCTACAAGATGTTCAGTCCCTAATCTCTTCCCAGCTCAGCGACATCATTCCTCAACTGCTCGCCAAAGTGACACATCCGACGTTACAAAGAAACTTAATCTGTGCCTTTCCAGCAAGGTCTCCGTTGACAGCATATCTGCAGCGTCATTTGGCTCTTGCGTTCCTCGTACATCCCGTTTCGGTCGATGTACCACTCGCAGATCCAAAGGTGTCAGATATCTTACTTGACCATTTGGACAAATCACCAGACTTCCGAGTAAACAGGGACGTTGACTACAGTCTTCTTGCAGCTCAATTCACTCTGCTCGACATTGCCATAGGACCCGGACTCTCAACCGTACCATATCAGCCACTACTAAGTCCAACACCATCACAAGCAGGCTCCTCTCCAACCAGAGCCCTACTACCAGCAACTTCCGAAGTCAAGAACTTCAACAATCAAGTCGACACACTTGCTCGACGAATCAAGCTACTGGGAAACTCCATCATCGAGATTGGTGCTGGAGATTTGTCGATTCTAGAGACCAAGGACTGTATAGAGCGGCTAGTTGCGCGACTGGAGCACTCTGTGAGAATTGGCGGGAAGAAGGTTCACAACGTGTTTGGCACCGATGAGGATAACACACAGTCCAAGCTGAACAAGTTTTTCAAAAAAGCATTGAAGCCCACTACCCCAACACCATTACAGAGCATATTCGACGAGGGTGAGGGTGGCGCTTAGCTCTAAAGAGTCGAATCAATGGATTCCTTAGATAATCCTACTACGGAGCTGGCCGAGGAAGCGTACTGTACACTCTGGCGAAACGATACTCGCCGCCTCCAAATCCACCAACGTCCTGACATCCGTCTCTGCGAAGCCACAAACACTATGGTGAAACTCCCCGCGATAAAGCCACACCCAGCCATCCCGCTCCTTTGCGTCCCTCAATCAGAAGAAATTCATATCAACGTTGGCGCAGCTCTTGGCAGACACGCTCCTCAGGGGGATCTACAGGAGCACGACGCGTCGAGTTCTACCCGTATACCCGCTATCGTTCGGCAGCAATAAACCCCAACCCCATGCCTCACGCTTCTTGCGACGCGCCAAAAATCCTTGGACCGCTGCTAAGAGGGTCTAGAAGAGGAAACGCACGATGTTGGATATTGAGCATGTCGCAATGTGCGCCCCCGCCTATATCCCAAGGCCAATGCAGACATGCCTTCTCCTATCGCATTGCATTGCGCGAATGCAAGGCAACGCGGCTTTGCTCCTTCATGCAAAAATCCCAGGCTTCACCCAGGAGCAGTCTCCACCTCCAAGCTTTCCAAGCTCTATTAGTGGAGAGACGAGCATGCATGTCACATTTGCGCAAAAATGCGGGAAAGCGGCACGGTGCGAGGGTTGCGCTGGGTTGTGGGACCACTATTTTTCCACACCCGGGTTTTTTCATCCCTAGATTCGAGATTAACGATTTTCGATTTTTTGAGGCGGCAAGCCGTCCCCCCCCCCAAGCATGCAAGTTTGGTTTTTCTTCCGTCTCCCGTTTGGCGCCGCCCCCCCAAAACGTTGGCTATGGCGCAACGCACGCCACTGACTCGCTATCTCTGTATGAGGCGGTGTGAAGCCGAGGCACTTGCCGCACACGCCGAACCGACCGAACCGGCCGGCTGACCCACTCAAGGGACACCCATCCATAGCAAGGGTAACTGAACCGCCGCTGGAATTATTGCAATTGCGTGCGCGCCGCGCGAGCAAGGGAGAGAGACCTGGACCAGGGGAAAAAAAAGGCCACCATACACCGAACAAGGCGAACGGTTCGGGGGTGATGGTGGAGCTGGGTCTCATTTAACGCGCGGGTTTTGCCGAAGCCAACGTGATTTACCGGTAACCGGTTACGGGGCTGGCTGGCTGGCTAGCTACAAAGATAATCTTCATCATCTTTCATCATCAACCTGGTGTGCTGCAAAACATGATGATCCCGGTTCTACCGTGAGATTGAGGCTGGGAAGAGGAGCGAAATTGTGCCGTTGTTCAGCTTTATGCTTACTTACTTACCCCAGTTCGATCGATAGTTGGATCAGCTGAACTGCACCGGCGCATTTTTTAGTTGCAATCAGATGGACTTGTTATTAAACCAATACCCCGATATTCATGCTTTGGAAATGAGGGCTCGGGAGGAGGAAGCGTAGCGTAGCGTAGCGTGGGAATGCAAATCAGTCAGTCAGTCAGTCAGTCAGCTTTGGGCGTCCGTGTGTTGTGCGCGAGCGCGCGTGTCTGTGTGGGCGTGTCTGTGTGGACAACGCCCATCAACGCGCTTCTGGTCATCAAACCAGTGAAAAAAACGATATTCATGCACAAAAACTAGCGATACACACACACGCACACAACCCGCACCCGCATCCGCACCCGCATCTGCACCTCCCTGTAGCACGTAGATTATAAAAAAAAGTCGCAACTTCTCCTCCTCCTATACACGTGCATGCAGATGTTTTATGTAGAAACTGAATTGTCAGAGATAATCGCCAATAATACCAAGCGAGCAGCACACGCCAAACACATGGATCGAAGGATCGAACGAAGGAACGGGGATTTTCCACCTTACCTAGTCTGTCTGTATGGTACAGTAGGTATACTTACTTACTGGGTTAGTTCTGCGTTCTGGCTTCACGGCGGCGGTTTTGCTCGTTCGTATTTCGAGATGGATGGATGGATGGACGGATTCGTCATTGGGGAGGCCCGATTGGCGAAGGAACTACTGGTTTGGCCGTGGGTGTGGCCGGTCGGTTGGGTTGGTTGGGATCGTTGGTTTTAGATCAGAGATGTGATTGATTGATTGATTGCAAGGGGAGATACGTAGCCTAGGATAAGGTATGTACTGTATGTATGTACAGTAGGGTCCCCGCTTGTACTGTAGCGGGGATTTGCTTATATGGTTCGGTTGGTCGGTCGGTTGGGGGTGAGAGGTTTGTGCAGATGGACGATCATCATGGTGAGGGTACGGTAGGTGGTAGTTGCATATGGGATCCAAGATCGTTTATTCATTGATTCATTCATCTATCCATGATAAGTATTAAGCGCATAAAAACATCCATATTGATAGAAAAGAAGCCGTAAGGTCTTGTATTAATGGAATGGTATCCAGATCTATATACATAGAATGAATGCTAAAGGGTTGGAAAATTGGGGGGGAATATTTGAGCTGACAAGATGAGAGGGTTTTCAAGTGAAAATGCGTTTTTTGAAAAGATGACGATCAGCCCTGCTGAGCCTTTCTAAATCAATTGCTCTTCTGCCACATCACCAAATGTCCAATGTGGAGGGAAAGAAAGCGCCGGTTCGATTGCTGGTCTTGACTCACATTCATTCCGGCTCTTTCAAAAAACCTCCCTGGCTTTTCTCGGTCTTGTTTTTTTTGTTGTCGAGGTGGACATGGTTTAGATGCCACCAACACCGTTCTTCTCGTCAATGTGCCTGTAGCGCTCCTGTTCTTGGCGGTACTTGAGGACCATGGCGACGCAAAGTACAAGGATCATGTCGATACCAACAATGCCAAAGGCGGCGGTGAATACTCGGTCCAGATATCTGTTGGCAAAAGAGGAGAACTTGCCAATGCAGCCGCCCTTTTGCGCGGCGACAAGGGTGTTCAGGCATGTGCTGTCCTGCACAAACGGAGGCGTTGTCGAGTTGACGTAGCCGCAGCAATCGAACTATGACAATGTGAGTATCTGACTGGTAGACCGCTATTATAGGGCGGGGCCGAAGGGAATATCGCCAAGGGTCGCTGAGCCTCACGTGGGTGGGAGCCCACTTGGTGGTTTCTAGTGCTTATTCAATACGACAGAGGTCACATACCTTTTGTTGCAAGAGACTCTGAATAAGCGGCGTCTCCCGTCCCCATAGCACACTCAGGTTCTGGCGGGTTTGGAGGGTCTCTACCCAGATGGCAACACCGAGACCAAGAGTAAAGGTTGCGCAGACAACTACGAGCCAACCTTGAGTGCGGAGCCAGCCTCGATTTGTGGGAATGAAGAGGGCTGGGAGGGACAGAAGAAAAGTGACGAAGACGAAGATTGCGTTGACGACGCCAGCTGGGTACTTTGTCAGTTCATGTTGTTTGTAATAGTCCAACAACGGGTATCACGACTCGCCGCCACAGTAGTGCGGCAATATCGATTCCTTGCATGTCGTACCTGTCAAAGGACACTGGCCAAGCAGGAGGTTCTGCGTGACGTTGTCTACAGTAGGAGTGGCCCGCATCGATTGCTCCGACATGAGAGAGAAGCCTAGCAACAATCCTCCGCATCCAGCGAAGAGGAAATCCATGGCAACAAACGACAGCATCAGTTTGGTCGGCATCTTGGCGGTAGTGGTGCGCTGTGAAGCGGCTTGAGCGGAAGAGACTGGGCGAAGTGAATAGACGTGATCAATGAGGGTAATTCGAGTGCAGCGGAGACGTCCGGCGTACTCTCTCGTGAACTGCAACCGTCTATGCGTGAGGGCAAATTATTAGGTAGAGGGTAGAGAAGTGAAGTGAAAGGAAGGTTGGCAACGACGGCGCTCCCACGGGAAAATGCATGGCATCAGGGACACGGGGACTTGAAGCATTAAGAGGCTCTACGAGGGCGCGTCACAGTTGGAGCGCGACGATGCGTGTGTGGTTTCAGTAGTGTTGGAGCATTGCCGGCGGCGAATCACGGACAGCAGCGGGCATAATCGGACGATGTTTTGGCGCTGCGACGTCGGTGCGCCACAGACGTGCGGAGCATGAAGTCAGAGGAAGTAGACCATTTCCATGATGGCGAGCAAAACAGAGCAATGCACTCGGTGCAGATGTCGGATACGATGGGGTCAGCGTCGTCACGAGAGCGGCGGCGGTGTTGAGGTAGGCGTAGGCGAGTGCAGTAGGCACGGGCAGCAGGTGCAGGAGGGCGAGGAAGGCTAGACCGCGCATGAGGGCGAAGCGAGACCGGACGGGGAAGGAGCGAAGGGGTGCCTAGGTGGTGCTTGCCCACGTCTTGCAGGCCGCGGCTTCCCAATTCATGGGCCCACCTGCCCGACGAAACACAGGGTGAGGCCGGGGCCGGGATTGGCCACACGGCGCATTCGGTTGCAGTTGGACGGTGGAATTGGGACGTCTTTGGCGTATTAGCAGTGCCATGTGCCATGTTGCCGCGTCGGGGCCAGCGGGCAGAGGTCGCTGTTGCTGTGTTGCTGTGTTGCTGTGTTGCTGTGTTGCTGTGTCGCTGTGTTGCTGTGTCGCTGTGTCGCTGTGCTACGAGATGTCGTCGAGGAAGTAGTTTCTCACCAGCACACGTTGCGCATCTTGTGCTGCAGCCCGTCCGTACTTACAGTACTGTACTGTGCAGTAGTAGTTGGTAGCTGTACCGTAGCCGGTGGCTAGCTCTATGTAGGTAAGCCCAGAGTGGAGAGAGGGCGGGCAGCCGACATTCACCAGTTGACCGTCAATCTGACTTGAGCGGGCTAGCGCAGCCAATTCCACCAATTATCTGGTCCCAAAAGAGCGGGCCCTGCTCAGCTGCCCCTAGCGCCGCCCTCGGCCTCACACTGACGGCAAGGTTTTCATGTGGAAAGGCGGGTGCTGTTCATCTCCAAAAGCGACCTGACAGGTCAAAATCTAGTGTCAAGCAGCCAAAGTTAGTATCAGCACAAAACTGTCACTGGCAGACGCGAACACGTCAGGTTGGTGCGTGATCCGTGGCCTCTCTCTCGCGATATTGGCAGAGCCAGCAGCTCTGATCTGCGATTCAGAGCAGTGACCAGGGTTATCCGCCCCCAGTTGGCAGTGGGTAGTCGACGGCCTGCACGCACCAAAGCAGCCAAAGCAGCCGTCCAGAGAAATACTTGACCACTCCCGCCGTTTCATTCCCAATACCGTTCGTCCCTTTCCTTCTCAAGACAGCTCTCGGGCTATACCACCTGCGCCTGCACCACTCAGTCTGTCCCTGCGTGTTCGAGCCTTGCCATACGCCAAGCTCGACAGGGTCACCTCAACCGCCAGACGGCCCATCCAACCCAACCCACGCCAACGGTCGCGAAAAGCAACGCACCTCGCACCTGATCGCAGCGCCGGTCAAGGCCAGATAGAAACAAAAAAAAAGGTACGTACTCGGACGACAGGCACGTCGCGCGCCCGTCACGCAGGTCACGCATAGCCCGCACCCCTTCTGCACCCTTCACCGCGACCCACCCCAGCCACTCCCTGTCGCACGGCCCACTCGGCAGTCAGCGCGTAAACGCCCACGGCGCTGAGCGGCCCAGCGTGCCTCCCCGCGCACCTTTTCCTTGCACATTCCTGCTGCGCCATCACCAAAGGGCCAGCCCCAATTCTTTTAACAGGCCGCGCTTCCTTTTCCTATTGAGGTCAACCTTTGAGTCTAACCCAACTCAAGCTGTCTGCAGTTCGTTCTGTAACATTTTGCGAGTCCGCCCAAACCACGCAAGAACGCCTGCCTACTCCCCACACTCCGCCGCATCCAGTTTAGGGCCCTCGTCCGCCAAACACCAGGGTAACCAATCTTTCTCGCGACTCAACCACAATGGCCAGCGAAATCACCGAGCACGACCAGAACGCGTCGCCGTCAGTCCACGACGACGGCAATGGCGCTCTGAGCATGGAGAACCGTGGCGTCAAGCGCGCGCGCGCCGCTGCCGACGACGACGATGACGACGACGACAAGCCCGGCCGCGAGCGAAGAAAGATTGAGATCAAGTTCATCCAGGACAAGTCGCGTCGGCACATCACCTTCTCCAAGCGCAAGGCCGGTATCATGAAAAAGGTACGTGCTGCATCTTCTGCACCCCCCGCCTAGAGCTGCCTGCCACTCGCCCGCGTCGCATAAGAAACATAGCACGCACCACAAGCCACAAGCTAACGCCCTCACCTACAGGCCTACGAGCTGTCCGTCCTCACTGGTACCCAGGTGTTGCTGCTCGTTGTTTCCGAGACTGGTCTCGTTTACACCTTCACCACGCCCAAGCTGCAACCCCTAGTCACCAAGCCCGAGGGCAAGAACCTCATCCAGGTATGTTGCAGCGCCACCCGCGCCCGCTGCATGGCACCGCATTGCTAACCCCAACCAGGCCTGCCTCAACGCTCCAGAGCCCTCCAGCGGCGATGCGAATGGTGTCGACAACGACACGGTTGAGTCGCCCGAGGACAACCATGCTCAGGTCCCGCCCGGCCAGCCACGCGGAATGCCGCCCAACAACAACCCCATGTCGCAAGCCTACATGACCCCAGAGGCTGCTCTGCACTACCAGAGCTACCTCCAACAACAGCAGCAGCAGTCTAACCAGTACCCCATGGCACAGCAAGGCATGCCGCGCCATCCTGGTGGCCACTATCCTCAAGACCAGAAACTGGGCTAAACGTAATACACATATACTGTACCGCATTGGTACCAGGTCACTCCTCGGAAGGCGCATAGTAACTGGATAGGGATACCCACATAATGGCAAAAGTAATCACCGCCATGCGCGGGTGTATGAGATGCGAATTCGCATGCGACAGCGTAACAGGGGTGGGACGATATCATGTGGACACGCAATGTTGGAGAATGCAGTTGCACTACTGGACGACTGCGCGTCGTATGTGGAAACGGTGCCGTGTCCGTTGTTTGTTTCTTCTCGTCAATTCAGTTTTGCCTCTCATCCCGACATATCTAGCATTTCGTGTCACATTTAGTCAGGTACTGTTCATGACCAGATCTCTCCTTCTACCGATAGGATCAGTCAAATTCAGAACGTTAATTCACACCATGTCCATCTTTGTGAGCCACTACTTCTGTGCGAGCTTAGCCCGGTCTGGGCGTTGCTTCCTATTTCGTCTACCCGTACTTGCCTTTTCGGGAGATGAAAATCTGCATCTCCGCATCACTAACATTCTGACCTTCTTTGTCTCCATGAACCGCTCCGGCGCGATATCGAACGAGCGAGTTGCCAAGGCTTGCATCTTCCGGTATTACCTGGTCTTGTGCATGGCGGTCTACCGGAAACTGATCCGGCAATCATCCACAACGACTACTTCTCCCCATCAGGACTGAAACAAGCATGTTGCGACGAGCTGGTCCGACGTTACCCCCAAACTCGTGCGCGACCCCGATGGCAGCAGCGTCTTGTAAGGCTGCCATCTCTCTCTCTTCAGCCCACAGACTCGACACCGCTCTCGAGGCGCTGTTACATCCGCAAGCGCAACACTGCCCGCACCTAGCGTGCCGGTTGAAATACACTACCAGCGTGAAACCATGTACCCGTACACAACCAGGACTCGATATGACGGGAACCGCAACAGAGCCAATACAGGCCTGTGGCCCTTTGTTTTTCTGTTGCTTTGCCGGTCTAGCATCGGCAACGTCGAGTTACGATCGCGGTGTCCTACATCTCATGTGTCACTGCGTGACTACGGCATATGGCAAGTGCGTCGTACAAGGCGGCGAGCGTAGTACGTTGACCGCCGATTGATGCAAAGGCTTGGGCCACCTACTACTTTGGATGCCGTTGTATGGCTGGGGTGCCTAGAAAGAGTCATGGAAGAGTCGCAAAGAGCGCCACCGTTGAGCGGACGGAGCAGTACGATTGTGAGAAGCACTTGGTAAGCAGTCGACGGCAACCTAGGGCAAGATCCTGTCTCAAGGTCACACCCGAAACCGATGTCTTACTGAGATGCGCTGCTGGGAACGGGCGGCTAATCTAGTCCCAGGGATGGGGACTTTATGCTGACAGCAGTCGTCATAGCCTGAGCCCAACACTTTGGCATTTGCTCAATAGTGAGATCACTACCGCGGACCGCTCCGCTGAAATTCGCCGAAGCATACGAACCACTGTTGCTGCAACTGTACGGATACACGGCATGGCTGTAGTGCGACAGGAAGCTTCACACGCTTTGTACCCGTCCTCTGCACGCCACCTCTACCCCTAGCGGCACACACTAATCTGCAGATGGGCGCGCAAAGGGCATCGATGGGTGCAGCCCGTGCATTAGATATTGGGTCCATCCCATCCCACCTGTCTCCCGGCGCCTTCAAAGTCTCTTATTCTTCCAGAATTTAAAAATGCTTCATCTCGTACTATAGTACGCGTCATCCTACGTATGGGGTGCCTGCCCGCTCCCGTGTTGCTTCTTTGAGCGGCCCCCGCATCATGCAACGCCAGGGCCCTGTCTCCGAGAATCGTATGTTACACACAAACTTCGACCTACGTACACAGTAGCATCTCCGCATGAGTCTCCCGTTCATACGATTCATTCACCTGGTCTTTCTGCAGTGTGCCTGCCGGTACTGGTATGTGCAGTGGCCCGTCGCGTACACACCATGACTCTTTCATCCCCATGTCATTCATCTTCTACCGTATACCTACACCCGCGGGTTAGGGTGTGGCGTACATCTGTCGGGTGTAAGGGTATGCTATTTCTCGTAGATGGCTGCTCGTATTCTCGCCACTCATATTCAATATCAATCACATGCCGCTGATTGGTAGCTGTACAGGCCACCAAACTATGACTTTTAAGGTGAGATAGTCCTGTTTGCAGCGCTAAGTCCTTGGTATGCGCTATCACTCGACACCCTGTAGTTACTTTTGTCGATTCCAGCTCCCATTTGCTCTTTCTTATCTGCAGTGCATTCATCCAGGGTTGTCCCGCGATTACGCCGCACAGCACGACCTACATCAGCAGCAGCATATAAGCACGAAGATTTTCTTGTGACTTCCTTGGCAAGCTGCGATAAGCTTCGCGCCAAGTACATCCTCGGAATCCTGATGCTCTGCACCATCCCAAGTTCTTAGCGACATCGATTGTCTGTCTTTTGTTTGTCATTCTTGATCGAATTGCCACACCAGAGCAAGCCGGAGCCATGGAATCAATAGAGAAGAAGCGGCCGAGCTCCAGCATCTCACGAGATGTCGAGCAATCACTCAAGGCATCCGTGGATCCAGATGCACTGAAGCTGGCGGAGATGGGCTATACACAAGACATGAAGAGAAAATACACTGTATGGTCGGTCCTCGGTGTCGGTTTCTCTTTGACGAACTCATGGTTCGGCATATCAGCAGCCTTGATCACTGGTATTAGTTCGGGAGGTCCACTTCTTATCATCTACGGAATCATTCTTATAGCGCTGATATCGACATGTGTTGGTATTAGCCTGAGCGAGCTGGCAAGTGCAATGCCAAATGCAGGCGGACAGTACTTCTGGGCCGGTGAGCTGGCGCCGAAGAGATTCAGGAGACTTGCAAGCTACATGACGGGCTGGCTTGCGTGGTGGGGAGCCATGTTCACGAGTGCGTCTGTGGCATTGTCGATGGGTAGTGCTATCATGGGATGCTACCAACTAGGCCACCCAGACTTGTAAGCATTCTTTACATTTCTCATTACCTTGTTAAGTTGGAAAAAATAACTTGATAGGGCAACTGTCAGGTCTATCATAGTTCCAATCGTTATTCTTACCTGGAGGATCTGCAGTACTGGAGAATGACAAAGCTGACAAGAATACAGTGTAATCGAAAGGTGGCACGTCTTCCTCACATATCAACTCGCTAATATCTTCTGCTTCTTCTTCAACTGCTACGGCAAAGCACTATCAACAGTGGGAAAAACCACCCTATGGGCCTCGCTTATTTCCTTTGCGGCCATCCTTATTACCGTTCCAGCAGTCGCCCCAACGCACCAACATGCCAAGTTTGTCTTCGCCACTTTCATCAACACCACTGGCTGGCAACAGGGCGGTATAGCCTTCATCGTTGGCTTAGTGAACACAAACTGGGCCTTTGCTTGCCTTGACTGCGCAACTCATCTTGCAGAGGAAGTCCATCGCCCAGAGAAGATGGTTCCCATAGCTATCATGGGCACTGTGGGCATTGGTTTTGTGACAAGTTGGTTCTTCTCTGTCGCAATGTTCTTCTCGATTGTTGGGGACTTTGCTGAGATTGGACAATCACTTACTGGAGTACCTATTCTCGAAATCTTCAACCGCGCATTGGAAAGCAAGGCTGGAGCGACTGTACTCGAGGCTCTCATTATTGTTACTGGACTGGGCTGTCTGGTTGCAAGCCACACCTGGCAGAGCCGTCTTTGTTGGAGTTTTGCACGCGATCGCGGATTGCCTGCCCATCAATGGCTTTCCAAAGTCAACAAGGAGCTTGATGTACCGCTAAACGCACACTTTGTTAGTTGTGTCATTGTGGCTATCGTGGGCTGCTTATACATGGCCTCGCTCACGGCTTTCAACTCGTACGTCTACAAATCCTTTGGGAACTTGCTTGTTTGCTAACAGCCAGCAGTATGATTACAGCATGCATTGTCCTACTATACCTCAGCTATGCGGTACCCGTCGTTTGCCTCTTGATCCGTGGACGCAACAACATACCACATGGTCCCTTCTGGCTCGGCCCCATCGGCCTCTTTGCAAACGTAGTCCTGCTCGCTTGGACTCTGTTTACACTTGTCATGTACTCGCTCCCGTACTCGAAGCCCGTTAAGGCTGGCAACATGAATTGTAAGTACATGTTTGTATAATACTACCTCGTGGGACCACTTGGAAAGCACAGCTGACATGACCTGCAGACGTGTGTGTAATTTACGCCGTTGTTGCCTTTCTGGCCAACGTAGACTGGCTTGTCCGAGGCCGGAAGAGGTTTGTAGTGGCAAACGAGCGAAAAGAAGAAGGCGTTGGTCGAGCCTCGAGGATCGTCGATCTGCCTCAGCAGTAGACTCGGGATATGCAGCTTAGGCTAGAATTTAATGAGAATTGAGAGACCATGTATAATACAGAGTTCATATAGGATCGTTGAAGTGGTTTCTTAGTTTATTCCTTCAAATGTGGAAGCAAATATCGTCAAGGTCAAAATCGACGAGTATGCAGTTACCTGTGCAGAGATCATGCCAAATTTGTTTTCGTGCTCGCGTGATTGCATCCACGTGAAGACGAGTATGCAGTTACCTATGCGGAGATCATGAGAAAATGGGTTTCGTGCTTGCTTGGTTGCATCCACGTGAATGTTAAGCAAACGCGTAGTGCCGAGTTGCCATAGCGATAAAAGCGGAAGGATAATGGTCGTGGCAAGCCAAACGCGGGAGTGGGACGCTAGTGAACCGCGTCGGCAGGCGCGTTTGCCGGGGATCCTTTGATGCGCTGACGTCTGTCGTGTACTTCTTTCTATGCAACCTCAACGCACCATCTGCTCACCCTTTGCGTGATTGCACTCTTTACCGACACTCCTTTCCAATAGATAGACCGGACTGCTGTCAGCGCTTCCCTGGTCCTTCTACCAATACTTGCACCAAGTCTGGAAGGGGCGCATCGGGTGCTGGCAGGATAGAAATCATTTCCCCTAGAGGTAATTGCAGCCTTCTGCACTTCCATAGAGAACCCAGGGCGTTCAATTTCACCCTGCGCTCTCATCTCTTCCAGGCAAGTGGGTGGGGCATCCTCCCAGGTGAAAGTGAAAGTGAGTGTGAGATATGTCGGAGGAAATAGTTGAGAAGCTCAAGTAAGTACCGAGACGCACTAAAGCTCATTTCTTTTACCTGTCTTGTTCTTTTATGCCACAAAAATCTTCAAGGCAGCATGGTCTGTTACTGTTCCTTCCATCTGCGCCCTCAGCACCCAACATGGCTAACCACCCCGTTCCCCTCAGCGAGCTACGAGACTTGCCCGAAGACCAACATCTATTCTGCCCTCGCATCGGCGAAGACGGATCTGTGTACTACGAAGAGGATGTGGCCGCATATCCACCCGAAACCGACCCCACGGAACTCGCCCACCGTAAGCTAAGGGTGCAAGAAGCCGAAGACCGAAAATGGACAGCGCTCAAGGCAACCGAGATACTGGCTTTCGATGACGAAGACGCAGGACCACACAAGGAATGGATGACCAATCGGCTCAACCAACTTATGCAGAGCTGCGACGTCTGCGTAAGAGTCTTTCACCAGTCCCGCACAGCATGGCAGTCTCGACTTCTTGACACATTCGACGAGGAGAATGTTCGCATATTCATGGAAGCAATGGACAAGCAATGTCTGGGCCGCATACAGAAGGGCTTGGACGAGGCCAACGAGATATTGAGCAAAGCGGATCCCAAAACGCGATCAGTGCGCCTGCTACCGAATGAATGTACCTACGGTTTCTTCGAGGCACTGAGCTGTGACGCCCTGATACGGAATGAAGAACTCCTCCAGAAACACTTTGATACACCTTTCGACATGGTCCAGACAAAAAAGCGGTTGAAAGTGCAGACATACCTCCCGGCAATGACGCGCTTCCTCTTCAGCAGGGTCGAGAGGCGTCACAAGTGGGCGACCGAGTCATGGTCTACCTTCAAGCGAAACTTGCTCAAGTCCGAATGGGATTGGGCTGTACGGGACTATATGACAAGTGTTATGATGAAGGTACAGATGTACTGCTTGGACAAAGACCTCGTGCCTCTTTTCTGGGGTGGCTCGCGGCTTATAGTCGCAAAGATGGACAGGGAGCTGATTACAGACTCTCTACGGGCTCTCGATGGAGATTTCTATCGCTTGATGCTCGATCACCTTTCGCTACCTTCTGAAGGCTTCCTTGATCTGATTGCAACCATGAAGCAACTACTGGAAACGTCTCCAATCGACTACTGGGATGGCATGAATGCCGTAACACCGTCCATTGCAACAGTGGTGGAACAAGTGTTCAACAGTCCTGTTTTCAACCAGCTACTTCTCGCCGCAGCCGACGAGAATGAGCAGAGTATGGTCAACCTACATGCTGCTTTCAGCTGGATACCGCCTTTTCTTGACTCTATCAAGCTGGCAAACCTTGGACCCGCAACCCGTCCTTTTGCACAGGCGCTTCTTGGCCGCTTCCAGTCTGACCGTTACTCAGCAACGTCTCGAGCGTATTGCTACAGGGAAGGCCTCAAAGTTTTGGACTACGCCTTCCGTAAAATGGGGGAAGGCAAGACCACGGACAAGTTCGTCGGTCAACCTGTTGTCAACGGTATGCTAGATATGCTGTCAACCTTCATACAGTCCCTCGTCATGAACCTGAAGGATTTCAAAACTAGCAAAAATGTCAAAGATATGCAATTAGCACTCTCAGTAATTGAGCATGCCTTCAAGCTAGAGGCGCACTCTCTGATCGTCGAGAGGATTCTGATATCTGCAAAGCAACCGTCGCCCACAGAGACACCACCTTCTAGTCCCATATGGAAGACAGTCCTGCGAGCCATAGGTCCTGAAAGCTTGGAATTAGCGACACATCTGCTCATCGCCAGTAGAAGTTTGATCGGCCTTGAACCGCTACAGATGAAGTCCGGTGTCGATAAGGTGCCTGCCACAGTACGGCATTTCAATAGTCGCTTTGGGCTATTATCTCAATCCATCACCGATGTTGTGGAGAGGTTGTCGGGATATGATCCCTCTCTCATGCGAGCGCTATTTGGACAACGACCTGCAGCTAGCGCCATCATCTCTCTGATGTTCTCATCCGTAGAGTCTACACGCCTCTCTGCACGCGATTTTCTAAAATTCATAAGCGGAGAACGGGAGCGTCGAGGTGCTTTGCAACACATGTTGCGTGCCCATTATAGGAACATGGTTCTCGGTATTTCAGATTCGATTCGCCAGGTTAGATCAAAGAAGGCCTTTGCTCCGGTACCGGACATGATCAAAACTTGCAGCGATATCATCGACATCATCTGCAACTCTCAGGACGGTATACTACGGGACCAAGAGTATGACTCTGAAGATGCCGCTGCGACGATGAGTCTCTGGGAGAACCTCTGGGATTCACTTACCATGATCTTTGCAACAACCGAAGGGTGGAGTAACCTGGGTTTCTACGACAAAAAAATGATGATGGACTTCTGTAGAGACACTATGCAATTTGCCGACATGCTGTTCGACCAATACAGCTTGTTTGTAACAGCCCTACAACCACCTACCACCGAAGAAGATGGGAGCACATCAGAGACAATGCTGCTGAAAGAGCTGTTGGCCCGGCCTGCCAACTCCATGGAGGGCCTGGCTAAGTGGCTTCGTCTTCGTGACGAGTTCCTGTCCAGCAAATCTGTCACTCTGATTAGCAAGCTTCTTGTCCGCCTACGTCGCGTGTCCATTGACATCGATGCCGGCGCGCTCTCATACATGGAAAGAGTGCTATCAGGAGACGTTCGGGCAAAGCTCAGCAAGATGCAACAAGCGGAGCTGCAACAAGCCCTTGAGGAGCATCTTGGCCGCACGCTCGTCAAGGAAGAGGAGCCTGTGAAACCAAAACAGGCCTCGATAAGCAAATGGATGTCCCCCGGCGTGACACCAACACCAGGACATGTCAAAGCCAACTTGTTGGCTAGCATGACCGCAGGAGCTACCAAGTTCCAAGAGCGACGAGAGCAGACGAAGGCTTCAGCAACAAAGGCTGTGCAACAAAAGGCTGCAGAAGACTTGAGGAACGCGCAGCAAGCCGAGTTCAAGCGCAAGCGGATACAAGAGAAAGAGAGAGCTGAGAAAGAAAGAGCCGCACTAGTCGCCAAGGCCAAAGCAGCTAGAGGCCTCTCTTCCCACACCGCGGAAGCAGGTTCAGGTCTCGAAGGCTTGGGTATCTTAGGCAAAGAACAGGCTGCCAAGGGAGAAGGCCTGATGCATTCTTCTGATGAATCGTCGGACGAACAAGGTGACATTGACGAAGATATGTTCGGGCCCAAGGGCATCAAGGCCAAGACTGGACCAAAGACGAACATGATCAATCAAATCAATGTCCAGATGCCGACCAAGAAGAGGCGACGGGTGCAATCCGGCAAGAGCATGCTCGCTCGTATAGCGCCTGATTTGAGTGGCCTACATGGCACGATACTCAACTGGGACTATTTCTACGACGGTCACTTCCCACCAAGGACTAGTAAGGGGGATTATTCTATGGTTATAAGTACCTTCCACACTCCCGACGATTACCAACGTACATTCGAACGCCTTCTACTATTGGAGGCATGGCAAAGCTTTATTAAAATGCGCGACGAACCTCTGGCAAAACCATACGAGATAACAATTTCCTCATCAGCAAGGGTCGATCAGTTTTCGGAAGTAGGCAGTACGTTGAAATACGGCGTGAGCAAGGAGATGCCCTTTTATGAAGGAGATATTATTCTCTTGTCGCAATCCAAACCCTCCGCGGACGTGCCGACATGTCTCGCCAGAGTGCACAATATCAAGAGAACGAAAGAACACTTCCAAATCACTTACCGCCTTATTCCAGGAAGCAAGCTTCAGAAGGTGTTCCAGAAAAACAACACATTGCTCGCAACCAAGATCGATTCAATTACATCGCTCGAGCGTGAGTATGCTGCGCTCAGAGGACTTCAGTACTACGACCTGTGCGACGAGATTATCAAGGCGAAACCTTCGCCACTTTTGACTTATAAGGATAGCCAAATACAGCCACTCATCTTGAACTACGACCTGACCTTGGCGCAAGGAAAAGCCATCAAGTCAGCCATTGACAACGATGGTTTTACCTTGATTCAAGGGTAAGTCATTTCACATGTGTCTAATCATGAACCCTACTAACGAGCTCTTAGTCCTCCTGGTACCGGAAAGACTAGGACAATCACAGCTATCGTTGGAGCAATCCTTAGTGGCAGCTTTCGTAATCGTGGCACTAACATCGCCGTGCCTGGTAAATCGCAATCAGACCCCACCCCGAAGAAGATACTAGTCTGTGCACCTAGTAACGCAGCAGTCGATGAGTTGTGTATGCGCCTCCGGCCAGGCATCAAGACTCTCGATGGTGAAGTACGTCAGATCAACATCGTACGTCTGGGTCGAAGCGACGCTGTCGAAGCCAACCTACAGGACCTGACGCTAGACGAACTTGTTGATAAGCGTTTGGGTGCAGATTCGAACAGTAATGAGCAAGAAGCGAGGCAGAAGGTGTTCGATGAGCACCAGGAAACATCCAAACAGTTGAGAGAAGCTTACGAACTACGAAACAAGGGTGAAGTGAAAGGAGATGCTGCAGCTAGGCTTGATAATGACATCAGTGCTCTGTACCACAAAAAGAAACTGCTCTCAGGCCAGATCGACGCTATCAAAGACAGTCAAGCGTCAACCGGCCGTAGAGCAGATTCGCGGCGAGACAAGGCGATTGCCGCCATCTTGAACGACGCACACGTGGTTTGTTCAACACTCAATGGATCCGGGCACCACATGTTTCGGACCATCGAAGTCGAATTTGACACGGTCATTGTCGACGAAGCTGCTCAATGTGTTGAGATGAGCGCACTCATTCCTCTCAAATACGGATGCGCCAAGTGTATCCTTGTTGGAGATCCGAAACAATTACCTCCAACGATCTTCTCGAAGGAAGCGGTCCGTTTCCGATACGCACAGAGCTTGTTCATGCGCATGCAGCAAAACCACCCAAATGACGTGCATCTACTTGATGTACAATATCGTATGCACCCGGAAATCAGCCAGTTTCCCAGCCAGACATTCTACGATGGCAAGCTCTTGGACGGTGGCGATATGGCCAGCGTGCGTAAGCAACCATGGCACCAGAGTTCGCTATTGGGACCCTATCGCTTCTTTGATGTGAAAGGACAGCAACAAAAAGCAACTTCGGGCAAATCACTCATGAACATTGCCGAGATCAATGTCGCATTGCAGTTGTATCACCGCCTCACGTCTGACTTCCCCAATTACAACTTCAAGGGTAAAATTGGCATCATCACACCATACAAGAGCCAGCTTTACGAGATAAAAGAGCGTTTCAAGAGAACGTATGGACAGACCATTGTCGAGGATATTGACTTCAACACGACAGATGCTTTCCAAGGTCGTGAAAACGAAATCATAATCTTCTCCTGTGTACGAGCTAATGGTGGCATTGGCTTCCTTGACGATGTTCGCCGTATGAACGTCGGTCTTACGCGAGCCAAGTCATCGCTGTGGGTATTGGGTGACTCGACGTCACTTCAATCAGGAGAGTACTGGAGAAAGCTGATTCTAAACGCACAAGAGAGGAAGCGGTTTACCGATGGACAGGTTTCAAGAATGCTTGAACAACATTCGAGCAATTTCCCAGCACCTAAGGAAGGTTATATGCAGGGCAACCGACCGATACCAGACGTCAAGCCAGAAGTTCAGTCGGCGAGTAACCAGCCCAACTCCTCCATGATGGAAGTTAAGAAGGAAGCGATCAAAACTGAGATGACGCTTGTACATCACGAGAAGCGCAAGTTCGAGCAACAGAGCAACGGCATGGACACCAAGCATGAAAGCAGTGATGTTGAGATGGAAGACGCTGCGTCCGAGTCTGCGCCCAACACGTCGAACGGAGGCAGTGGTCAGTCGACACCAGCTGCTCAGGCTGATGCGACGCGGAAAGGGTCCACTCCTGGCTTAGAGGGCTTAGAGGGAAGTAATGGGACGGCTGGGGCGCCTGCTCCTATCACGGGAGACGTCATCGGAGGCATGTCCAAGGCAAAGGCAAAGATTCGCAGGCGGCCTCGCCCACCACAGGATCCGTTCATCAAGAACAAGAAGCCGAAAAGCGGCTAATGCTGCAAGAGGCAAGAACGACGAAGCTGAGACCTGTGTGATAATACAGACATATGCATAACTCAGCGTGATGCTGCATCTACTATGTAGAACTTGGCGGGACTTCAGGCATTGAAGTCGCGCCCTCATGTATCATATACCTCTCCGATAGTCCAGGGCCATATGCCTATTAGTTTAACCGATATGATCTGCCATGAAGCCCGAGGCGCTTTGTGGCTCAGATCTGGCGGGCAACGATCGACATGCACGTCTGTGCTTAATCGTGAATCAGGGCGAATATTGTTTTCCCCTGGACCCCTTTCTAGCGCCCCTCCAGCCGTTCGTGAAGATTAGATTTCCTGCTGCATCGTGAGCTTCTAGTGCGTGATGCGCGTGGGCGTGGCTTGTGTCTGGCAAGAGGGACGCGACTTTCCCTGCTTCAGCGGATTATGCACTCGAGTACCACAACGATGCACACCGCCCTTTATCGCTCGTCGATTCCTGCATCTCCACACTGCAAGCAACAATCACCTGTCCTCCGTGCACGTTATTAGAGATCGGCAATTTGGTCGCTGCATCGTAACGTTCGCAAGGCGCTGCATCTCGGAAGAGGCAAGCTGCACATCGACCTCGTTATCTTTGTACCACTCAAATGCCAATCGGCTTTGTGCTCCTGTACTACATACTCGACGCGCTTGTTATCGTCATCGGCTAGTCAAATTACGCCTGGCCATCTGCTGCGGGCTGATCTTCCGGGTCATGCTTCTGGGTAACGCACTGACAGTCCAAGTTTAAGTTCACACTTGTGAGATGTCAATTTCCAGCCGCTCATCCCTGTCTGTCGGCCTCTTTTTACAACCTCATTCTTTCCAACGCTCTCCGTGAGGCCAAAGAAAAAAATTCTCCGGGACTTGTGCCCGGCTTTGGTCGTCGGCTACCGGCTTCGCTGTCAATACCTGCAGTGTCACACCTGGCGTCACCTCCCACCATCACGAGGTCAAACAACTACCCCTACCCTCAGATCCACACCGATTGTACGACGTGCTTCTCCTCCCTTCTACTCGAGAATCTGTCTTATCTGGCTGAAACCTGGGCGCAAGAAGGCTGCCGCTCGCCATACATTCCCAGTCGCTGAAGCCAATCCCGCGCCACCACCGCCAACCATCAAAGCCAAGATCCTATCTCATCCCTGCTCAAGGTTACAGTCAGCCTCCAGCAGTCTTCGTGAGATACCACACCACTACTCTACTGCGCTACCCTTTTCTTGGTTGTGCCACGTTCTCGCTCAGCGTTCCCCTGCTGGGTAGTGCTCACAATTCGAATTGGGATACCGGATTGGGAAGAGGTCTAGGATTCCGGCTTTCGATTTAAGGCTATCTGCCAATCCGGTCGCAAATATGACCTCTTCCTTGTCCACCGAAAGCCTCTTGAACGCCTTTCCCATGTTTGGACATACCGGTTGGAGTGCTCTCGAATATGCTGGCGCGTTTGAAGCGGCACGTCTGAGGGACACAAGCGCAACGTTGGAGTCGCTCAAGCGCAAATCAACGGCTTCGACGCAGGACGAGAACACCACGCCGCCGTCCACTGCAGGTACTCAGCCGACTGGCTCTGAGCCATCATCACCGGTGCACTTTATAGACGAGTTTGGATGTCAGCAAAGGCGCAAAGGTACCTTCCTCAACCACACTCCTCGCGACTTCGAGATGCGGACTTCTAGGCCGGACTCTGTAACGACCTCACAAGGAAACTACTCACGTCCTAGGACATCTCATGGAACTACTTCACCCAGCAAAGATCAGGGCTTCACGAGTCCACACGCATACAGCCCGTCAGTAGGCTCTTACATGTCAGACGTCCAGACCATGATTCGTCCCAAGGCTCCCGTCGAGTTGGATTCAATGGAAGTCCAGGCGTCGTCACCAAAAGTCCCCCAGTCTGTGGAAAGACAAATTCGTCGCTCATTGTCTGTCCCTACAGCTAGGGTACTGAATTACGAACCACGGTCCACCATCTCTTCCGGATATATGAGTCGAGATGACAGCGTTGGATGTGAGAGTCCACCAATCAGTCCTCTGCAAGACCAGAAGCGTCAGCGACGCCAAACGCCATTCAAGATTGCGAATCCGAAGGCAGCACGACATGCGCCATTGGAGCCCCTGGTTGCAAAGCACAGACGCAAAGCCAGCCACGACACCGTTATCGAATTACTTCCTCAGATCGAGACTGACCAAACTGGAGAAATGGGAACGTTTGGAGTGATTCAGAGATACTTTGATAGCCAGACGGGTGGGCCGGTCTTGGCATCAAAGTCACACCCCCAAGTTTGTTCGACAGATCCATTAGATGGATATCCTCCAGCATCTGGGCCCGCCTCTTTGAAGACAACTATAGAGCCCATCGCCATATATCCTATCGGAGAATTGGTCTTCAACGAGCCCCCGCCAGCAGTACCAGATCGAAGTCCAAAGCGGCTCACAAACCCAGCATTTCCACTTTCTGTCAAGTCCATCATGGCAACAGGTAACGATATTGACATTGCTGCCGATGGAAAGAAGTCGTCAGTCCATGAGCATGATTATCTGGAAGACGCTCTCAATCTGCCGAAAAAGCGGACTTCAAAACGCCTCGACGTGGGACAGGCCGGGCGTGTAGGCTGCTCCCAAGTAGGACGACTGGCGCCACCAATTCTAAGCCACGACGCCCTGACTGCGAGTGCTGACATGGGCCTGAACGATCTCAGCTACTACCTCAAGCATACTGGACCGACAACTGAACCTCAGCCGACAGTACTAGAGCGCAAGAAGATGAAGAAGCTATTCAAGGTCAAGCAGCGCAAAAGTCTGGCAGCTCGTGTGGGAACTGTGGAAAGCTCTCCACCCGGAGTACGCAGACAGGCATCCATTCCAACTTGTGCTCGCGAAATGACGACTTCTGGTGGAGCAAGGCACCTTAGGATCATCATACCAACCGAGAGTCCGCGTAATACTCAGCTCTTCTCCACTCCGCTGTCTCAACCTCGAACACAACGACGCTCTCGGCATGAATCCATTACCTTTGACGAGGAGATGCTCAATCCTTTGGCAAGCCCGGAGATTGAACGTATACTCGCCAAATTTGAGACCCGTGGTCGTTCTTTTTCAGCGCCGGTCTCTGCATCACAGCGCAGCCCGAAGAGACCTCCACAGTCACTCAAAGCTGTCCCTGTGGAAGACCATCCGCTTGCTGAGCCGCGTAAAAATCGAGAAGATCAAACCAGAGCCCGTAAGCTACGGGACTTGCAGCGCATCAAGCGAAAGCCTCTACCGTCTTATGGAGAGAAAGAGCAACATGTCAATGCCATTGGCGGGGCTCTTCCGACGCCGGCACACACACCGGAGCCTCTCCAAAGCTCTGCTCTTGATATCGATAGTGGCCACGACGAGGGCATTGAGGAGGAGAAGGAAGTCGGTGAGCTTGAGCAGTTGCAGGAGAAGGTTGTATTGCTAGAGAAACAAACCAAGGAGTTGAAGGAAGCGTTGGCATACATTGTAGGCCTAGAGCTGGACGGAGACCTGGAGACTGAGAAAGTTCTGAAGGCGTTCAAGCAGGTCAATTTTTCGCGTGGTTGAGTACTGGATATTGTTTTGGTGGCAAAGCAGGATAGAAGGATAGGTGATGAGATGTAATGACTAGTGCAGTATCACGGTCTAGATAGCGGTGATTTCTTTTTTAAGCAACTGCAGGCCACTACGTACAGTAGCTAGAACTAATACGGTATGCCTGTCTCCAAGCAGGCAGAAGTGGAGAGTTTGTTAACGGACATGAGGCTACTCCTGACGATCATGACGCCTATTGCAGAATATGCTAAATTTAGATCTGGTTCCTGGATTCTTAGGTGGCTTAGTCGGGACTTTTCAGCTATCTGCAAGTCCTACATATAACCATTTTCTTATATATTCCCTTCGCCTTTGAGCCAATTTTCTTACTTCTCTTCGCCCTTCAATCGCTCCGTCTACTTCCCTCTCTTCTCGCCGATTTGAAGCCGCGGTTCCTTTGCTCACCGCCCTCTTATCGATAGCGCACAAAATCCCCCCACGACCCTGTAACCAACGCATCCGCCAGCAAGCCACAACAGCTCAACGGCATCTCCAGCCCCCTCCACGACCCTCAATTCCTCGCCCAATCCCCATATCACCAACCATGGCAGCAACCGACGGCCCGCTCTTCAGCACCGACCTCATCTCCCCTGAAGTGCTCAAAGCACTCCCAGAAGGTTACGGATGCAGACCACTTGAGAAGAAGGATTACGCCAATGGCTTCCTTGATGTACTTAGAGTACTCACAACAGTCGGCGACATCACGGAAGAAGTATACAAAACCACCCCTCTTCCCCCACTACTCCCCACTAACACCCCAACAGCAATGGAACAAACGCTACGACTGGATGTCCGCCCGCAACGACGAATACTTCCTCCTCTGCATAACCGACTCCTCCAACGCCATCGTCGGCACCGGCGCCCTCATCGTCGAGCGCAAGTTCATCCACCAACTTGGTCTCGTCGGCCACATTGAGGACATTGCCGTGGCCAAGGACCAGCAGGGCAAGAAGTTGGGGTTGAGGATTATCCAGGCGCTCGACTTTGTGGCGGAGAAGGTGGGCTGTTATAAGACGATTTTGGATTGCTCCGAGGCGAATGAGGGGTTTTATGTAAAGTGTGGGTTCAAGAGGGCTGGGTTGGAGATGGCGCATTATTATGGGCGGTGAGCGGGGATTTTGGGGGGGTGAGGTAGGTATATGGGGTATGACGGCATTTGAGGCGTTTGGTTATATGGAGGTTCATGAGCTAGATCTCATGTTAGGGTGTGGGATATAGAAATGACTCATGAGGAGGGATCTGGAATCTGGAAAATGCACATGATTGTATTGCCCATTGACACCGCAGGTCCTCGATGAGTAGCATTCTGATATATATACGTGACTAGTGGTTGAAACTGACTGATATGTGCGATTTTGTTACTATGGAGCCATTGGTTTGCTCACAGCCAATGATGCTCAATCGGGATCCACTCTAACCTAATCAGGGCGCTTATATCGCGGGAACTCGCAAGGGACTTCAAGTTTGCTCACAACAAACTTGACTCATACCCCGAAAATAAGAGATGGACTTACAAAAAAGAATCGCAACATGAATGAATCTGGACAAGAAATATATCACGACGATACAGCAAGCAACATGGTTGATAATGCACCATCCACACCCAACAGCGAAGCAGCCATGACCCAACCGCCCTCGACTCCAAACCCAGCAGATGAACAACCACCCGACAACAACAAAAAATTCACCCCTTATGACCCATATCTAGCCCCAAAGATTCCCTCTGGCCTACCTCCAGAACTCTGGCTCCTCATCCACTCGGCCCCCGCAAACTTCGCACCTCAGTACTTTCTCGAAGTAACCCGCAACCTACTCGCCAATCCAAATCTAACCGCCTCTCATCTTGCCCGCGCAGAACTCTCGTACCAGTCCTTCAACGACGCGACATTTAATCCCAAAGCGCAGACGTCTGAAGAACTCGCTGGTATTGTGAAGCATTTGCGGGCGGAATGCCGGCCGAGGCTGCTTGAAGGTGGGGTGGAAGGGTATGAGCTAGAGTATACAGTTGTCCGAAAACTGGTGCCTAGGAATCCGAAACTAGATGAGTCGATCATGCAGACATGTCATTTGTTTGTATCTGAGGCAGATATCGCGGTGAAGAGTGAGGAACAGGAAGAGACAGTCAAGGCAGAAAGGTACATGATCATCTACATCCCACATGTAACTGACCACGAGCGCATGCCTTTCTACCACCCCAAAGTCCGCGCTCTGGCTATCCTTTACACCTTCTTCCCTTCTTCTTCTTCTTCTTCTTCTTCCTCCTCATCAGCAAGCAGCACGCTCATCCCGCCAAACACGGGCGTTCTATCAATCCACTACGACCTCTTCCCCACACTACCCCTAGACAACAGACTCGCGCGCACGGCGCTCAAACTCCTAGACGTCATACACAAGCACTCGCGCGGCCGGGCGGGCGGCTACACCAAACGCGTGCATCACGATCAGGTGATTGGGCAGAAGAGATTTCAAGACACGTATGCGTATCTCAAGGGCAAGTACGCGAGGGTGTTGATTGAAGGGTGGGTGGAGCAGACGCCGGCTGAGAAGCATGTTTTTGAGGATTTGGGTATTGCGGCGTTTTTGCACGAGGTGTGGGTGGATATGTATGGGGAGGTTGCATCCTCATCAAGAGAAGATCAAGGAGAAAAGGGAGGAGAAGAGGATGGGAATACGACCGATCCAGACCACCGCAAAACAACCGCCCAAGCCAAGTTCCCTGGCTTCGTAGATATCGGCTGTGGAAACGGCCTCCTCGTGCATATCCTGAACAACGAAGGTTGGCATGGCTGGGGTTTCGATGCCCGAAGGAGGAAAACTTGGGATACCTTCCCTCCCGCACACACCGCTAAACTACACGAAATGCTCCTCGTACCCGCGATCTTACAGTCATCTTCCTCTCCTTCCTCGACAACAACAGCAGAACCCACCAACCCACCCCACCACAATGGCATCTTCCCCCCATCCACATTCATCATAAGTAACCACGCCGACGAACTCACACCCTGGACCCCGCTCCTCGCCCATCTAAACACCTCTCCCTTCATCGCTATACCATGTTGTTCGCACGACCTGGCAGGCACCAGGTTCCGCGCGCCTGTGCATGCGAAACACGTGCTGCATGATCCGACGACAGTGGAGTCGAAGAAGAATAAAGCGCCTTCTGCGTATGCCAGTTTGTGTAGTTGGTTGTGCCATTTGACGGAGAAGACGGGGTTTGTGGTGGAGAGGGAGCACTTGAGGATTCCGAGTACAAGAAATATTGCGGTGTTGGGGAGGAGGGTGCGGGATGAAGATAGAGGTTGTGCAAGTATGGAGGAGAGGCTGGTGTTTTTGAGGAAGTTTGTGGAAAAGGAAATGGGTGGTCAGAGTATTGCTCAGGTACGCGAAGCGTGGATGAAGAGTGGTGATGGGTTACTCAAGCCAGGGAAAGGTGGACATTGATAGACACTTCATGCAAGGTGGATATTTCGCATGAGTGTCCACACAATATAGAGTTCAAACAGAATATTCTCCAAGTCACTGAAGTTTACTGGGTATCATTGAAAACGTGGTCATCTAAGACTGCGACATCGCAACTCAGACAAGCGATCCATTCGTAGTATCATCCGGTCATTTCGCCATATCCGAATCCGAACCCATTTTGTTGTGCAAAAAAGCACTACATGAATATGAACCTGTCTCTAGCCTACTCTGAACACGCCACGCATGTGCCTACTAAGCAGCGGGAGCACCACGTCCTCGGCCAAAGCCACCACGGAACTCAGGCTTGAACTCGCCAGGCGCGGCACCCTCGGCCTTCTCGCCGGCGTCACGTCGTCGGTATCCGTCACGGTCGCCGCCACGGTCACCGCCACGTCCACCACGGCCTCCGCCACGGCGCTCACGGTCATCACCGCCTCCGAGCATACCCCGGGGAGGAGCAGAGCGCTGCTGCTTGATGTGGGTCTGGGGCACAATCTCGGCGGGGAGGTGGAGCCATTCACGGAGGTAGTCGAGACCCTCAGGGGTGAGGGTGTAGTAGTAGTATTGCCATGAGAAGCGGGTCTTGAGGTAGCCGCGGGAGGTCAGGGATTGGCCTATTTTTGATTAGACTGTGAAATGCTATTTCACGAGGAGCGAGACATACAGGCTTTCTGTATCGTGTTAGCGTTTGGATTGGATTTTGGAATTGATATTTTCAATCACTTACGACTACGTAAAGGTTCTTGGTGTCAATGTCGCCGTGCTTGGGAAGGTTGAAGTCCTTCTTGGCAACGAGTACGCCCTCTGGTGACCGTGTGTCAGCCTATCCCATTGCAAAAGTTGCAACAAAGTATAATTGTGCCATAGCCATGGCTCGAGTACGCGGGGAATTACTAACCTCGGAAGAGGTACCTGGGAAGACAAAGTTAGTTATTTCTTTCTTGTAGAGGGGTCAAGGGAAGCCAATGATCAAGTCGTATAGTTTCGTGCGAAACCCGAACCTAATTGCGCCCAATGACTTTGGTGGAGGTGGACTAACTCGTGGATCTTCTTGCGGTCGGCCTTGGGGATGAGCATCTTGACGTTTTGCGAGAAGTCTCGGGGATGCCTGGCGTTAGTTGTGAGGTCGATGGTTGAGAGTTCGTCGACGCGATTTCGACATAGATGGGTGGGCAGCTAGTCAGTCTAAGCGAACGCTATGACCAGCAGGTGCCAAGACCCCATCTCCAGTCTTCGCCGCTTTGCCCCCAACCAACCACCAACACATTCACTTCACGCGCAACCGCAATCTTTAAAAACACACAATCTACTGGGTTCCAATCTCGCCCTTGTACCCAACAACCGCAATCATGGACACCACCACACAGTCGCCCATTACCGTAATCGTCAATAGCATCCGCGGGCAAAACATCGCGTTCGCTACAGAGAAGGATGCACCTCTCACTTCCATCTACGACACACTCTACGAACGCGCACCTTGGATACAAAACTCATCCTACATCCTCACCACCAACTCGCGTCGATCAGTCCGCCATGACACAACACCCATCTCATCACTGCTTTCTTCGCCGGCAGACACATTTCTCTCCCTGCGTCTGACTGTACCGTTATGTGGTGGCAAAGGTGGTTTTGGATCGATTTTGCGCGCCCAGGGTGGTCGCATGTCCTCGCGCAAGAAGAAGCAAGGCGATGCAAATGGCTCGTCTCGCAACCTGGACGGACGACGCCTGCGCACAGTCACCGAAGCCAAGATACTCGCTGAGTACCTAGCCATCAAGCCGGAGATGGAGCAGCGAGAAAAAGACGAGCGTAGGAAGAAGTGGGAGGATATCGTCGAAAGCACCGAGCGAAAGCAGGATGAGCTCATGAACAGCAGAGGCACAGCACGTCTAGATGGAAAATGGGTAGAGGACAAAGAGGAAGCGGAGAACAAGACACGAGAGGCTATCGAGAAGATGCTCATGGCACAGCGGGAAAGCTCAGAGGAAGATGAAGACGATGTCCAGCCGACTGCTTCTGCATCAAAGCCAGTGCAGCAGCGGGCTATGTTCGGCTGGGATGACGAAGACGATGAATTTATGAGTGACAGTGAAGAAGAGGACGAAGTTTCTGAAGAGGATGCCCAACCCGTTGTTGAGGGCAAAGGAAAAGCAAGGGCCACTTGAGGTTATCCGGATAAGCTTGGGACTGGATATGAGGCGGTTTGATCATTAGCAGCATGCACGGGCGTTAAGGTGACTTTTTGAGCCATACATAGATACCCAATACCACAGTAATCTTCTCATGAATGCTGTGCCGTTCAAAATGTACATACTGTCAAGTACCCGCCGTGACCTACGTCAAAATCCCACGATCAATTGTAACACTCGACGTTGCAAGTTCTTTTATTGGCTGATCTGTTGCTCTACAACTTCTGCACTACCTCACTATCGCTGCTATCTCCTGTTGGAGTAAGTTTGGTGTCAACCGTCGGAGAACCTGCATATCACAACGCGGGATGACTAGTCCCGCACTACTGTTATCGGCTATCCGACCCGCCCCTTCCCCAACTTAGACGCCGGGCCATGTCATGAGATGCCGACTTCCATGACCTGTGCTGCCATGACTTCCTTTCATCTTCATTCTCTGTCTTTCTACTTTCACAATGGCTCTCTTGAACAGTAGGTTCCCTGCAGGCCTTCGGATTGCAAGCAGACGCTACCCTACGCTGAAAGCTGGACCGGCAAGGATTGGCTGCGAGCATTTCAGACGCTTCTCCAACTCGCCGCAATGGCAGATCAGGACTAAGGAGATGAATGATGAAATGATCAGGGATCTCAAAGTTAATCAAAAGCGGTTGATGGATGATATTCACCACACATGTCAATGGGGCATAGGGGAGCGATGGGGAGAGTGAGTACTTCAAAGATACTTGCTAATGAGGTGTGTTAATAAGGGCAGGAAGCCAACAGAGACAGGAATGAGCCGTCTGGCCCTCTCTGACACTGACAAAGCTGCACGTGACTGGTTTGCCGAGACAACAAAAGCCCTAGGTAAATTTGGCCACTACAACAATAGTATTCCAGTACCAGCTAACACCCATGTAGGATGTGAAGTCACTGTGGATGCCATGGGAAATCAATTCGCTGTTCGGCCAGGTCTTAGGAATGATAAGCCGCCAACATTTGTCGGAAGCCACCTTGACACCCAGCCAACTGGTGGAAGATATGATGGCATTCTAGGTGTTACAGCAGGTGTTGAGATGCTTAGAGTTCTCGCTGACAATTGGACGGAGACCGAGTATCCTGTCGGTGTGGTAAACTGGACCAATGAAGAAGGCGCCCGGTTTCCCATGTCCATGGTCGCGAGTGGAGTATGGGCAGGTTCTATACCTCTCGAAACGGCACATAATCTTCGTGAAGTCCATCCCGGAACTGCAACGATGAAGTCTGAACTTGAGCGTATTGGCTATCTGGGCAGCACACCAGCAAGTTACGAGGCTATGCCCATGGCGGCACACTTCGAACTTCATATCGAGCAAGGCCCGTTGCTGGAAATGGCCAACAAGAAGGTCGGCGTCGTCACCGGAGTCCAGGCGTATAAATGGCTCACCGTAAAAGTGAAAGGAAGAGACACTCATACTGGCACAACCGATCTCAAATCACGAGCGGACGCCTTATTGACTGCAAGCAAGATGATTATACACTCGCACCGTCTTGCAACCGCGAATTACGCGCTAGCATCAACAGGCATACTGAACTTGAAGCCTGGCTCCACGAACACAGTACCGGGCGAAGTGATTTTCAGTCTGGATATTCGATCACCCAAGGACGAAACAGTCGCGAAGATGAAAGAGCTGGTCCTCCGTGATTTCGCCAAGATAGCTGCCGGAGAAGACGTCGATGGCTCAAACTATGGTTGCACAAGCGCTCTTCCACTTACAGTCGACATTACCGAAGACTTCGACAGCCCAGCCACAAACTTCCACGCCGATTGCATCGCATCTGTCCGGCAGTCTGCGAACAAGATTCTCGGCCCCAACCAGTACATGGAGATGACATCTGGGGCTGGCCATGATAGTGTTTATGCCAGCAAGCGCTGCCCGACAAGCATGGTTTTCGTACCTTGCAGAGAAGGCGTAAGTCATAACCCACGCGAGTTTTGCAAAGAGGAAGACTGTGCACTAGGCGCACAAGTCTTGCTACAAAGCGTAGTCAGGTTCGACAGAATGAGGGACGAGAGGCGAGTCAGTTGGAAGCAAGAGCCATACACCCTGTGATATTCAGATTGGTTAAGTGTAGGACTTGGAAAGATATGGGCAGGTATGACAAATCCAAAATGTCATACCGAATTACGCCGCCTGACATAACATCATGATACATAAAAATATACAATAGTACACAAGGCCAACAGGCCAAGGGACCTGTTCAACCCACGTTCATGAAGATCTCCATCCGAAACTCCTTTGACTTTGTTTTTCATGCAACGTGCCCATGGGCCTGAAAGGTTGATTCCCAGGAGGCACAAAATCTCCGAATTCACTGACTGATTTGTGCGACGGCGCTATGTTTGGATCTGCTCCAGTGGGTGTCTGAAGGTTCCATGAAACTACCGATCCAGGTCCAGGGCCTGTTGTTACGGTTCCTTCACCTTTGAGTTGAGGTGGTTGCGACGGGTAAAGGGCTTCTCTTTTCTTCCTCCGGCTTCGCCGCCACCAACAGCAATATCCGATCAGTAGGGCAAAGAAGAGTACACCAGCTCCGGCTACTGATATCAGTGCGATTGCTGTGACACTGATTGGGCTTCCACCACCACCGCCGCCGCTGCTACTTCCACCGCTACTACTGCCACCGGTGGCACCACTGGGTGACGTATTCGTAGCAACTGGCACATTGAGACCTGGAACTACAATGCTGGAGCCAGAGTCCAACACCACACCACCTCCATTAGGATTCGAGTTTCCAGTCGGAGCCGCAGCGCCATTTGTCGGCGTCGCCAGCACAAGGATAGCTTCTGTCGCTGTCCCGCAAGTCAACGAGTAATATGTATTCGGGTCTCCGAGTGCCGCGCTGCGCGCATACTGGACACAATTGGGTGCCTCGCTTGAGCTACAATATACAAGTGAGTTTCATGGGATGAACGAGAGAAGTTGTTGATGGATAAATACGTACCACTGCAAGATTGAGCCGTAGATGGATGCGCAAACTGACTCTGGCAGGTCGAAGCCGTTGCAGCCACTTTCTCCGTATGGTCGACAGAATCCCCAGTTACCCTTGCACTCAACGTTGTTACAACATGCGAATGCGCTCTTTGTGGTGATGCAGTTGTAGTCCTGTGGACATGTCACGGCGGACGCTGTTTACATGCGTTAGACGGTGATTGCCGACGCTCTAGATATATGTGTACCTGAGTTTCCGCGAATGAACCCGCATGTCGCGATTGCTCTTTTGAATAGATCTCCATGCACGATCGGCGCTGGAGTAATAACACTTGCTGGTGCTTCTGCCTTGGCCCCCATTTCTCGTACTGCTACACCGGGAACATCTTTCGCAGCAGCCAGCCACAGGAAACTCGAAACCAAGAAGAAAATCTCTATCAGCATCGCGAACCTACTGTACAGTGAGACAGTTCGGGCCGTTATTGTTAGTATGTTTGTAGGTATTCAACGAACCTCGGGAAAGCGAACTGGTGGGTATCAAAGATGCGAGTACAGGTGACCTTATTCTTGGCTACCCCTGTAGACGAGCTGAAAGTTAAAAGTCTCAGCCTTGCTGCATTCATTTACAAATCCCGTGTTACCTCGGCCTAGCCGAGCGCCACCAATATTCTTGACAGGTTCTATTGGCGCGCTCGTTCGTGGGCGGGGTGGGACAGGAAGGCGGCCTCTGGGGGTGGGACATGGTGCTGGTATCTAACCGCTGTGCAAGCCTTGTGGCTGCGGACTAAAAAATTGGCTGTAAGTCTTCGGGTACACGGATAGAAATCTCTGGATGGGATTGTGTGTTTCTTGCTCTAGAGGTGTGGGTTATGGAGTGAGGATATGTGTATTGTCGTTTCCTAGCATGCAGGTGGTACGAGGAATGCGGGTGAAGCACAACAAAAAGTTCCCGCCTACCTACTCGTCGCCTCCCAAAGCTTCCTCGTAGCCTCCAACCTTTTTACTTTAGCACCCTTGAATACTAGTTTCCAGCTATCACTATGATTGTACAAGTCCACAAGGTCGCATTCATCCTCACCAGTCTGCCCACGTGATAGACCAATCTCATTCACAAAATTCCATTGCCGTCCGCACTTTTTGTCACACTGACACGGGACCCACTTAACGAAGCGCTTGAGCATTTCACGGCGGTTAGGCTCTATCGTCGTCATCTTTGGGACGTCGGGAAGCGACGTCTCTAGGTGAAGCATGTATAGAACTGCCATTATAAACGGTTTGCGATGGATGGACCTGCGCACGTTGTTCGTGTCGCGGAGCATGCGCATCCAGACTTCGAATACTTGCGAGGGAGAAGGTGTGCGACTGGGACCGAATTGCGCAAAGAAAGAGTCGACTGCAGCGAAATGTAAACATAGAAATACTTCGTAGGGATTTGAGATGCTTACAGGTTACTTTCCGGTCTCTTGGTTCGCACCGGTCATATATCTCTTCGTACTTGTAGTATGAATCCAATGTGAGACGCTGCCAGTATGCCGACGTATCCTTTCTGATGTACAGAGGCCCATTGTGTAGAGAGTAGAACAGCTTGGTCGGGACGGATTTTGCAAGGGGCTGGGATTTTACGGAAGATTTGGTAGGTACTATGAATTCTAGACATCAGTATAGAACTATAGAGTAGGTGCTCCATTAGGTGAAGTCCTCTACGACAGCGAGAGTCAACGCACTTTGCTCGGTCCCCGCCACATTCTTCCAGCGTTGTACCATTGCCACAGTTTCGGGGTCGTTTCCGTACGTCTCTGTTCGCGAAGCAATGGTACCCTTCATGCTTGCCTCGTCTATCGCCACTTCGGAAAGATCAGGTGGATTGAACCGGAAGTATCCTCCTCTGTCCGCCAACTTCATATGCGCAAGATGAAAGTTGTTCGCCGTGTGCTGTGTCTCCGTAGCGATTGAGGCGATGCTCTTTGCAACCTCAACCACTTTCTCTCCGAACCCACGGAGTGCTGGCTTGCCTGTGCCGATAGATACCAGCACGCGGATCTGCGAATCAAAATCCTCCTCCTCCTTGTCGAATTGAGACATTGCCTCGACGTATAGCTCCTGGATGGGATTGTTGAAGCCTAGGCCTGCATCGAGGAAACGGCGCGGTTCGCCAGCACGTGTAATCTCCATCGGCGGGAAGAACGAAGTTGCTGCTGATGTGGCGCGAGCTACTTCCCAGATCTTGACTTCGTTATAGAAGTTCGAGTGCTCGCCGTCTTTGGTATAATCGGTGAACAGAGTTGGTGCCCGGCTTTCCTCTGTAAGAGCGAGTACAACACTGTTCTCATATCAGAAAATTCGTTCAATCGTATAAGCGTCTTTGTCATACGTTCTGCATGTTGAATCCTTTGTTCCCCTAAAAGGATCATCCGATGTACGCCCAGCTTTCGATATCACTTGTTTGATCGCTTGCTCGATATGTTTGGTTTTGTACTTGGGTTGAACTTTGCCATTGCGGATTTTGAATGGGAGCTTCCTCCTGTCTTTCGGATCGAATATGACGTCCATCATCTCAATGTACGCCTCAATACATTGATCAATGGACATTTCCAGTCGACCAAGCATGATGGCAATCAGTCCTCCTGTACTGGTTCCGCATATCATGTCGAAATAATTGCATGGTTTGGGACTTCCCACGAAAGAGAGTATTTTCCTCAACATGTACAGTGAGGCAAGGCCACGTACGCCTCCTCCATCGAGACTGAGAAGTCGATAACCTCCTGGCGTCGGCATCTTCAAGGTGCTTGTAAATGTTAACACTGTGATCAGCAGAATGCAGGTACTAACATACTCAAATGCGCAAGGGGTTATAAAGGCTATGACAAGTAAATGAAAGAACGTAGTAGTCAGTCAGTGCTTCTGTGTACCATCAACGTTAGCTGCAGAAAACTCAATGAGAAATACGAACATGCTGCTGCCTATTCAGATTGACAGAAATCAGCCGCAATTACAGAATTCAAAGGGTCCTGCATTTCAATACCGTGCCCATGGTGGAACATCCAGGCCTCAGCCGCAGATGCCCACAGTGTAACCTTCTAGACACAGGGGCTAAGGTCGGTAACCCACTGGTCATCACACCCCACGGTGTTGTACATAGTAATTCCGGTTTTTAATCCTTGGCACACTACAGAAAGGTCGAGGTAGGAAGCTGCATACGAGAGTGGCATTGTGGCGTTGCTTGGCAGCGGAACAATTGGAAAAAGAGGGGTCCAAAACATTCAGCCTTGTGCCCGGAGGGGGCCTGATTGTCATACTTCCAAATCTAGAGTAGAAACCTCGGAGCTCTACACCGTGGTACATAACTTGAGCTTGCCCGACAATTACTTCCTTGGAAGCTTGGCCACCAGCCTTTCCCCAACTTCTCTTTTCAACTCTTCTACCGTGTCGCACATGGCGATTTCATATTTCTCACAGACGATTTGCACGTTGCCCTTTTTTGAAAATTCCTCTTGACAACATACCACTGCTTTCCCCGTATGCGCATAGAGTCCCAACTCAAGCAGCGTAATAGGCTGATCGGTCTTCCCTCCGAAGTGAAAGACTATCACATCGGCGATGCCTGCATGGTCCATCTCCCACTTGACTTGGTCTTTAAAGGGCTGGAAAGATATGTCTTCGATCCACGTGCTATCCCAAGCATCGCAAGTGGGGTCTAGAATAGCGATAGGGAGGTCTGAAAGTGAGGCTGAGAGATCCGCTCGCCAATCCTTTTCGGGATCGGTTGGCATGCCTCCATAAAGAATCACAGACGGTGATTCTACATCTGGTTTGTGGGGAGGTTTGTGAATGATGGCGCGAGCAGAGGTTGAGGTTTGTTGAGACATGTTTGCAGTGGTTGTGGAGAGGGGTCTGCAAGCACGATCCATTGACGTACATCATAACTAGTATTATGTAAGCCACTAACTAGCCAGCTGCCTGGCCCAGCCGCAGAGATCAACACGATACTTCCCAGCCCCAGTCTGGTACCCCCAAATTAACACATAAATTTACCGCAATCACTAATAGTACACACATGCGCAAGTCATTGTGACAGAACCAAGCAATCCAAATAGAGAGCCTCAACGCGGTGGTTATATCGCCCTTGCTGGTCCACCTGTCCAGACGTGTTGGGTATAAGCATCAGCCGGTGCGACTACGCCGCCCTCATAAGTAACCTGGACGGTCCGCTCATAAAGAATGGCTTCTTCACTGTCGTTGTCGGCCTTGAATCCGTGCCCGCTAACTTGAACGGTAGTCTCCCTCGGCTTCAAATCTTCTTTTGTCCCGACGCCAGCGAGAGGAATCTCGTCATCGCCGCCTTGAACAGTGTTCATCAATGTATCATATTGGCGTTTTTGATTGCCTGCGCTTCCCCATGTGCGTAGCCCAGGGCGGTTGCGGCCAGACGAATCCTTGTTGTCCGAGTTGCTGCCACTTTCGCCAATGAAACGCGGCGCTACGTGCCTGAAGAAGCGGCGCAAGGTGGGTAAGCAACAGCATATGATGAACAAGTTGGCTTCGACGATGCTGTGTCAAAGGTTAGCCAGAATTTCTTCGGGACTGTCAAAGCCCAGCACAATGGGAGTGCACTTACATCCAGAGAGAGCCTACGCCAATGATCCATGTCTGGTCCATATCTGTGATTGCAGGGAGAAGGACGACCAGGCGTATAATCGACGTGACCATGGTACTTGGTTTTGTCAGTACATGTTACCATAACCATTGCAGGTGACACTTACATGGAACCAACACCGAAGATAAGAGTCAGACCGATCTTCTGTTTTGTTGGCATTTGCAATCCCCAAATGGTCGGTATAGGAATGAGGATCAACATGATATCCGTTACAATACCGATCACAGCGGTGGTGATGTAGATGGCGCCTCTGTTCGTGCATTTCGCCGTCGGCAACAGCAGCGGGTCCCAGCTGGCGGCAATGGGCTTGCATGCGAAGACGACACTGAAAAAGATGCCGATGTATGCACCACTGCATATGAGACCGGTCGTCCATACTGCTGCTTGGTATCTCCTGGATGGCGAAAGTCGACTGTAAAAGACGCACAGCGTACATTTAGTCAGAGCACAGCATGGCGCATACACGAGAGGAGCAGCAAAAATAAGCTGAGATTATACCAAGTCAGTAAAGGGCCGGAGACACCTCGAAGACGAACGGAATTCAGCGTACACGCGAGTAGTAACCATAACGTTCAATTGGCATCTCCCAAGCATGCACACCAATAGCTTTGGCGGCGAAACCAGCCACCAGAAGAGCTTGTGTAGCTACTGATGCCATCCAACCGAGAATGATCATGCCTAGATCTTGTCAGTAAACTCTCAAGACTGACATATTAGGTCTGTTACCATCGTCAACTTGGAACTGCTTCATAAGATATATCTTTGTGTAGAGCCGCTGTATAAGGAACGCGAGGGCGAGAGCATTCTCTACGATGAACAGGATGTAAGTCTCTACGGCGAGCCTCCTCACAGGGTTCTCGAAATTGACTACATAGTCATCCGGTGGGGGGATTAATGTGATTGTGCCGTTGACGTTTGACATGGTGCCCCGAAGAACTGAACGAAGACCGAGTGCTCGAAGGGAATGCTATGGCGATCGGGAGCTGGACCCAACGGTTCCTCGTATGACGAACTGCACGACCATAAGGCTTCTATCTACGAATCCCCTGGGAGCAGGGGTCTGGCACGATCTGGCATACAAAAGGTTGCCAAGAGGCTTGTGAGCGAAATTTGCGCTAGGTTCCCGAGACAGGTGCAGTGGGACCAGTGAGTGCGAAGCATGAGTGCTTCGATCGACTCGAATTACTTTCCCCGTCACGGAGAAACCCGTGTCGCTCAAGGTGCGATCCAGATAAGGAGCTATACTCAGGGTTTCTTCTACCTGGTAGATATCTCAAAATACCCGCCCGTCCGTCAAGACCACGGCTGACGACTCATGCAGTTCAGTACCCTAACATCAGTTGATGCCAAACCTTATCGTATTGCAAGGCATTGAAGACCAAACCAGATGGATAGCAGCTTCCCTTAGTCCCCTACGATTCATGTCCACTTCCCCAACGATCCTCCCAGTTGGTACCAACTCCCGTTCCTGAGCACTGATAGCATTTTCCTAGGTGCGATCATCGCGTCCCTTCCAAATCGTTCTTTTCCTGCGCCTCTGAAGCTGCGGGATTGGCCCGTAGCCGGCTCATGGTACGATGTCGTAGTTGACGCGTGCAACGGGTCTGACACGAACTGCATGGCGTAGCAGCTAAACTCCGGCGGGAAGGACCGAAGCTAGCTGTTGACGTAAAACGGTCCGACTATCAACCCGCGCGGAGACGGTGTGTGGTGCAATAGGCCCTAATTTGACCGCAACGCTGACTATCGACGGATAAGTCGCTTGGACCTTACCCCCGACTCAAATTTGTACACGGTCGATGCAGATCGGCCTTGTTCGGGCGGCAGTCGGAGATTCTGCTCTTCGCTCTACCTGCCAATTTGGCCCGCAGACAGCTCTCTCTAGGCCCAAATGCATTACAATGGGCAAATCTCAAGCGGATGAAGAGAGCCGATCTTCTCGAGCCCCTCGGCTCATTTAACGGAGGAATACTATAAACTCTCACCCAGCTTAACGGAACCATACCCTCGTCCTACAACGTGCCAGGCTCTTCGACACTTGAGACAGGATGAAGTTCTTCGCGCCGACGCTCGTTGCCTCTTTGGGGTTGTACACTAACGCCGAAGCTGCTGGTGCGGAATTCCGAAACAACACACAGCCTGGAAGGGTCATCAACAATGTGACCTACCCTTTGTTCCCTCCCGTAAGTATACATCACCTACTCCAATATTGATTCGAACCTTGCTAACTATGGAAAAGTGCGAAGCTCTGAAGGCTGCCGGCTTGACCCACGTCTACCAGCTGGGTGAACCGGAGTACGACGTCCGAAAGACTTCGTACTGGTCCGTCAGCGCTCAGCTGAACCCCATCTGCGTTGTTCTGCCTCTTTCTACCCAGGAGGTGTCCACAACCATCAAGATTCTTCAGGACCCACCAACCAAGTTTGCCGTGCGAAGTGGTGGCCACACCACATGGGCTGGATCGAACAACATCAATGGCGGGGTCACTGTCGATCTCGGTTTCATGAACTCTACGACTTACTATGAAGGTGACACCACCGCCAGGATTCGACCTGGAGCGAGGTGGGGATCAGTTTACGGTGTGCTTGAGCCTTACGGTCTTACCGTTGCAGGTGGTCGAGCAAGCAGTGTTGGTGTTGCCGGTTTCCTTACCGGAGGAGGCAACACTTTCTTCACTGCTCAACGTGGTTGGGGTTGTGATCAAGTCAAGAACTATGAAGTCGTTCTTGCCAACGGGTTAGTAATACGATATATTACCAATTACTGTGAACAGTTTTACTAACATCGGATAGTGATATCATCAATGTCAACAACAAGAACAACACCGGCCTCTTCAAAGCTCTGAAGGGTGGATCATCTAACTTTGGTATTGTCACTGCTTTTGACATGGAGGTTTTCAAGCAAGGCAACCTTTGGGGTGGCTCAGTGACGTACTCCAAGAACTACACCCAGCAACACATTGATGCCTACATTGCATGGACCAGCAACGTCAAGAACTACCCTGAAGGCTCTAACATCATCTTCTGGAGCTATCTTCCCACTGTCAAAGATATCATCATCATTGGTGCGTACGAAGACACCGCCGGTAATGTCGCCCCTGCAGGCTTCGATAAGTTTACAGCTATCCCCTCTATGTCTTCCACTATGAGACTCGGGACTCACAAGAACCTCACCGATGAGCTTGAACAGCCCGCCGGTTACCGCGACATCTGGTTCACCATGCTCTTCAAGAACGATCGTGCAACTATGAAGTACATTGTCGACCTCCACGAGCAGTTTGTTGAAGAGTGGAAGATTGAGGGCCTCGAGCCCGATTTCATCACCCAGTGCATGTTCCAGGCCATTCCCACCGTTTTCAACGAGCGCAGCGAGGAGCGTGGCGGCAACGTGCTCGGCCTGAACCTTGTCAAGGATGATGCCATTATGCTGCTCTTCGACCTTGCCGTCACGACCGATGACAGCGAACTTCGCGGGAGGGAGAAGATCCGAGCTTACGGCGAGAAGATGCAAGCATTTGCCGCCGCCCGAGGCACCCTCGAGAACTGGCAGTACCTTAACTACGCCGACTCCTACCAGGTAAGACCCTATTAAAGTCTCCGAATCTACAACATGTCCCTGCATTTGCTAACGCGCCGCTATAGAACCCGCTCGGAAATTACGGCGACGAAAACGTTGCCAAGATTTTGGCTGCGGCTAGAGAGTTCGACCCAACGGGCGTTTTCCAAGAACAAACCCCCGGTGGCTTCAAAATCACCAAGGCTGCACCGGCAGGTGTACCGGTGGCTCCCAATTACTAAGACACGTCCAAGGGCATCGCTGCATAGCGCGACTTAGCGCAAGCTGCCATGACCACTCCACGTGCCTGACCTGGACCAGCGTCTGGTCGGTCACTGGGAGACAGGGACCAGCCTTTATAGAAAAACAAAAAGAACCAAAAGACATACACCGCCACTATTTTAACTGTCTAATCAGCGGACCAAATACCATGTCATCCGTCTTGGACATGATCGAGTGTCCGGTCCTTCATCCTAAATTAGAGTAGATAAAAATCTCACATAATGCACAACAATTTGTCTTACACCCCATGTCGCGACGCGATTCAGAGTCCGAGTCGCAGGTATATGTACCGTGTAGATCCCGGAATTATGGATCGATCGCCAATGCTATGGTAGACGGACCAGAATACTTGATTCGGTCAAGGCTCGGTTCCTTCGCATCTTGTTTATCATGCATTTATATGTCTCACGTTAACGGCATGGAAAAAGTGGAGGTGTTGGAGGCAATGTTTAATCTATAGCACAGTTTATTATCATATCAAAATACTTACCAATACTTACTTACCTTGAGTCTCTACCTGAACACACCCCTCTTGTGGTCGCGAAGAAATGCCGCGATGAGCAGTCGCCTCAGAGCATGGCGACGATCTCAGCCTCTAGGTCCTGATTAATCGACCGCGTATCACCCCGCTCTGACACAGCCTGCCGGGTAGCCTGTCGGGTAGCCACACGCGCTCGTAACCTCTCTGCGGCCTTGAAGGATACTTTCGCACTCTGCTTCATCTCCACAATGTCAATATCGCTGTCGATCGTGGGCACATAATTCTCGACCAAGGCCTTGGCCGTGATGCGCGACTTCTCGTCAGTGTTAAATAGCGCCTTGTACCATGTGTTCAGCTGGTTGCTATACGGTGTGTAGCTGCGTCCCGTCTCTGAAGCATCCCAATCCCGTACAAGTTCGCGCATGGTAACATTGAGAGGGCGATACACGGTGGGCAGGCGTTGGCGCCACTCCGGCCTTAGCCAGACCCGGCGGTCATGTAGAGGAGGATGTACCTTACCTGCCTTCTTCCTAGCGGCGATGAAAGCCTGTTTGGATTGTGTGGGCATTATATACAAGGCAAAAACCTGGATTGTACAGCCCAATGACCACAAATCACCAGACGGATGTATGGAGTCTTGCTCACTCAGGGGTGGCCAAGGTTGTCAGTAATCAATATCTCATCAATATTGTTGTTTGATTTGTTTGATTCGGAGCCAACCAACTAACCAACAGTTAGCCACTGTATTTCTGTCAATCAATCAACCAATCTTGAGAACAAAATGTTGATAGGATTGGTGTTGTTTGATAGTAAGCGAGGGAGGGGGATACCTAGGTGAGGCCTCTGGGATAGCTGCTCAACGACGAATTCTTAGTGTTGGATCTTGCTTACTAAGCCTACTCGCGTGTAAGTTATATGACCTAGGTTCCATCCCATCTCTCACTCACTCCAGGCTAGTACGTACGAGGCTTAGCGCCCACAACGCTAGCTGGCAGAGACATAGATCTCAATTCCTGTAGCACAATACACAACACGATTCACACATGTTCTATTCCTAGTGCTACTGACATCAGGCTTATAACATTTAACAACACCTTACTTTCTCGCGGCTCCGGCTTACTTTTAGCCTTATCCATGCCCTCTATACCAGCAAAACGCAAGCCCGAGGCTGCCGAAGAAGCTGATACTCCCTTCAAGCGAGCACAACGTACGCGCAAACCTACGCTCAAAGCGCTGTTGGGTGACGGCAGCCAGCCAACCCAGCCGATAGAGCTGCCAGAAAGTACGCCGGATCCGCCTACAGAGCCGCCTACACAAGTTATCGAGCCGCCCACACGGGCTATTGAACCGCCATGTAAGCCTGTACAACAACCCGAGGAGCGCCCTCGGCGGGCATCACCACTGCCTATTTTGGCTGCCTCACAAGCCTCTCGGCTCACTGATGAGCCAGCCTGGGAGTCGCAGTTAATGTTTGATAAGCCAGAGGACTCTATTGTACAGCCTTTAGCTTTCTCTAGCGCTGCCACTGAGGCTTCGGTGGAGGAGGATAGCGCTGTGAGCGTCGATTTTCGCGACTTTGAGGGCGTCGATTGGTCGCGATTAAAGGGGTTTGTCGCGCCGCTGAGCACTCCACGAGGCAAGGCAAGCTGGATTTTTCAACACGGCTGGCGTGTCTGGAAGGAGGGTACTCACCACCCAGATGAGTTGTACTTTGTGTGCAAGTACTGTCATATTCATAAGCTACCTAATGGTGTACACCGAGTAACGAAGTCAACCACTGCCGCCAACGGGCACCTCCAGCTTGATAAACCTGGTCATCGGCTCAGCAAAGATGGTCCAATCCTAAGCAAACCTCTCCGCAAACATGGACAACAATCACTTCGTCAGGCAGCTCTAAGCGGTGTCAAATTTAGTCTAGAGGCGTACAAGACTATAGGAAACTTCGACGTACAAGAATTTCGGCAGGCAGCTGCGCTCTGGCTGGTCGACAACAACAGACCACTCCGCGAGTTTGAGACGCCGGCTTTTCGCAAGATGATCAGGCTTGCTAATCCTGAGGCAGAGGCGGCGTTATGGAGGTCTCATAACAGCGTGTCAGCGTTCGTGATGAGGTTGTACAGTTGGCTACGGCCTCAGGTGGTGCGCGCGTTGGCTGAAGCCGAGAGCAAGGTACATATAAGCTTCGATGGGTGGACGACAAAAGGCGGCAAACGTGGCTTCTTTTCTGTAGTTGCTCACTACGCCAACAGTAAGGGCGCGATAGTTGACCTACCCATCGCGCTGCCGCAGCTGGTGGGTGCCCACACTGGTGAGGCGATAGCTGACGCTGTAACCAAAATCCTGCAATCCTTCAGCATTAATCGCAGCAAACTCGGCTACTTTGTGCTCGATAACGCTTACAATAACGACACCGCTGTTAACAAACTCGCCGCGATGTACCACTTTTCTGCCTCCGATCGCCGCCTCCGCTGCGCTTGCCACATACTTAACCTTGTTGGCCAAACGATTATGTTCGGGAGGGATGCTGACGCGTATAACAACGCCCTGGAGAACACAAAGATGGAGGATTTTTACATGAAGGAGTGGCGGAAAGAAGGACCGCTTGGCGTGTATCTTGATATTATCAACTACATCAACACGCCGAAGCAGTGGAGTATTTTTGAAGATTGCCAACGCGAGGCAGTTAACAGCATGCCCACAGGCGCCAGCGGCGGCACTCGCGAGCCAATTAAGCCGTGTGTTACACGTTGGAACAGCTATTACGACTGCTTTAAGCGCGGAGTTCAGCTCCAACAAGCTATCAACGCATACGCCACGTACCACATTCGCGAGACTGAACAGGCTGACGAACAGGCAGCTATTAGAGGAAACAAGCTGCCTGATGTGCCGCGGTGGATGAGGTCAGACGGCCTTACGGCGGCTGACTGGGCGGTGATTACTGAGTACATGGCGATACTGCAGCCGCTCAAGTTTGCTACAGATCGCCTCCAAGGCCGCGGCAAGTGTGGCCGTTTTGGCGCACTCTACGAGGTCATCCCAGTATTTGAGAGTGTGATAACTGAGCTGGATGCACGCCTTCGGCCATACGAATCGGTCAACCACGAGCCATCTGAGGCGCCCGAAGATCACATCCCGATCAACCTGCGAGCCGCGAGGCGAAAAGCGAGCAATTACTTTACTAAGATCCTCCAAAGTCCCATTTACTACGCAGCTACGGCACTACATCCACGATATAAAACATACTCTAAGCGCTTCTGGCGCGACAAACCTACACAATTGAGCACCGCGCACGCGAAGTTTCTGCGGGTTTGGGCTGCCTACAAGCCTGCCGCTGCTGCCACAACACCAACCCCTGCGCCAAAACCTACCATGAGCAGCTTTGACGACGCTATCGACGCTATACTAGATGAGGACGGCGAGCATACATTGGAGGTGGAGGATGAGTACGATAGCTGGTTAAAAGAGCCTATGTGGACGTCTGATCAACACAAGGAGGGTCCAACAGCTGTACAGTACTGGTTATCGTTGAAGCCGAAGTATCCACATCTTTCACGATTGGCGATCGACGTGTTGACTATACCCACCTCCAGCTCTGATTGTGAGCGCGTTTTTGCGGGAACTGGCGATATAATTGAGCCACAAAGGCGGAAAATTGGCGCGCAGTTACTGGCTGCTTTGGTGTGCTTGCAACGGTGGACTCGTGCAGGTTTTACAACACCAAGCACGACAACAGCAGCAAAGCATACTGATGAGGAGCTCACGGAAGAGTTTGCGATAGGAACGTGGGAAGAGCCGCCTGCAGAATTGTCATAGAAACGTCCCTTCAGAACCTTAAGTCTATCAATATTCAATCAATCAACCAACCAAAAATTGGCTCTTCAGTCTCATCAACTCAAACAAACAAACTGTAGCCCTAAGAAATGAGCCAGTCAATCAACATCTACGCCTCAAATGTTGGTTGTTTTGTTTGTTGACTTCTCTGGGGGTGGCCCATACTCCGGCGTGCCATAGTACCTGTTGCGAATGTGCAGGGGAAGTGGAAAGGGTGTCATGCGGGAAAAGTCTGTAAGCTTGAAGACGGGCCTAGTGGGTATGTCGTTGTCATCTGCCCAGCCGTCAGGGTAGCAAACGAGAATGTTCTCTGGCTTGAAGTCTGCGTGCACAAAACCTTCCCCATGGAGGAACTTCAGGGCCAGGGCCATGTCACCCAACAACTTGCAAACCGTTTCCTCGGGAACCTGTTCTATGATCTTCTGCTTCGCTAGCTGCGCGCACAATCTGAACTGCTCGAAAACTTTTGCTTGGTAGCCACGCAAATCGCCCAAGGGTGCATATTCCAGCAAGACTGCCGGCCCGCGTGGCTTGAAGTCAATCAAATACGCTAGTATTTCAACAATATGAGGATGCTTACCTAGAAGCTCAAGGGCCTTAGCCTCCTTCGTCAGGGCAGAGCACGGCGTGGGGTTGTAAGTCTGGTTTGGTGTCTTAACAGCAACCAATACTCCAGAACGCTTGTGTTTCCACAAACTGACGGTACCATCACCACCAGCCCCGAGCTTTTTAACGTGCGAGTGTGTCTGTATAAATCGGAAATAATTGGATAGGTCAGACAGTTTGGTTTGCGACATGGCAAATTGGTGTAGTTGTGTATCTGCGAGATGAGTTCCAGACTCAAATGCAGATTCAAAGTGAATGCGGTGGATGAAGTTTGGATAAAGCAGAATATGAAGTTTAATACAACAAAACGTGAGCATTGTGGACGCATTGTTCGTACACCAAGTATCACCACCTACCAATACACTGTTCGACAACATCGACGAAATCGACAACAACGAAAACAATGCGAGACTTTCTTAACATTGTACGGGAGAAGATCGCTTGGAGTAGCAGCAATGGTGCGACAACCCAAAGTATCCCAACCGTCACAGTGCCCCACCTGCCTTCACAGCGATCTTTCTCGCACCAGGCCCCACGATCACGCTGATCTGCTGAAAGTGAAAACCCACGCATACAATCTTCCGAAATGCTCACACTGTACATCGTACATACACGAGATCAAAGACGCATGAAATATGCATGGGAACCCCTAGCATCCCCCGTGAGCCGCTGACGACACATGCTGACAATACCGCTGACACGGAAACGTCAGATTGAATCTCAGCATTGACGCTGGAAGGTATCGCCGTTCCAGGGACATGGTCCAGCGTCCAAGCACTCGAACACGATCAATACGGATTGACTTACGGCACTGGTGGCTTGCATCATACGAGGCCATCGGCGTGCCCGCGGGTACGGTGAATCGGATGGTGACCTCGGCGGACTGGGTTGACACAAAGGTTGGAAGCTGTGCGGCTCCGAGTACGCCGTACTAATCCCGAACTCTTCCGCATTCGTCCGTATTTCTTGAAATGTGGCAACGTCCAGCGAAGACTACACAATTGCACCGCGGAACTTTCACTGTTCAAACTCAACTCGATGACGATCACAAAGAAAAACTTTCTTCACCTTAGTACCAATCACGTGAGACGTTACCGACACCGGCTTATTCGCCAGGAAGTCTAATCATCTGCAGCCGAAAGCTTCCAAAATGTGTAGTCTGAAGTCATTAGACAACTTACATACTTCACCGCATGCTAACTTGGTGGCTCCTAAATTTTGCAACTCCTGATTACTTAGATTGTTCACGCTACTCTGACAGTCTAGTCTGTCTTTCACCACATACTAAAATTTTCGACGCAGGGGATGGTCCCTCCTTATACCTTGATCCTCAATCATGCTGGCACAGATATAATGGTAGTACTAACATTCATGATTTTATACTGAATTTACTTTCTTCTCAGTTCACGACAGACCATACACGCACACCATAAGCCTATAAACCATGGACAATCATGATAGACCTATTTCCCAGGTATCTCTACCACTTCGAATGTCCCCATCTCTCCTCTTCTTCTCACACCATACACGCCCACTATAAGCCTATAAACCATAGACAAACATGACAGTCCTATGTACCAGGTATTTCTACCACTCCGTCTCTCCTTCTCATCCCCTCGTCTTCTCATCTTCTCATCTTCTCAACCCACCTACGCCCCATCCTTCTTCCTCTGCCCAACAAAAAACCCCAAGCCAAAATCATCCGTCTTGAAGGTAATCTTACTCCCCTTTGGAAAGAAGAAGACATCACCCTTTTCCGCTTTTACTTCCTTGCCCGTCTCATCTAAAAATCCTTGTTAGTCCTTCCCTGTCTATCTTTTTCACATTACTTCTCTCCATCAAACATACCGCTGATGTAAAAATGTCCATCAACTATAATCTTAATCTCATCATACGTGTACGTGTACACGAGTGGTGTTCCCTTTTCCAGACGGTAGAAACCACCGCTTATGGGCTTTTCGGGGTCAGTGGATTCGCTGTTTGTTGTTGCGGTCTGGTTAGTAAAGGTTCTTGCTTTTTCTTCTTCTGGGGGTTGGTTGCTTGGTTGTTGAGTTTTAGGAGAAAGAGGGGCGCGGAGACGCTGGGGACGTACGACGAGACTACATCGCCCAGATACGCGTTTTCGTTTGCGATGAGTGGGGGGTTAAACGTTGTTTGCGCCTTTTCGAAATATTGCATTGCTGGCATTTTGAGATTTGGGAGAGTGTTTTTGCTTCTGGTTTGTGGTTGTGGGGTGGTTGTGGTGATGGTATAGTAGGTAGAGGCTGTTATGTATTTACACGATAACTAGACACACACGTTAACAAAACTGTAGCTTATTATCCTCAGCTTCGATGTATCCCAAACATACCCTTCTTCTCTTGTGTATATATGTGAACACGGGGTATTCTTCCAACGGATTCAGAGAAGAGGTCAAGAAAACGGGACTCGGTACTTATATACTCCCATACATATCTAACCAACCCAACCGCCTATCCACCCAGCCTATCCTCTCCCCTACCCTACCCTAACCTACCCACAAACCCTAATCCAAACCTCCCAGCTCCCCTCCCCGTCCCCACTCCCTCCCAACCCCTCCAATCACCAACACCCCCAGGGACTCACATACCTTATCCAGCCTCTTGGCACTGCACCCTCTGCATACCTGCATCTCCGAAACCACCTCACTGGACCCACCATCCCATCACTAAGCTTCCGATTATTTGCCTGCCTCCCCTGTGGTACCTGCTGTCTCGCCAAAGACTATTTTCCGTTTTCGGGGAGAAAGGTGGGGGCGGGGCTGAAGATGTGATTGGGTGGGGTGGGGTGGGGTGGGTGTGTTTTCAATGTTGCTTATCGAGAGGTTTTCACGTGAGGGGAAATGTTTACCGGTTTTGTGCAGGTGCAGATGTGGTGACGAGGTTGGATCTAGATAGATGTGGATTTTTGTGAGTATGGGTTTTGGGGTGTTTAGTAAATATTTTCTTTCTTTATTCTCCACACTGTATGTGGTAGAATCGACTAAATCATATCAGAACAATGGGGTATTACATTCTAAGTCTTTGTGGTATAATTCAAATTGCTAGGAGAGCGAAACAAAAAGGAAACCCCAATCCGCTGGGAGTAATGCAGGTTGAAATATCATGTCCGTCGTTCCTGATCATCTTCATCTCGTCCATCATGCTCCTCGTCTTCTCTCCATTTCTTGCGCCACCATTTCAGCTTGAACCAGTCGCCAAGTGCTTCTTGGCTTTTGTCTGCCTGGCCGCTGCCGTATCCCCATGTATTTCTTCGCGACGAAGATTCCATAATGTCTGCATCGGAGGTGTCGCCGTCATCGGGATCGGGGTGGTTGAGGAGTAATGGGCTGCTGTCGGCGGGCAGTTTCCCTTGTGAGACACTTCTGCCTTGTCGGCTTCCGAGTCCTTCGAACCAGGATCGTCGACGCATGTGGTTGAGCCAGGCAGATTGGGCGTTGTTTCTTCGTGGTGGTAATGTTCCGGATCGTGGTCTTCGTTCCAGATCTACAGATTGTCTGGCAGGCGAGGGTAGAGTCTCTCTATCGTTGAGCTCGTCCCAAATCTCGTTCGTTTCCTCCGAGAGGGTCAGAGTCATCCTTCGTCGTCTCGAAGATTTGCGGGGTGTGTTTAGTTGTGGGCTCTTTTGCCCGCCCGCTTCCATCGCTCGCTTCTTCGCGTTGACCAAACTCAATGCAGAACCCCTGGGTGTTTTGGCTAACAGTGGTGTTCTTTCGTCGAGGGGCTTCTGGCCAGCTGACGCTTCCTCGTCACGATCCAATGGTGATGCCGGTTCGTCCACACTGTGGCTATGCGCGAGGCCAAGGCCAGGTTGAAGGGCCGTCTGAGGTAATTGAACCCTGCCGTGCTTGCTCGCCACTGGTGATGTGGGTTCTTCCTCATTGTCTTCAAGTCGCCAGCTCAAGCAGACAACACCAGCCAAAAGAATCACAGTCCCGAGCGCGATGAGACCGGCATGTAGACTCGACAGCCTATCACCCTGGTTAAAATAAATCAAGCCGTCTATGATGGCAATGATGTTGTATATACAGAATACCAAAGGATAGAGGACACTTGTGCTGCAAAGCTTCAGTCCACAGTGCATGTAGTATAGCTGGGTCAAGGCGAAGACGACCAATCCAATCAGAATCATCCACGATTGCCAGCGGTTGAACTCGTTGTGGCGATCGACAATGGTCCGTACTAGCAACTCGACGGCGCTTTTGGCGATAAGGAGCGAATGGGCAGAAAGTATGCCACTGATGCAACCAAAGAACATGCCGCGGACCAGGCGTAATCGGGGAGTGGTGCGAGGGTACATGTGTTTTAGCAGCCAGGTAGCGAAAAGCAAGAGGACTACTGCAACACCCGTCATGATCATCCACACGAGAAAGTGCTTCCGTCCCAACAGTACCAGTAGTTGATCTAGATTATGCGACGGCTCGGCGATGGCGCCAAAGAGAGCGATTAGCAATGCGCCGATTGCGACGAGCATTGTGCCGATCAAGGAATATTGGGTAAAGGGTTCGCTGAGGATGATGGAGGCGCATATCGAGTTGAAGACGAGGCCGGACGCCTGGAGAGTGGATAGGACGGGGAGAGGGAGTGTGGTGATCTGAATGGTGCTGCCGACAATGTTGGCCACGACGAACATGAGCATGCCCAGCTGTGTGAATCAGCGAGTAGTCCTGGTCACGGTGTGCGCATGGTTCCAGCGTACCTGCCATCTTCGTCGCTTGTAGGGTGGCCGTCTATCGTCGTCGTCGTCTTTCTCTTCCTCGAGGAGATGCGACTTTCTCTGCAGCGTGAGGCCAACACTCTGAATACTGGTGGAGGCGAGGCCGACCATTACTCCCAGCTACAGATACAAATATTAGTCATGTATTTCCCCGATGGCCACGGGACCTGGTACACTCACAGCAACGCTCGCGCCTCCCGAGAGTTCCACCATGGTTGCGTGGCGGCTGTTATGGCAGCACTGGGCGTATGGCTACCTCGACAACAAGCGCATGTTGTGCGTGGGCGGATACAGAGGGGTTGGAGGGCAAAAGATGCAGGTGGTCGGAGAAGCCAGCGCAGGCGTGGAAGTCGCGAAACGCCAGTCTGAGTCGGTGAAGTGCACGAGACTGGACGGTTGGAAGGCTAGCCGACGTCCGTGGCAAGGATCAGCCGACTGATGATGTAGTTGAGCAGCGAGGGAGCAGCAACTACGCGAGGAGGGTGCAAGATGGGTAATTTGGCGTAAATACTACACAACCAAGATAGGACATATACCGCATGTGATATCATGTAAGAATGCCGCAAGTATCAGCAGTAATACGCGCTAGAGCGGTTGAGTAGCTAGGAGGGACCTAGGTACGTACCTATGCCTAGGTGTCATGGCGGCGGGCAGCGGGCATCTGGGGCCCCTGCTCGAGCTGCGTGAACATCAACCCAAGCTCGTCACTGCCCATAGCCATAGCTTCGCACTTCAACAACCGCCCGTATATTCCACCCCCACCAAACACCACAACACCGTATACTCGACTCCTCAGTAATCCGGCCACCCACCGCCATCATGTCGCAAGTCCACGCCCTCTCCGACGACCAGGTAGGAATGCGCAAGCTCCCGCTTCATGCACGGCAGTCGCAGCTAATCCCCCATGGCACAGGTCGCCGGCGAGCTCAAGAAGATGACGGCCTTTATCCGGCAGGAAGCCATGGAAAAGGCAAACGAGATCCGGCTCAAAGCCGACGAGGAGTTTGCAATCGAAAAGTCCAAGCTCGTGCGCCAGGAGCAGGCGTCCATCGACTCGTCGTACGAGAAGAAGTTCAAGCAGGCGAGCATGTCGCAGCAAATCACCCGCTCCACCGTCTCCAACAAGAGCAGATTACGCATCCTGTCCGCCCGCCAGGAGCTGCTCAACCGCCTGTTCGAGGACGCCGAGAAGAAGCTGGCCGACGTGTCAAAGGATCAGAGCAAGTACCAGGGTATCATGAAGGCCTTGATCCTCGAGGGTGCATATGCTCTTAATGAGGATAAGCTGCAGGTCAAGGTGCGCAAGGCGGATAATGACCTCACCAAGAAGGCCATCGAAGAGGCCCAGACCGAGTACAAGAAGCAGATTGGAAAGGATGTCTCAATCACTATTGACGAGAGCGACCCGCTGCCAGAGGGATCGTAAGTGGACTCTCGTAGTTGTATGGGCCATAGCTAACATTAAACCTAGTGCTGGAGGCGCCATCATTGTCGGCACAAACGGCCGCATTGACATCAACAACACGCTACAAGAACGATTGAAGCTGCTCGAATCCCAGGCCCTACCCTCCATCCGAGTTACGCTATTTGGCGAGAATGAGAACAGAAAGTTCCACGACTAAGAGAGGGGTAGTATGGGAGAGGGGTTTTGTAACGACTGTGGTGCCTAGCGATTCGTGTTTTCATCGACGTGGCATGAGTGTGAATGCGTCTACGGGCAAGGAACAGTTTGCAGTGCAGACTGACTGTATTATGCGAGACGTCTGTAACTACTCGAAGTTTAGCGGACATGCATATGTCGTACATTCATCGCTATTTGCAAGACATGTCCATGTTTAACCTGCGCTCAGCATGCTTCAAGAACAATGTGACAAGTCAGGTTTGAAATGTGTTTTTGTTTTGCTATTGTTATCTCAAGCTCGATCATAGTTAAGCTGTATATGTACATGTGTGAAAGGAGGGTATATCCAACAAAATCCTCGCGCAAAAGCCCAGCGCTATATACCAAACCCCACCGTCATAACCCCGACTTACCAAAAGGAATGGATATCATCGTAACCGAAAGGCCCTCCCAAAACTCCAATGCAGCATCATAGCCGTGCAGTTCATGTACAACAAAGGAAAATCCCCCATCTCAAACCCTCTCATAAACCCGATCCCACACAGGACTCCTCACTCTCGCCTTCTCCCTCCCACTCCCCCCACCCATCATATTCCTCAACGGCCACTCCGTCTTCCCACTCTTACTACTACTCCCCATCTCACGCGGACTCCCCGGATCCCCATACCGATCCAAGCTCACATGTCCACCATACGCTCCATCATCGCCGTCGCTGTAGTTATTGTACCCGTCATGCGAGTACTCTGGGCCGTAGTCTTCTAGGTACTTGTAGCCAGCGTTGGAGTTTGTGAAGGGATTAATTGTCGTCGTTGGCGCTTGTGGTTGTGGTTGTGGAGTATGGCTGTATTGGGGCTGATTGTGCTGGATCGCAGCAGTGTCTTCGTCGTCTTCTCCACCGGAGGAATTATAGGGTGAAGCGTGATACCCACCGTTTGAAGAACTTGATTTGTAACTTGATAGACTGGATAGTACGAGGCCTGAGGAACTACTTCCACTATGGTCATCTGCGTTGCGTGCGAGTGGTGGGCGCAGGAGGCTGCGAGATGCCATGTCTGCGGCTGGACTGATGGGAACGGGTTTGCGTTTTATGCTTCTTGCTGAAGTGGGTGTGGCTCCAATTGGTTTTCTAGAAGAGGATCCGATTCTCGTGTTGAGTGGGGGTAGGTTGTGGCGGCCTAGGACGGGGGATTCAATCGCGGTTTCTGACTCGGGCTCTGTGACTTCAGCAACCGAGTGTAGACTTGTGTAGCTTGTTCGGCGGCCACGGGCGCGGTTGGACGAGTGGCTGTGGTAGAGGGCTGGGGCGAGTATGGGACGGTGGTTGTCCTGCATTCCCATCTGTGGTGCTACTGCAGGTACCGAGTTTCCTTGGTAAGAATCGTGTCGTCCTTCTTCAGCTATGGCGTATGCTTGCGATGGAGTTGGCGCTGCTGCTGGGGGTATTGTGTGACCTTGATAGGCTGTTACTGGGTCATAACCTTCATCTTCCCAGTTTGTGTCTTCTACAAATCGGCTTTGATGGTACGAAGGGTTCAATGGAGCTCGGTGTTCTAGACGCTCCCGACTCAAGCCTCGATCTTGAAATGAGAAGTGTGGGATAAATCCTGGCGATGAAGGAGGTTGGCTGCCTTCAATTGCCCTTCTTCTTTTCCGGCGTAGCAAGAAACAACAGCTGAATAACAGTACCGCGACAACAAGTAGTGCTAGCGGCACGCCAACACCGATTGCAACCTTTTCGCGTCTCGTCAGACCAGAATCGCTGAATTCAGGAGCTATAGGATCTGCAGTCGTAGTTGGAATCGCAGATGAGCTCAATGTCGAGGAGATTGATGCGGAAAGACTAGTCGCAGAGGAAGCACTAATCGACAGCAAAGTCGAAGAATCCGAAGAAGCTAAACTCGACGTCTCAATAGATGAGCTGCTAAGTGCTGTAGGTGTAGATGTCGTAACCTGTTCTGACCCCGATAATGAGGATGATTGTAAAGCGCTCGTCTCGGTCGGTGGTCCCGTTACTGACGCAGTAACTCCAGTCGGCAATGTTCCGCTAGCTGGTGGTGCTGCCGTCGCCGGTCCAAATTCACGTATGAAATAACTCTGGATATCGTATGGTAACTCTTGGAACCACTGAGGTCTCTTGTCGTCCAGAAACTCGGACCATAATATGCTCGAAACGGCGGGTATATTTGTGGCAGCGATTTGACGTAGCGAAAGTGGTAGTGCTGTGATGAGCACCTGTAAAATGTCAAGTCTACGCCAACGTTAGCAATGCTCTTGTGTAGTCTAATTGACCATGTCTTACGCATCCGGATCTTGTCTATGTTGTAGCGAGCGGACATGGACTTCGGCCGGTCGTGGTGCTGGCGTAATAGCAGGCATGGGCAACGCGGCACTGTATGCCAATCCCACCACACTTCCAAGAACCAGCCAATTCCATCCTCTTAACGAAAGCATGTATGCGCGAGCGAGTGTTTATAAAGAAAAGCAGTGATAATAATAAAATCGCAAACAGCGGGCGTGGTTTTCGTAACGATTAGTGTCAGCGCTTCATGTCTGGCAGTAGTAATCCAGGACCAGCGCCCAGCAGCAGCGGTGGCCATAGTTTTTGTCTTGTTTACACCCATGTTCAATGTTGCAGGCAGTTCATGCTCGTAATTCGTTGTGAAAGAGACAAGTCCAGCAAAGTGGCGATTCACAAGGATCGTCGCCATAGCCCACCGGCCTGCTTACCACAATTGGTGTTTTGGCGTGCAGATCAGGGTCTTGTCAGCTGGTTATGAGGTTACGAGGCCGCAGATTCGCCCCTCACTAGCCACAGCTCGCATCGCACTTTTGAGCAAATCGCATGTTGACGGCACCTTCCTTCCATCCTGTTGTTCCTGCCCACAGCTTAGCGCCCATCGGCACATCTAGTCTCCGAGGTATTATATCCGCTTTGCGACCATTGTTGTTTCTTACAGCGTCATCATTTGCTGTATCATACCAACCCCAGAAACCTCGAAAAGGATGTACATATCCAACCAATTTTGGTCCTCTGGCCTTCTGTATCATCATTTGACAAGCACATGTGAACTGTCGCACTCCAATCCCACAGGGTTCACTTGACCACACATAAGCATGTCCCGCCGTTGCCGCATGGCCCCCATCATTCTCACCTTTTCTTGTATGAGATGCTGTTTTGATTAAAATGGCCCCCACACCATGCCAGTCAGTGGCGTGGTCCTGCTCTGCTTATGTCTCCAGCATGAATTGGGCAGCCGCGACCTTGTCACCTCTGAATCTCATTTACCCCAATCACTCCAAATTTCTGTCAGACTACCTTTGCTGCGACTACAGCACTAATGCATCTTTTGCAGCGGAAAAGCGATGGCACCTTATAGCGTGTCGAGTGTTTTGATGAGATGCCAGAGTATGCGATCCTGTCACACACCTGGGGAGAAGACAAGGACGAAGTCACCTTCGATGACATAACTAAAGGAACAGGGACAACCAAGATTGGCTATAGAAAACTTCAATTCTGTGCAGAGCAAGCTGCACTTCACAAGCTGTACTACTTTTGGATTGATACTTGTTGTATCAACAAAGACAGCAGCACAGAGCTTCAGGAGGCGATCATCAGCATGTTCAAATGGTACCGGGACTCGACGAAATGTTATGTATACCTGACTGATGTGTCGGTTGACAGCTCAGCCGAGCGAGCAGATGGTTTAAAAGAGAATGGACACTCCAAGAGCTCATTGCTCCGAAATGCGTCGAATTCTATTCTGCAGACGGCAAATGGCTTGGGAGCAAATCATCCCGTGCGCAGGAAATCGCCAAAATCACTCGCATACCTACTGAAGCTCTCCAGCTCCAGGAAAGAACTTTGTCGCAATTCAGTATTGACGAACGTATGCGTTGGGTACAGGGACGCGAGACAAAACGAGGCGAGGATATGGCCTACTCTATAATGGGCATTTTCGACATTGAAATGACACTTCTATACGGAGAAGGCAAGGAAAAGGCTGTCGATCGACTACGCAGAAAGATAAGGAGACTCCAAGGAAATGGCCGAGGCCACAGACTAGAAGAAATTGTCCTCAAACGTAACCACTTCAAGTTCGTCTTGCAGATCGGCACAATGCTGCAAGAGGCAGGCAACCAATTCAGTCTCGTCATGGGTGACTCAAGTAAAGAAGGGCCGCCAGACTTAATCGCGGTAAGCGAGACGGGTACCCGCGATGAGAATATCGAAGTCAACGTCGTTCATGGAGCTGGAAATTGCCAAATCTTCCTTCTCCGAATCGCAACAACAGACTTTACGCCCTTGCTCAGCTGGACCAAACAATTGGATTTCACTCTCACAGACTGGAATGGTGACGACACACTAGATCTTGTCGTCATCAAGAAATCCCACACGACCACAAACAGTACTGAAGTCTACATACTCTCTGGAGCTTCAAATTTCCAACATATCCTGCTGCAGACTGGTAAGAAACTTGAACAGACGGATAACACGTGGACATTCGGCATGGGAAAATGGGCCACTGGCGAGCAGTCCGACTTGTTTGCCATCAACAAAGAATCAAACCCGCCTGAAGTCTACGTCCTGCGCGGCAACGATAACTTCCAGTCCATCATCCTCCACGCCGAAATTAACCTGGATACAGCAAATGCCGACTTTGACTTCCTCGTCACTGACTGAAACGGAGACGGACGCCCAGATATAGTAGCCGTCAAGAAGAGCGGGACCAGGAGTCGATGCGCCGAAGTACACGTGCTATCAGGCGCATCAAAGTACAAGGATTTCATCTTGCGTGCAGAAACGCCGCTATTCCTGAACAACGGCTTGTATGAATTTGCCGTGGCGGATTGGACTGATGTTGGGAGGCCTGACCTGATTGCGTTTAAGAAGACGTCCACGAGGACTAATACTACAGAAGTGCATGTTATCAGTCAAACGGACTGATAAGAATGCGGGAGGCCATGCGGCGGCGACGATGAGTTTTGCGATGTCGAGGACAAGAAAAAAATCGGACTGATGGTGCATAGGCACGACTCTATAATACCCACATACGCCTTTAATTATATACTACATTTCTATATAACTCGAGATTTAACGGTCTTTTTAACTGTATTTTGGAATAGGTATCGTAGAAGATTAAATTACAAACATTACCATACGTACATTACAAACCGCTCTTCCCAAACCAACCCTAAAAAAGAAAAGATCCGTCACACACCCATCCCAAGTGGGTCAACCAACAGCAAACAGCAAGCGGCAGCTGGCAGCAAAAGTGTGTCCCAGTCCTGTCGATGTGGCTGTGCTCGCTTCGCTGCCGACTATGGAGAAGGCAGATGCCGGCGAAGCGAGGGCATCTGGTTCGCGGGGATTAACTTGCAACAATGCCAGATTGACGAACATGTTCCATCATTTTCTTTGAAAATTTGTTTATTTATAGATGCGATATAATCGGCGCGCGCCACGTATTCCTTGGCGAAAAAGAAAATGTTTGAATTTGAGGCAGCGGAGGTGAGATTGATCGTCTGTGAGGGGCGTCTAACGTACGTATGCTGGGTACGTATACAGCTTACTTTCCAAGACGCGGACCACGACACGACATGTTTTTCAAGCTTGGCATGTAGCATATTTAAACTTTGTTTCTTCGCATTCTTTCTTATATACACACTAAATTAAAGTTTTGCTCCATCACCCCTAGCAAACTCAGCGTCTTATCTAGTAACCCTCGTCATCCCCGCATAAACTCACATGTGCTTCTTGAAAAAGTCCAAGACCATCTTGTATCCCTTTTCGTAAGCGCTCTTGACTTTCTCCTGCTCAAGGTCGCTGCGGGCTGCCATCCAACCGTGGATTTGGTCTGGGAACCATTCCACAACGTGAGGGACCTTGATACCGTCCTGCCACTTCTTGACGTCATCTTTGCTCTCATCGCCAGATGGGAGCATGATGTAGGGGATGGTGATGCCGGGAGCGTCGTCGCCGGCGACCATGGCTGGGTGACAAGCAGCTGCAACCTTGAATTTGGTGCCCTCCATTGAGGAAAGGTTGACAATCTAGATATTGTCAGAGAGATCCAGGTTTCTCAAATATTGAATCTTACCTTGCCGCCCCAGCAGAAGCCGATGATGGCCCACTTCTCAATGCCGTTCTTCTGGCTCAATTCATCGACAATCTTTGGGATCCTGGGTAGAGTCTTTGGTGGTGCAGCTTTCGTCTTGAAGAATTCGCCCATCTTTTGCTCCTTTTCCTTGGTGTCCGGCGGCATCCAGGAGATGTCTGCTGGTTCGCCCTCGAAGAAGTCGGGCATGAAGACTTGATACTTTTGGTCATCAGTGTAGGCGAGGATATCGGCACCCTGCAATGTCTGGTTGAAGTAACCAAAGATATCATAAACTACAAGTATTCCCTGCTTTGCATCTTTAGGACCAGTTGTGTCTGGAGTGGTGTTAGTTGCAGCAGAGGAGTAGTTACACCAAAGCACATACACGTCTTCAGGCCGTCGACTTCAATGTAGTCACCCTTTGGCTGGTAACCCTTGGCGACAACAGCAGGAGTGTTGCAGCATGCCTTTGACTGTGTAGATTCGGTGGACATGTTTGCGATTTGTTGTCGGAGTGCGAGCGGGGCTTGTTGACGCGTGCTTGCTCTGTGGTAAGTGGGGACAAGTCTTGATGCAGCAATTGGAGACCGTTGGAGATTCCGGGATAAGATTCGATAAGTTGGAGTTTGAAAAAGTGAAGTTGATCGAGAAATGGCGCGCATTATAAGCTATGGCAGAAGCCGTCCAGCTGTCAATGGCCGTTTGGTGGGGAAGCTGCTCGATGAAGCTACCCCACCCTGGTGATGTCACCACAACAATGCGATTGCTATATCGGCAAGCATTATTTCCGAACGGCAAGCACTACTTCAAGGATTTTTCAGTTCCAAAACACTGACTTTTGATGCGTATGGCGTCGGATGAGTTTAGATGCAAAAAAAAGTCTAGGCTATCTTCTAAGCGTCTAGGTTTAGCCTCTCTAGCAATGTATCAATCTTTCCCAGCAAGATTTGATAGTTCATAGCGTCCTGCGCAAATTCGTCACCAACCTCTTCGCCGTCTAAGTTTCTAATGACACCAGCAGCAATGTGCTGTTCTATCGGGATGAAGTTTTCTTCTTGCGTCGGCTTCTCCGGTCTACCGTCTTCCAACGCGACGTCGCCCATTGCCTCTGCTAAATCCTCCTCGGCAGTGGCCTTGATCGCCGCATTTTCGTCCATCATTTCGTCTAATCCACTATCCTCAAAGCGAAGCCTGAAGCGTTCAGAGAGGTAATAGCGGATATCGTCGACTAGTTCAACAGTATCAGTCTCTTGACGAGCCTTGACGCGATTCGCAGACTCCTGAACTAGTTCTGCAAACTCGGGCTGATCAATATAATTCTCTAAGCGATACGCAATGTATCGGGCAGCGAATTCTTCCAGTCGCTGCACCCGCGTATCCCAACCGGCTCGAATGACCTCGTAGATGTCAACAGGCTCATCTGCATCGGTAGCGCCACGTGGGTTATCCGACTCGACCGCGGAAGTTGCACCGTTACCCAGGGCGGAGATGATGATGGCTGCACGTTGCTTCAACTTCTCAATGAAGAGCTGGTCTGCCGCAAAAAGTACGTCAATGGCAATGTCAAGACCGAAGTCTGCACGCTCCGTGTACATGAATGTTAGTATGGTCTCCAGAACCGCTGGAGAGCAGTCAATGGTTACGATTTGTAGATGTGGTGTATCTTGCGCTTCTTTGAATTGCGAGCTGAACATTGTCAAGAAGTATTCCGAGCGTAGTAGCATGGCGCGATGCGCAGGGAATATAGTCGACTTGCGCGGTGTGCGTTGTCGCGACGGCGAGCGTGAGCGGGTTCTACCCGCGCCAACTGGTATGCCCAGGAGAGGACCTGGTGCATTCCGCACTGGTGGTGTGGACTTCTCTGCCGGGGCTGGTGACCGGTCTGTGTCATTGGGCCCTTGATGATCCTCATCGTCATCTGCCCGTAGTAGTATGTCGGCGAATATCGAGTTTTGCCGATCCCACTGTATGTTGTCTACTTTGGCCGTGTCAACAACGCGTTTATGTCGAAGGACGTTGTTCTTGAACCAGCTTTCTAGTTGGTCTCGACCGCGCTCTAGTTCGTCGGCTCGTCGTTGTCGCAACAACCGGCGGTCTGAAACTTCAGTGATATCTTCGAAGAGGCGTTCCATTTCCAGCTGCTTGCCTATCTTATCAATGCCGTTGAGCACTACCAGCTCGTGCTCATCGCTTAGCCCAAATAGCGCTCTCCGTATCGAAACTTCCTGAAAGTATAGATATTGCAGTGCTACGCCCAGCGACTCGGCGGGTATGGTATCCGGTAGTTTCCATACCGTTGTGTTCGGTGCGGCATCGAGCTTCTTCGCAAAGTATGGCGACCGCGCGGCGAGGAGGAACTTGTGCAAGTGAAACTCCTGGCCGTATGCCTCGATAGTGATATCTGTCGTCTTGGGCTCAGTGCGCGTGAGCAGTGATGTGATGTGTGCCGCCAGCGGCTGCAGCGGATTCGACGATTTGGCGTAGTCGTAGGATAGCAGGAGGTTCCGTATTCGGTCGTTGAGGGCATTGTAGAGACATCGCTCGCCCTGGAAGGTATCTCGCTCGCACAATGCCCCGTTCTCGAGCAGCAAGCGAATGACTTCGTAGTGACCGCATAGACTAGCCTTGGACGGTCAATATGTTGTGATTGAATCTTGGTAGCGGCGCAGGGCTTACCAGGATCAGTGGGGTATAATCAAACTTATCCCTGGCATTGATGTTTACACCCGTCGAGATCATCTCCTGGCACACCTTGAGATCTCCACGCCGACATGCTTCGCAAAACAGGCTGAAATCCTCGCTCACATCGAGCGGATTCTCTTCCTTGAGCTGGCCGGCGGAGATGGCCTGGGCCTCGGTCGCAAGGGCAGCCTCAATCTCGTACTTTTTCTTGACGTCCATGCTAGTGGCAAAGATACAGGTTATCGTCTAAAATGCATCCCGTCTTGACTATGACGAGTGGCGGCGGGCGGCGAGGATCGGACACGGCCCTTGGTATCGATAAGGACGGTGTTCTTTGTGGATCCCTGCCAAGGGCCAAACACGAGCTTCATGCATCTCGTTGCTGGGTTGACGACCCTTAGCGTAAACAGCGCCAAACACGGGACAACTTAGCTGCCATCTCACCCATTGTGCATTACATACATCCGTCACTACCACGATCACGACTAACAAGCAGCTGGTTACCCTTTTCTTTACTTCCCATTGTTGCATGTCTTTTAGGAAATAGCAATACTTTAATCATGCCTGAAGAAGACAAGTACGATGTGCTCGAGAAGATTGGTACGCTCCGTCCCCCAGGAAACACTTTGCATACGCTGACAGGATACAGGGCATGGCTCCTTTGGTGTCATTCGCAAGGTCAAACGCAAGTCTGATGGCTACGTATGTGACGCCGACAAGTTTGCGCATACAAGCCGCTGACCGCCATTTAGATTCTCTGCCGGAAAGAGATCAGCTACCTCAAAATGTCCCAGAAAGAGCGCGAACAATTGCAGGCCGAACTGTCTATCCTGAAAGAGCTGCGACACCCCAATATCGTCGCCTACTTCGAACGCGACCATATCAAGGCATCCCAAGACCTCCACCTCTACATGGAATACTGCGGCAACGGCGACCTCGGCCGTGTCATCCGCGACCTCAAGAATAAAAACCAAATGTGCGATGAGGAATTTGTATGGAGCATCTTCAGCCAGATCGTCAGCGCTCTGTACCGCTGCCACTATGGCGAAGACCCGCCCGCGGCCGGCCGCAATGTAATGGGACTCGTAGGCAACGCGAAGCCTGCTCGTGACCCGCGAAAACCCATGATCCTTCACCGCGATCTGAAGCCTGAGAACAGTGAGTAGCCATGTATCCTGGATAGCCAAAGTGCCCTGCTAACAGTATCAGTCTTCCTTGGTGACGATAACTCTGTCAAGCTTGGCGACTTTGGTCTTTCCAAGATTCTCCAATCCCACGACTTCGCATCAACCTACGTAGGAACACCATTTTACATGTCTCCCGAGATCTGCAAGGCCGAACAATATGGACCCCACTCCGACATTTGGGCATTGGGGTGCATTATATACGAAATGTGCACCAAGTCCCCACCCTTTAATGCGAAGACCCATTTCGAATTGATCTCCAAGATCAAGTTGGGACGCTACCCCGACATACCGTCTTGCTACTCGGCTGAACTGCGAAAGGTGATTGCCAGCTGTCTGAACACGACCCCGGATCATCGACCAGACACGGCTGCGCTTCTCAACCTGCCCATCGTAAAACTCATGAGGAAGGAACAAGAGGTTGTAAAATTGGGCCAGGACCTGAAAGAACAGAGGATGCTTACGGCGAAGCGTGAGAGGGAGGCCAGTGAGGCCATCTCGCGGATACGCAAGGAGCTCGACGACCAACTTCGCCGTGAATGGGAAGTAAAGGCACAATTGGAAATTGAGCGGCAAGTAAAGCTGCAAACGGACCTGCGGGTTCAGAAAGAGTTGGCGCATCTCCAGGCCACTTTTGAAGGCGAGGTCAACCGAAGGGTGGAGAGGGCCCTCAAGATGTATCCTGCCCGGCTGAGCACATCGCCAAAGCTCGCGCCTCGATCCAACACACCAGTCATGTCGGCCACAGAACCCGCTGCTTTGTTCCCGGCCGATAATGAAGCCCCCGTTGCGCATGGGTCACAGAGCACGCTCAACACCGACTCAGAATTTGCAAGCGGAACGGATCTCTCGTCGCTTTCCCTGGATGACAACACGGAAGAGGTCACAATCGCACCCAAGCAAAAGGCCAAGCGACCGTCTCGCGGCCCTCTTGTTCGCGCACGCACAATGTACACCCAGCCTTCTACAATGCAAGTTCCAGACTCGCCCATGGACGTACAAATGGCCGAGCCATCCCCAGCACCGCCATCCCTCAAGGGCCTATCACTTTCGCCTCGTCGCAACCATCAACCCAAACAGAACATTTTTGCTGCCGCCAAGGAGAATGCACGAAAATGGGACGCCGATGTTCCTCCGTCACCAACGGCATCTGAATGGAACGCTGATTTCGATGACGACGACGACGATCTCCCTGTGCTACCCTCCCCAACACGAGCACGCAGTGCGTCTGGCGGTCGTTCTATGAGTGATGACCCATTCAAGGTACTCGCGAATGCTCAAGCACCACTATTGAAGGCCAATGCCCGTCTTGGAAGCACGCCCAATCTCCTTGGTCCTAGGACTACTAAGCCCCGCCCTGTTTCCGCCGTACCCATCGTCGCCGCTTCTCCATCCCGACAAAAGGCCAAGTCCGCGGAAAACGTCACATCATCGCCACGCAAGACAGGTGCCGCAGCCAAATCCGCACCATTCGCTGGTCTCCCATCCAAGAAGGGCAACGAGGCGTTCCGTGTACAGGCGATGCGCAACAATGGCGGAGTCCAGGGCCGCACACTTGTCGAGCTCCAGCAAGCGCGTGGCATCCCCGTCCACACCATGAGCGAAGACGAAGGTGTCGCAAAGAAGAACTTTGGCTTTGGAACTCGCCGTAGTCCCGCCAAGCAACGCGCCGGTGGCATCAGCCCACCAGCTGTCTGGGACCCAGAGACGGAGCCGGAAATGCCATCCCCTTTTATTGTCCGCAGCAAACGCATGGTCCGATAGGAAGGGCGGTGCGTTAGTACTCCGGAACGATTACGATTATACTACGAACGGCGTTGACATGAACACGGAAAGGGTCTCTTTATACAGGAAGGATACGATTATGCAAATGGAGAGAAATGGAAACGGAAATGGGTAGAGAGAGGGGTGTTGTTCATGCGTTGGATGAGAAAGAGAGAGAAAGAGACAAAGGGGAACAGCGACCGAGCGAGCGAGCGAGTCGCTGTTGTCCCACATTCCACTACCCCCACAAAATCTCTTCCCTTTGTTTATCAATTTTTTCTTCCTCCCACAAACACTGGATGCTAGCATCTTCTTTTTTGCGAGATATCTTGGGTTTCTTTTTCTTGGCTGGTGTTTTGCGGACGAGTCTTCTTTTGGATAAGGGGCGTTTTATACCGTTAATTCAGGTGCTGGGTTGGGTCGGGTTGGGTTGTAAGCTTGTGTGTGGGCTTGTGTGGACTTAGGGGGTACGCCGTGGTGTACTACTACTACTACGATCATTTTTTCTCTCTCTTTCTCTCTGTTAGTAACCCTTTTCTTGAGATGAATGCGTATGTTATGATTCAAAACCCGAGATTGTTTGCTAGTCTGGTGACGTTTGAAGTGCAATGGTATGGTAAGGGCTTGGTAATGTGGTACCGTGGTACTGTAATGTCAATCCACGCGTGCCGGGACGCACGGTGTAACGGGACGCATTCTTTTCCGGACCCTCGGATTGCCCCCAGTGTTCTTGTCCTAGCAAAGCTCCATTTTATACTTACTTAGTGTGTGATGGGCTAGAGCCTAGTTAGTGAATCCTCGATGATATCTCGGTCCGAACGACGCTTAGACCATCCGCACAGTTCATAGGCAGAAGGTTATTCTAAGCCGCTCTCCGAATAACCTTTAGCACGAGATAGCTTGTAGTTCTCTTCCCCATCGAATATAACTCCAGTATACCTGTGCGATTGCTCCCTGAGCGTAGCCCCTTACAGACTTACCTATCTACACCACCCTAAAGCCACGTCTAAGCTTACCTCACCCTCCTACGTTTGGTGGTAACAAATTACAATAGCGAGGATAGAAGCTAGAGATAGAAGGTAAAATTAAAGAAGATACCCTAGCTATTAAAAGCCTTAGGGCTTAGCTACGCTACATCATTATGCGCCTTAAAGGAGTAGCAAAGACGAATGTTATAACGTTCTACGAGATGTAGCTTAGATAAAACTTACTAAACCCTTATTAACTTCTTAAGCACCTTAAACTCCTCTATAGAGAACGCAACTGTAAGTAGAAAGTAATCTAGAACCTAGACTCTATACGCTAATAAGAAGATGAGACCTTTATATCTTTCTACCCTCGCTTTAAAAAAGAGATTGCTAACGCTAACGTAGAAGGATAGGATAATAATGCAAACATATCCTACCTCCGCAACGCACTTGGTAATAAGATAAGAGACTGCCTCGTAGGCCTTTCTAGAAGCAACACTAACACGTACGCTATGTAAGGGGCTACGCTCAGGGAGCAATCGCACAGGTATACTGGAGTTATATTCGATGGGGAAGAGAACTACAAGCTATCTCGTGCTAAAGGTTATTCGGAGAGCGGCTTAGAATAACCTTCTGCCTATGAACTGTGCGGATGGTCTAAGCGTCGTTCGGACCGAGATATCATCGAGGATTCACTAACTAGGCTCTAGCCCATCACACACTAAGTAAGTATAAAATGGAGCTTTGCTAGGACAAGAACACTGGGGGCAATCCGAGGGTCCGGAAAAGAATGCGTCCCGTTACACCGTGCGTCCCGGCACGCGTGGATTGACATTACTGCACATCCACCAAACCACCAAAGTTTACTCCACAGACGAGCGACTAAGGAAGGATTACAACTACAACGATTACACTGAGATAGATTAGACCACAGACTTTGATTTTATTATTGTTGACTTTTAACTCACTAACAAAAACAATAAAACAATAACAACAAAGCTCAACGCGTATAGAAGGGTATCCCCTGCCTAGGGATCTCCATAAGTGGACAAAACTTGTTGTTTGTTGTTGTTGTTGTTGTGATTTCAACAAATGACGGATATGACACATGCAATCTCGATGCTGATTCCGATTTCGATTTCGATCTCGACGCTAGTTAGTTGCGATGTCGATGCCGATGATCAACAGAATTTGAACCAGAAAAAGAAAAAGGGAAAAGGTGAACAAAAGAGGATATCAGAGGGGTAGGATATGTTACAGATAGTGAGATAATAATGTAGGTAGGTATAGGTACTAGGTATATAGTTATCCATCTAATCATATAAACAACAATGGAGAAAAAAGGAACTCAAAGAGGCCCGACGTCCCACTTCTCTTCTTCCCCCCACCACACACGACCAACCCTCATACTTCTCACCACCCAAATCCCTCTGCATGGAAATAAATCCCTTGCGCCCCCGTCCCCTTATGCACAGCCCTCTCATCACTCAAGTACACAACATCATGCTTTACATCCGCCAGCAGTCCCCGCGGCCCACATACCACTACTGCACTCTCGCCCAGCGCCTGTTCGAGCGAGCGGCGTACGATGTCCCGGGTTTGGGGGCGGCCGGCGTAGAGCGCGATGGCCGGGTGAAGGGGTGCGTCTTGGAGGGTTGATTTAGCAGAGGAGGGGTCGCGGGAGTGTGTAGGTGTTTGTGTTGATGAGGAGGAAGAGGCTGTAGCGATGGCGGGGGAGCAGCAGCAGGGTGTTTTTCCGTTGGAAGGGGCGGTTTCGTCGATGGTGTTGTAGCAGGTGCAAGGGTTTGGTGGGTCGATGTCGTCTAGGGAGGCGAGTTCAATTTCTTGTTTTTCTAGCTTTGGTTTGATGTCGGCGTTTTCTCCGTCTAGAGTAGAGATTGGGCGCGGACGGTATTGTACGATGCCGTGGTTGACTTGTTGGCGAGGCCGGGGCGCTGTCACGCCGGATAAGAGGGACTTTTGCTCTTCGGTGAAGGATTCATCGCACGTGACGTAGACGGTCATTTCGAGTTTGATGTCTCGCAGCTCGGAATTTAGGGCTTGGTATTCGGTGTAGATGGAGGACAGTTGCTCCGAGAACCAGCTGAGTTGGCCTCTGCTTTTGACGACCCATACGAAGCGGATGTGGCGGGTGACTGCTCCGATGGGGGCTTTGAAGATTGATCCGCTATTTGTGGTATCGATTCGGGAATTTTCTCGCCAGCCTTGGATAAGGTCGCGGAGGAGGGGTACGGTAAAGGTGCCGCCAGTGCTGCCTGCTAGTAGGACGACACTATCAAATTGGCGAAGAGGACGGATGCATCCATATGGGCCTTCGATGAGTACCGATCTCGTCTTGTTCGCTGCTTCGATGAGGCCGCTGGACTTCTCAGCATAGTTGAGAAACCGTTTGGTACCACCCTTCTCAGCCTTGATGTAGAATTCCATCTTTCCATCCTCTGGAATGGATGCCACGGTGAACGGATGGCTTTGCAAAGCTGCGATCGAGTGGCAGGTCAGGTACACATGCTGGCCAGGAGTCCAGCTGATGGGAGGATTTCGGACAACGATCTTGGTGGTGTTGTGTGGAAGTAGTGTGAATTCCGCCTTGCATGTCAAAAGACCCTTGGCCTGGCTTTGCTTCTTGGAATGAAGGAGTGATATGTTTATGTATAGCAGTCGCAGACCCCGGATGACACGATCGAAAAAGAAAATCGCAACGGGTGCCCAGATGTAGCCGTTCATCTCGGCCGGGGTATGGAGATGGACAAATGCAAGGAATACTGCGAATGAGACAATGTGTTGTACAACAAAAAACTCGTAGCTCAGCCCTCGAATGGGCGTCATGGAACTGAAAACAATCCATACCAGGGTGCACCATGCGGCGAGGCCCTTCCAAGCAATCCTGTTGTTTTTGAGTTGGTAGCCGATGTAGTTGTACGGCGCCCATGCACTGAAGAACCATCCCATGTGCATAGTCGCCGTGAGGAGCATACACCTAGCGCACCATCGATGCAGCCAGTTCAAACGCTCGTAGCTGACGCCGCTCAGCCATCCGATGATGTTGTTCTTGCCGGCAAGAAGGAAGACGAGGGGAATTTGTGCAATCGTAATGACACCACATCGGTACCCAACACTCTCGCGGGTGAACTGACTCTTCAGATCTAGACCATGATAACATAGGACGATGAGAACAACAATGTTTGCCAAGACCAAGGACGATTTACCAACAGTCGGCAACGTGAACATCCGACGCTTCAGCGGTATGCGTAGGGAATAGTTGGATGCCTCGCGTGCTAAGGCATAAATCGTCGCGTTTCCGAGAGCAAACCACGTTCTCGGCTTTGCCGGTGTCCGCGAAACTCGTCTTGCTGCAGACAGTCTTTGTCGGTACAGCAGGTAGTTGTAGAGGTTGACCAGGGTCGCGATGGCGACAGCACTTGCTACTACTGCATAGTAGAATTTGGGCCACTCTTTAAGGGCGGGGCCAGAGCCCATGTGCATGTGGCCCATGGACATGCGACGGTCCATGGTGTCTAACGTTGGTGGAGGTTTGCAGCCTCAGGCTGTGTCAGCTGCAGTTGGTCTCTTGCGCCAGTCTTCAGAATCTCTCCTGAACACGTCAAATTCGGACAGGGTACGCGGCGTCTTATCGCATGGTGGTGCACCGAAATTGCATATCGAAAAACGATCGTCGTGCTGAGTGAGCAGTACGGGCTTACGGGGTGTTGGTGAAGGGTGTTGAGAGATTAACAATAATTTGGCAGCGGCACAAACAAAAGGGTGGATGAAGTGCGACAGTGAATAAGGGCAGCGAGTTCGCCAGCCACAGCGGCAGTGGTAGGCCATATGCTGCTGCATATCGGTGAAGTATGGTCGCTCAGACGCAGGTAGGATGTGCACCACTTGAGCGGTCGAGACCCTGTTGCTGTGGCGTCTTTCCGAAGATGGTGTATCGCCTTCTAGCCGGAAGCGGTTAATTATGCTCAAAGTCGCTCCCCGGCTCATGCTCAAAGGCCCGCCACTAACGCGGAGCACACCGGCTCTCCCCAACTTCACACTCACACTCACACTGGCCATGCTAGGCCATGTCAGGGGTGTGGCTCCCGTATTCTCATCCTCGTGGGTAGGCCGGAAGGCGTAGCCAAGAATTGTGCTCAAACCCCCAGACACTGCATGCCTCAGCCCAGCCCTAATCTTCGCTTGATTGTCGCAGCTGTCACAGAATCGTACGCATTCGCGCTCAACCATCTACACAGAAACAAATAATCTGCGCCTTCAAGCTCATGCCTTAATGCCAATACGTTGCCATCCTGAGGCCTGCATCACCTGATCCACGAAACTGTGACCCCGCCGCGTACTCAAGCAACCTTTAAGCCGTCGTCATCCCCAGTACCAAATCATCAGTCTGGAACTCGTAACATAATTCTCGGTAGCTCGTAGTCCCTCGTTTATAAATCACCAGCTTCCGCGAAGCATACTCGACACGAACCTTCCACCTATTTCACTTACTACTCCAACATCTCAACTTGGCAATCATGGTTGCTCACGGCGCTGATCACGACTCTATGGACATGAGCGGCATGGACGGCATGAACGGTATGGACGGAATGGATATGGGAGCAGGAGGCATGGCAATGGCCTTCTTCCAGTCCAGCACCACCTCCTTATGGTCCAAAGCATGGACTCCAGCAAACGCCGGCCAATATGCCGGAACATGCATCTTCCTCATCTTCCTCGCCGTTGCACTTCGCGCCATCTTCACAGCCAAGACCCTCCTCGAAGCCAAGGCAGTACAAACCGCTGTGAAGCGACGATACATCACCGTTGCAGGCGAGAAAGCGATCGGCGACAGCGATGCGAGCTCAACTACCGGCATACTCACGACAAACGGCATACAAGAGAACGTACGGATTGTCTCGGCTCCAGTGTCTCACATCCAGCCCTGGAGATTTGGCACTGATCTGCCGCGGGCAGTCTTGGTGATGATCGCAGCAGGCGTTGGATATCTCCTGTAAGTTTGGAAGCACCCAAGTTCGTAATCCTACGGGTACTAACTATATCGCAGCATGTTGGCTGTCATGACATACAACATTGGATATTTCATGTCAGTTTTGGCTGGCACATTCATCGGCGAGGTGGCCTTTGGCAGATTCAACCAGGCCACGATGCATTGAGGGATTGTGAGGCTCGCAATCATGTGTAAATCTCCGCACGCCGCCACACTTTCAGTCCTAGTGCTTACCTATTCTAATATTCATATTCATATCAAATCCCATTTTTGTGAGCAGTTGCGCATCACCACATGGTAGCCCCACACGTATCGCAAATCGGTGAAATGAAGCTTTTGTTCCCGTGATCATCAGCCTCCAACCCCACGACACCGGTTCACGGTCCATGGGAAATGATTCCCATGTTTTTTGTCCAGTCTACTGCGACGCGAAGGTCTGGTCTCGGCGTGGCGTCAAAGTGTAATGCATGACCCCTGTCGCTGCGCTAGTGCACCTGCAAGCACCCGACGACGGCTTTGGTAATAAACTTGCTCATCTCTCGAATCTGCTCATATCACATCACGGCGGATTGCTAGCCAGTGCCGCCGTTGCTGCAGTATGGTGCTCACCACCTCCTATCTGGAAGACGCTTGGTCGTGTCTGAGCGCCCCAGGCCTGATCGTGGTCATCTCCTGCTCTACGCGATCCACGCGAGCTTACTGAGAAAGGAATGTACGGGGTTGCGGGGGTTCGCGCCTGTCCCTGAGCTACAATAAATACGTAGGACGCGCCCAAAGTTTGTTTGATAGTAGTGATTGAGCCTTTTTCCCTTCCAAACGCTTTTATTAAAACCCAACGCTCTCTTGTTTTAACCTACAACATTGTCGATACCTACACATACATCTCTACCGTCAAGATGCTTTCCAACTCCCTCCTTGCGCTCTCTTTCCTTCCCTTTGCCTTCGCCCACTTCGAGCTCATATACCCAATAGCGCGTGGTTTCGACGATGACAATGAGGGCAACTTCCCCTGCGGAGGCTTCGATGACGTCCAGACGCAGCGTACCAATTTCTCCATCAGCGGTGGACCCGTTCAAATTCAGTTGGGCCACCCACAGACCAACATCGCCGTCTACATGGCTATTGGTGACAACCCAGGAACCGGCTTCAGTATAGTCGCCAAGCCCCAGCTCACAGTCGATGGTCTTGGAAAGTTCTGCATGAACCCCATTGCCGTTCCAGCAGGATTAAAGGTTGCCGACGGCACCAAGGCCTCGATCCAGGTTGTGAGCAACTCAGACGAGGGTTCAGGTGGTCTGTACCAGGTAAGCCATGTCATCCACTTACAAAGAACAAAACGCTAACAATGAAATCACAGTGCGCCGACGTCATCTTGGTCAACAACAAACTCTCGCAGAGCGACTTCTCCACCAACTGCCAAAACAACACAGGCATCAAGGTCACCCAAGAGAACATCCCTGGCAACCCCAACGGAACATCGACCGATTCCTCGCCAAGCTCTCCCAGATCGGCTCAGCCCACCGGTGCAACTGGTGCAGCGGGACAAGTAAAGGTCGTCTCATGGGTGTTGGGTGCTGCTGGTGTGGTCGCAATGGCAATGCTCTAAGTGCATCTCTTGCCGAGTCGGGTCGTGTTGCGTTGATACCGACTTCAGCGACTTCTTCCTAGGTTATATTTTCTGTGTAGCGAGTTTCAGTTCAGAGCGAAATATATTTTAATCCAAGTGAAAGCCCAGGATCTGGTCTTGGTTGTTTTCAAACTTGTGCTTGTCATACGGGTTTCTATGCGCATGGCTCCTTACTGCCCAAACTTGGTCAATATGAATGAACAAGACAACAGGAGAACAATCACTGCAATGGCTTGAAGTTTCGGGTATCGTCATGGTGAATTGTAAAGTAAAGAGCATGTTGTGCACTACGAATTCTTACGCTGGAACTCCGACCCCTCTGACGTTGCGGGGATTTGTCTGGAGCTTTCAACAAGCGAGCAAAGCACACAATCGGCGCTTCCGTAGAGTTTCGCCGATGCCCGCAACAACTTCAGCAGCAACACGACACTCCAAGACTCGGCCACGATCCCGATTTCATGTGCGTATTAACTCCGCTGCCCGTGCAAGCCAAAATACTGGACTCTACGAGAAAAACGTCAAGAGAAGACGGCTGACTTGATCCTCCGCAGCTCCGCAGTAGTCATCCACCTCCCACAACACCACAAATATGGATCAAGCAAAGTTGGCGCGTATGCAGGCGTCGGTGCGCATTGGTATGTACACATAGTTGCTGCTGGAATCGCTTCCAGTAGCTTCTCACCGTGTTGTCTGAGTGAATCAATAGTTGCTAACATTGTTGTGTGCAGGGTAAGCAATCCTCTCGTCCTCTATTTTGACAGCCCCGCACCATTATGTCGAATTTGCGAAGCAACCACCACAACGGGCAATAGCCAAAGAAGCAAGCGGGAGGGGCATTGTCGACATGGAACATTCGAGGCTAATTGGTTAAATAGCGGCAAGGGAACTCCTCGCCGAAAGGTCAAGAAGGTCCACAAGAGCGCCGGCACCGACGACAAGAAGCTCCAGACGGCGTTGAAGAAGCTCAATGTCCAGCCCATCCAAGCCATTGAGGAGGTCAACATGTTCAAGACCGACGGCAACGTCATTCACTTCTCGGCACCCAAGGGTACGTCACCCCACATAATAGTACCTTGCGACGCTGGAGACATGGTCAAGGCGGAGTGGCCCTGAACTCCAGCGGTATCCCAACTCCACCTCAACATCGACTAACAATCGCATCACTATAGTTCACGCATCAGTACCCGCCAACACCTTCGCCATCTACGGACACGGTGAGGACAAGGAGCTCACAGAGCTCGTTCCCGGCATCCTCAACCAGCTCGGCCCCGACTCGCTCGCGTCGCTGCGCAAACTCGCCGAATCCTACCAGAGCATGCAGAAGGAGAAGGGTGAGGACGGCGAGAAGAAGGACGATGACGACGAGGACGATGATGACATCCCCGAGCTCGTCGCCGGCGAGAACTTCGAGTCCAAGGCTGAGGTCGAGTAAGAAGCTACACAGATAGTAGCCTAGAAAGACCGGGTAGAGCCAAGGAGGACGTCATGTGCAGTGACTACCTTCCGCATATATATTGTTATGAGGGTCTTCATGGATGCAATGATCATCATGATCATGAGTTGCAGTGGGTCTTGCATGCAGATACCGGGCCGGCGTTATCTGGGAAAAGATATGAATGAAAATCTTCCAGCATGCTCCCATTGTTATCGTTTCGTCAAATGCAAGTGGAAAGGGCATGCAAATGTGAATGTTCCATCCGGTGACTAGGGCTCAACGGGCGAGTGGGTTTGCATTCAGTGTCTCAGGCCGAGTATCACTAGCAACTCAGAAGCCCTACTGGACCTGTAGATTGCAGTACCTTCGTAGGTTTGGGGCAATAGTTGCAATATTTCTGCCAGGGAAATTGCACACGGGTACGGAAATAGTGGACAGTTTTGCTGACTTTGGAGACAGCCTCGTCAATACCTAGCCTTCTGTGATATCGCCAATGACAGATCGGCAACAGGGGAGTCCGGGCACGTCGCAACATGACGTCTAGATGCGAAGAGGCTAGCATCCGATCCTAGCTTCGTTTTGGTGCACCTCCAAACATGGACCAGGGATGTGTTTCATAGCAAAAAGCATAACAAGACGCCTGGCTGAAAGGCCGAAAAGGACTTCATCATGGCTACACACAAGGGCTTTCAAGCGCTTGCCATAACGAACGTTTCAAATACTCGATTTAGCCAGGACCTGCCTTTAGGCGGCTCCCCACCTGCGACGTCCTGCCTGAGGCTTGAGTCGCGTCTGAACTTTAATACCAACACGTCCCCTAGATAGTTTCTTTTTATTCCAAGTCGCATATTACCGCTCAGTTCGTGTTCAGTTGTTAATACCCCTTTCGTATTCTTTCAGCGACGTCCAAGATGAGCACCGAAAATATCCTGATCCTCGGCGGATCCTTCGCAGGCATCAGCGCTGCCCACTACGTCCTCAAGCATGTCCTCCCGCAGCTGCCAAAGAAGGAGGACGTTACATACAATGTCACACTCGTCAACCCGTCCAAGGATTTCTGGTGGCGCATCGCTGCGCCCAGAGAGAGCGTCTCGAAGCAAATGATGCCCGCGGAGAAGACGTTCTACCCCATCGAACCAGCGTTTACCTATGCCTTTCCAAAGTTCAAGTTCATACAGGGAACCGCGACACACGTGGATACGGCTGGTCAGGCAGTGTCGGTCGAAACTACTTCGGGCGAGCAGCAATCGATCCCCTACGCTGCACTTGTGATTGCGACTGGATTTACGACACCAAGCCCTCTATTCACCCAGAGCACCGATCGCGAGGCACTCGAGAGAGTCCACATTGCCTTCCAAGAGGGTCTCAAGCATGCGAAAACTGTGGTTATTGGCGGAGGCGGCCCCGTTGGTGTTGAGACAGCAGGAGAGGTCGCTGAGATCCTGAACGGTAGGCCAGGCTTCATGGCATCAGCACCCAAGGACCCAAAAGCGAAGGTTACACTGGTCTGTGGCGACAAGAAGCTTTTGCCTCTTCTTCGCCCAGCCATTGGTCAGACTGCCGAGCAGTATCTCAAGCGACTCGGATGCAGTGTCACTTACAACACAAGGGTCGTAACATCATCTAGGAGCGATGAAGAAGGCGCAAAGACCATGGTCGAGCTTGCCAACGGCGAGACCATCGAAGCAGACATCTACATCGACGCGACCGGCTCTCGACCCAACACCAGCTTTCTGCCAAAAGAGTGGCTCGATACCCGCAACCGCGTTGCTTGCAATGAGAAGACTCTCCGCGTCGAACACGAATCTGCCGGTCCCCGCGTCTACGTAGTTGGCGACGTAGGCTCCTACACTAGGGGGGGTGTGATGGATATGTCGGATGCTATACCTGCGGCCATGACAAACCTCAAGAACGATCTTCTAGCTCATCTTACGGGAGAGCCGCACAAGGGCGACCGCCACTACACGGCGAACCTGAAGGAGCAGCAGATCTGCCCGATTGGAACACAGAAGGGTGTTGGTGCATTTGGTGGATTCAGGGTTCCCAGTCAGATGGTCTGGATGATCAAGGTAAGCAGATTCGCTCCACATTTGCTGTGAACCAAACTAATGTTATGTGTAGGGACGGGATTACATGATTAGCCAGATCGCAGAACCGACATTGAGGGGTGATCAGTTCAAAAAGGAAGGCAAATGGAAGCCTATCCAAGCTACTGGTCAGGCTGGATTGAGTTCTGGTTAAAGTGCAAGTCTTGTATGGGTTGTTGGAGAGTGGTCTTGCAGATTCAAGGGTCGTGAACAATCGTCGAGTAGACGTAGTGTTGCATTTGTCGCGCGGATGGAATACCCTTTTGCACAGCGCGTATTTCTTATATAGCTTAATATGTGATTTAGAATTGATCTGATTGAGAATTGGGAAACTTGCTCCCCACGAATTTGTGTATGTATGTGGTCGGCCTTTCGGTGCGCACCAACTGATCTCCATGCCCCACCCAAATAAGCTCAAGCTTAGCGCGTCATAGCCCTGAGCTCCAAAATTTCCCAGCATCAACATTGAACCTGCAAACCAGCTCGCGCGCCCAACAACTACATTTGACGACTATACGACTTATTTGCCATGTCGACGGCGACTCAACCATCACCAGCGCTCACATTTCCCCGCCCAATCTTCGCCGCTGTCTCTCCTCACCCATTCCTCCAAGCGCACCTCTCCGCTGAGAAGAAGAAGCCAGTACGCGCGAATGGCCGCACATCAAACGAGTACCGTACTCCAGGTATTAACACCGGAAGTTTGACACATTGCAATGGCAGTGCAGTAGTGCGCCTGGGAAATACGAGCGTGGTTTGCGGTGTACGAACGGAAATCTTGAAAGAGGCGGATATACCAGGCACGTACGAGTACCCTGGGCAGACTGCAGGTCAGGATTCTGAACAGGACGAGAATGATGGCGAAGAAATAGAAGGATTGCGGTTATTAGTGCCCAATGTCGAGCTATCGACAGGAAGCACACCCTCGCACATTCCCGGCAACGCACCCTCTACATACGCCCAAACACTCATAACACGCATACGGTCACTGTTACATTCAACACGTCTGCTCCGTGCGTCGAATCTTCGCATCCTACATAAGCCGTCTACGAACCCAGAGGATCCCGATACAGAAGCGGAGACACAGTTGAAGGGCTATTGGGTTCTATACTTGGATGTCTTCTTCATCAGCATCGACGGCAATGCGTTCGACGCGGCTTGGATATCTATTCTAGCTGCTCTCCGCGACACACTTCTTCCGCACGCCTACTTTGACGAAGAGTACGAGGGCATACTATGTTCAGATGATCCCAAGGAAGCACGCCGTCTTGCACTACGGGGTCTACCTATACCCAGCACATACGCCGTGTTTGAGGGTAGGAGAGAAGAGGAAGACGAGGAGGTTGATTGGGTGCTCAGCGACCCTGATGCGTTTGAGGAGGGTGTATGCAGAGAAATTGTGACTGTGGTGGTAGACTGTGATGGTGGAAAGAAGGGAACAAAGGATTTGGTTATTCGGCGAGTGGAGAAGAGTGGCGGGGGTGTAGTGGGGAAGGAGGTGATGGCGAGTTTAGTCAAGAGGAGTATCGACCGATGGGGAGCTGTTGAGAAGGTGTTGAGCGGCAAGGCTTGAACGAGCATGTCATTGTGCATCTTGATACCAGGCGCCCAAATCTATACATGAGGATTTGATGTCCGTGTACACGGGATCGGCATAGCTGCCGTACAGACAGCCTCTGGCGTGAGTGGCCAAATGCTGAAATTGCACAAGCATTGCAAGTAAAAAAAAACGTCCAGACACCACACCTTCTTGCTCCGCTCAAACTTTGTCTGATTCTCCGCGGCCCGTTGCCGCTCGCTTCTACCGGACGGTTCGGGCCAATGTTAGATGGACAAGAAAGAAACCATTAAGTGGATTCGGAACAAAACATACCATCTACCGCTACCCAGTGACCTGGTTGTGACACCACAGAGAAGCGCGAGGTACCTTACAATTGCTTCTTCGTAATTACCGCTATCAACACCGACCCGACCATGACGACAGCAACATACATGCCACTCCACATGACAGCCGCAACGTGGTTTTCTGATGGATTGGCGTGGTCCAGACCATGTGTTCCTTCACTCGCCCAGCGCCCTTTCTGTATAGTTTCATAAAAAGCGGGGTCTAGTGATAATTTCCCTATCGATACGAGCCGTCTTCGCCTACAACAAGCAAGCCCGTTTTTTTTTTCTTTACTTTATCCCTCCGCTTCTCAACCGATGTGCTGTGCTACCAGGCACATAGAATATGCTCCACACTTCGGCTCCGCGCTGCTAATTTACGGTACTGCAGAGCTGTTGAGTGGTGGCCGCTTCCTCCCGTACCAGGCGGAAAATACTGATAATGGCTTGTTAGGTTGGGCAGGCTGCAAGGAAGCGAATCACTGCTCGCAACTTTGATGGAGGGGCCGGCGCGTCTCAGTTTCCGATGGTGTCTAAACTAGACATTGGGCTTGCAGGTCGGCACAGGTTCGGTACTGGTATCATGGGCTGTGATTTGGCGGCTATGCATAGTGTGTGCGCCCGTACCTGCAGCAATGACACCTCGGATAGCGAAACTTGCAATCTGCAATCATAAGGGTTTGTGACGTTCGTTTATGTACGTGGATGTGGGATCGGTACCCGAGAGTGAGGGTATACCGAGAACAGATAGACAAGTCTCGAACGCACCAACTTACAACCCTTGATCAATTATCCACCATGGTAACCTAGCAGCCCTTGCGAAGATCTCGTTTCCCGCTTAGCTGGGTAATCCCTTTGCCATGTGCGCTTTGCCCTGACTCTGACGAGGCGAGGGCGGCAAAGGATAGTAAGGCCCACCACTAGCCTCCTCCTCGATGGGGAAGAGTGAAAATGGCAGCATGTTATCAGGGCATTTGTCCGTAATCAAGAAACCCCCCGGCTGGAAGGCTTAAAAACAAACATTTGCATCAAATCAGCATGCAGCGTGGGAAGTAATCTTAGGCAGGGGGAATCAGCGACGTTTGAAGATCAGCCACTGCGGGCCTCGCGTGCGACGATCGTGCCGCTAGGCGCCGCCAACTTTCTTGTCAGGAACGGCACGACGTCTGCTGTTTATCAATACGTCAAGTGTCCTGTCAGGCTATATGGAAACAAACGTACATGCGCGCGCGCCCATGCCCGACGTTCGTGCATACCGGTTTGTTTCAACCAGAGAAGACGGCGTAACGATTGTAGTATAGGATTCCTGTCTTTGGCGTATGTACCTCGCCGCCACAAATGACTCTGATGTCTCTCTTATCCGACTCCCCACTCATGCCCCTGGCGCCCGCGCCGTCTTTGAACAGCGCGCGGCTCCCCTGGCTCAGATCCCCACTCGGAAACAACTACGCACATGCAGCGTATTCTAGGCACAGCCGTCAGAACCTTTTCTGCTAATCTCGTCATGGGGGGGTGGTGGATGACGCCTCAGTTCCAGTCCGCGGCGGGAACTTGGCCCTAAGGCTGCATCCCAAAGTGGGTTATACGAGCCGGGATTGTAGTATATAATAATCCCACCTTCTCCCCCCGTCGTTTGCAACGGCTTTTTGGTGTATCGAGCTCTTTTTTGCCTTTCGGTACAGGATTACCCCTCCTTTGCTTTTCGTTCTTTTTCACACTCTTCATACACTCCTTTGATCATCAAGAGTCCTCACTCTAGAGTCTGTGACTCTATCCTTTCTTTTACACACACTCTCAAAACACAGCCCACTCTTTTCGCTGTCTTACGACTCAAACCTTTGCCTAGCCAAATATCGAAAGATTCACTACTGAGCTCATCATGCGTTTCGATATCGTTTCTCTTGCGGTTGGCTTCGCCGCCACTGCTTCTGCCCAATGTGTCGGCAATTACTTCAGTTTCTACAACCGTGCAGACAGCGCAATGAGCTACCAGCGCCTCGACCCAGGTCTGTTCCCCGGCACTGAGAGCCCCCATCTACACTCCTTTGACGGAGGAAACGGACTATCCAAGTCCATGGACTTTGCAACCACCCAAGACTCTACTTGCACCACAGCACGCGTCAAAACAGACAAGTCCCTCTACTGGCGCCCTACTCTGTACTACACCAACGGATCCAGCTTCTACCGTGTACCTGAGATGTCCACCAAGATCTACTACAAGTACGGCGACGGCAACAACTGGGCAAACGTCACTGCCTACCCCCCAGGCTTCAACATGATCGCCGGCCAACCCAACAGGCGCGCCGACAGCGAGAACCCCGCTGGTGTCCGCTGGGGCTGCCACGAACCCGACGGTTCCTCCAACCCCATATTCGCAAACGGTTTCCCCAAGGGCTTCAGCACCTGCAAGTACGGCTTCGCGTCCGAAGTCACATACCCCTCGTGCTGGAACGGCCAGTCAATGGACCCCAAGAACCCCAATGCACACATGGCGTATCCCAACGGTAACGCTGGCATCGGCATTGAAAATTGCCCTACTACTCACCGTGCTGCCCGCTTCCCCACCCTCTTCATTGAGTACTGGTGGGATGTTTCCTCGTTCAAGTTCGGTCCCAACGAGGCTCCTTGGGTTCTTTCCAACGGCGACCCTACCGGTTACGGATTTCACGCTGACTTTGTAAGTTCTCCGTCTAATCATCCTTTACCCCCACGTCTCCATCACCCCAACTAACACCCCCATGTAGATGAACGGCTGGGCCACAGGCGTCCTCGAAAAAGCAATTAGCGAAAACGACGGCTGCAAATGTGGTTGTGGCTGCGGCCAGGAACAAATGGAGCAATGCTTTGGTTCCGCAAACGTAAACAAGGACGACAATAAGGACTGGGCTAGCTGCTCGGCTGCTAGTCCCCGTGATAACGATGCTACTAGTGTGCTTGATGCGCTGCCGGGTTGCAACCCGTTGCAGTATGGTCCTGCGTCTGCGACCCCGGTTTCAGGGCCTGGGTGTACTGCTGCTCCTGCTCCTGCTCCTGCTCCTGCTGCGTCTGGGAAATCGTCGGCTTCTGCGTCAGCTTCACCCTCTGCGGCAGTGTCGGCGTCTGCATCTGTCAAACCCATCCTATCAGCCATCCTACCAACAGGATCCTACACCGCCCTATCGCCAAGCGCCTTCCCTTCTTTCACTGCAAAACTCCCCCAAGAACAAGCTGCCCCAGCACCAAACGGCGGCGGCTACAACGCCGTTGCGCCTATGCCTACAAAAGCCTCTTTGCCTGAGGGATCTTCTCCTTCGCCCTCGATAGCTGCTGAAGAGTCGACGAAGTGTTCGAGTAAGCCGGTTGTTTATAAGACTATTACGCAGACGTCTACTGTTACTGTTGCTGCGAGGGCTACAGGGGGTTACTAAAGGGGGTGTTTATCTGTTCTTTGTGACAAACAACTGGATGTGGGGTTTGGTGTTTGTAGCGTTTTCTACTTCTTCTCCACGCTTTTTTTTTAGGACCAAAGGTTTTGGATGTGTGGGTAGACTGTTACTGTTATGAAATTTCGATTGTATAAGTTTTAGACTTGTAGAGCTTTAAGCTCTCTTTTCTATTTGAATAAAGTATTCAAAGTATATATTTATCAAATTTACATGTTTATGTATGACATCAAAAAGTTGCCGGGGGGTTTTTTTCCTTTTATCCTTACCAATAGAAAGTGGTTTGTCACGCGAACTACATCGCCACACGCACAGGCATAGTACGTACTAGTAAAAGAACTTACCGGAAAAGCAGACTACAGCACCAAGGAAACTCAGGTAGTTTGACGTCCAAAAATCCACGCTAATACTAATTCTAACCAAGGATTAATACAGCAGTAGCCGTAATATCCGCTTTACGTGCCCGCGGTTGTAAGCCTACATACGCTATCATTACATTGTAGAAACACGGGGCAAAGCGCTTAACAAAGAAAGCACAGCCCGTCCTAGGCAAGTAATCCCCTTATCAAGCGTACAGTAAGGTGACGACTAGAAAGCCAACGTTTGCAAAGGATGACCTAGTTCACAGGCGCGCTCTTTAAAGCTCTTCTTCCTAACACAGCACGTGGACTATATAGCCGGTTAAACTGTCAACCTTGTTAGTCCTAAACGGGCTGCTTCGTGGTGTCTCTGGTAATATCCTTGATAAAGACCCAAATCTCACTCTTACCAAACGCATCAATCTGCCTCGTATTCATAAGCTTAGCCTCAGGTGTCTGATGCGGCAAGCCATCGTCACTGCAGTCTAGGTCTAGTTATTTACTATCACTTCCCTCTATCAGGCTAGGGGGTTCTTCGATGGCGAATAGCCTGCCTCTGTACAGACACATTTCTTAAGCATACCAATGGAGTATTTCCTATTCTATACAGAATCTTGGTTGGAGGCTGGAGCTCTGGTCCACCAGCTCCAAGGCCGCTCCGGCTGAGGTCCGACACAAGCCCGTCACGGACGCCTAAGGATATTCAGCTCTAAGCATTCACGGATCTACAGATCTAGACCACTGCTCACATTCCACCCCTTTACAATCTTTGTATTTTTTTGGTCTTAGTATGCAAGTGTGGATTAGTAGGTCGCTGCCTTTCTGAATACAGAGTTGAACTTTTGAGATGTGGACACAATCCCTTCCCCCTCCTCTTCTTCATAGGTGGGTGGATAATGGGGATGTACTTTCTGTCAAGTGAAGTTGTGACTAGATCTTTGTCATAGCGACTCCTAACACATCTTGAAGTTGTGTCAGGTAATCTATTATACTCAATGGGTGATTGTCAGCTCAACACTAAACACAGTAAACGAGCAAAGAGAGTAAATGAAATGTAAACAACACGAGTGAAATCCAAAAGTGTAATTAGAGTCCAGTCAGATCCCTCGTACTACCACAAGCTGAATGGAATCGGACAAGATGTCGCCGTTGGGCTGAACATCGGACAGCGCGGAAGGGCTTTCCCAATCCCGTGTCTGTGCATCCCATGACCTGGGACCGCTCTTCCATTTTAGGAATTTAGTGGCGCACATGGCGTCTCGCATATCGTTGTTGTGCCGACAGATCGAAGCCAGTCAGGACGGAGGCGTCCGTAGCACACCTGTCATGAGGGGCAAAGGTGGAGATTGGCGTACCAAGTTGATAAACCCGAATGCTCATCGTCTTCAGCAGCACTCGATTTCAGAGTTTGTGGAAAAGTAATCCCTTTGGAGAAGATGCGGTGTAAAGCAATAAACCTCGTACGACCGAGGGAAAGATGCATTTGTTTTTGCCTTTGTGTACAGGTATATAGAAAGCCACAAAAAAGGGATTAAAAATAATGTATCGCGACGCAAAGAGACAAGAGAAAGCTGCAAGGAGAACTTGAAGCAGAAGAGAGCACATGATGCATTCTCGAACAGGGTATCGGTTCCTGCAGCGTCGATCAGTCCATGACGTATGACACCCCGTTCGGAACATATGCAACAGCTGAAAAGAAGTAAAAGCCAACGTGACACAAACGACGCAACAAGGATAACGGCATCCGACCGGACTGAGACACAAAGGAAAAGCAGACTCGGGTATTCCCCAACAAAAGAAAAGGCAATCACAAACGCCAAACGCCCAGAGGTTTTTCAATTTCGCAAGTGCCAGCCCAAAGTTTCCCATTGCCGCGAGGCATCCCTTCTTGATAGGTATAATGTGGTGTCCGCGAGGACGAGATCTGTCTGGTCGTCATGATGGTGAAGGAGTGTGTTGAGGTGTTGGTGTAATGTTGGAACAAGTCGATTCCAGCGTGCTGGAATCCCGTCATATCCGGCGGTCGAGACGGTCGACGCGCGACTTGAAGCTCTTGACTATCTCTCCAATGCGACGCACCTTGTCGAATTCCACTTGAAGCTCGTCGATTTCGCGGAGGATGGCGCGGAAGCGGGCGATCTCGGCGTCGGCCATCTGCATGGCGTTGCCAGCGCGGTCGTACTGCACTTGGGTTGCTGTCTGTGTCTGCTGCGTGAGCTGGGTGGAGTGTTAGTCAGCATGTAAACACGATGCAATTCGTAGAGAAGGAGTTCTGGGGCGCAAGAGCAATACAAGAAACAAAACAGTTTCACTCACATACTGCCAGCGCTGCTGGATCGAGTACATCAGACGGTCAAAGTGGGCGCTGAGCGCCTGCAAGCTAGAAGGATCCAGGAGGAGACGGCCTTGGCTGGAGGCGTGAGAAGCAGCGCGGGAGGAATTGGAGCCTTGCTGGGAGGCGGCAATCTGCTGTTGGAGATATCTGCTCTCGCTCGAGTTGAGGCCCAGTTCAGACACTGGGATGGCGGACATGTGCACATAGTTATCTTAAGAACATGGTCGGTCGGAATTGTGCGCCCTGGCTCCAGCGTGTGCGACAATGGCCGATTGTTTGGGGCGTAGCAATGGTTACGAGCTGGCTACAAGTGCTGGGAAACGTTGCAACTGGGCTGCGTGGAGGAGGAAGCGGACGGGAATATGCACGCTGATGTGGTCTGGGATGGAAAGGGCGGATGAGGTCCGCCAAGCGGGCGACCTGGCTCCCAAAAAGCACTTCACCAATCCGCAAATCCAACCAGCTGCGAACGCCCATCTATCCCACACCCTCATTTCCCATTAGTCCGCTGCAGCCCTATGTACTGCCGTCCGAATCCGCCGGTACGCAGCCGCCGCCGGGTGATGCAGTTGCTGCACCTGAGAGATTTCGCGACGCAGCGCGTATCGCAATCAGCGAGCACGCCCATCAGACTGAGTATGGCGACTGTGACGTGATGCTGAACTGAACAAACAGCGCTGTGCGGCACAGCGCTGGAGTCTCCCATTCTGACACGGCACACTGACTCCGCACCCACACCCTCTTGACCGTCGTTGACAAGGATGCGTCGATTGTGCCGCGAGCTTCCTGGGTGAATGTCGACCCCACCAGCTCCAAGGGAGGGAGGGGTAGGGACTTCCTGGCCAGCTGTTGGCGAACCATATACAGAAGGTGACAACGACATGGACTCGGGATGGTCTGCTGTAGAGACCGGAACGCCTGCCTCAATTGCCGCGTTGCGGCATGTGTCGAATGTCACTCTACGTCCATGTCGTCTGGAGGCTTGAGGCGGGCGAGACAACTACCGAGGCACTTACTTAGGCAAACCTTCTTCATGTGGAACATGGCTGGCTAGGAGAGCAACCCGGCAGGAGAGCAACCCGACCAGGCTAACTCTCTTCACAATTCACTCATATGAAAGCCATGCACGGCTGTGATTCACAAAGTTGGGTATCAATTGTGGTAGTGCTACTGGCTAATATCACCTTGGATTCTACACCAAAGAAACGGACGGCCGGCCGACTGGCTTCGGTCGTCATATAGATACACAAATATGAAAGAAAAGAAAAAGGGGGTATATACACTAAGCCATCCAACGCTATGCACAAAAGAAGGAAATAAAAGGTCAGCTGTCCCGTCACCACCCACGCCTATAAAGCGTAGTTCTCGGCGTGGAGGAAGATCTCATCGCGCCCACTGTCACTCCACACACTGCTTTGTAGTTGTGCGATCGTCTCACTAACACTGATACGCATTGTGGGTGGTCCACAAACAAACACACATGTTCGCCGTCCAAAGTTCTTACTCAACCCCTTGAGTATGAATGGGATATCCGGTCGTCCGTACTCAGTGCTCCAGCCATTCTTCTTCTTGACGGCTGCAGGTAAAAACGCAAAGCGCATGAGGTTCTTCTGGAACTCGGTAGGTGTGGATGGGAAGCCAAAGTCGAAGGCACCCTCAGTTGGGTTGTGGACTACCTCTGGATTGACGGCGCCAGAGCCGGCCGACACAGCCTGTGAGATATCCAGCTGGAGGTTTCGCTCTTGGCGGCGGGCGGCAAGCCCGCGTGGGGCCGGCGAGATAAGATCGGGGTTCGCGCTGTGCGCTGACTCGGCCGATTCGCGCCCACTGTTGTAGCTGGCACGTGGTGGTGCGAGATGGCCCCTGTTGACGGGGACCATGTGCGCCTGTGGGAGCGCTGCGACGTGGTCTTCGTTCTCACGACGAAGCTCAGACTCCTTCTCTGGGTCACCTTGTGCTTCGTCGCGGATGAGAGCAGAGTGCCGTTTTGATGAGACGCCAGATAGGCGGTGTTCAGCAATATTCTGGAAAGCGTCATTTACTTTGTCATGAAAGTAGAGTGACACTGGACGAGTCGGTGTCTTTGCGCTAACCACACCGCCGCCCATGTTACGTTTGGCAGCAGTAATGTAGAATTGGCACTCTACTGTCTCGGGTGGTGCGTATTCACGACAGATGCGGAGCTCCTCCTTGAACCACTCCATGGTCTCAGGACGCTTCAGGGCCCAGATCACGTGGATCTTTCGTGTGACGGCTTTGCCATCGCGCATCTTTTTGATTAGTGAGAGCAGTTGCGAGACAATGGCAGTGATACCGCTGCCACCAGCGATCAAAACGACGTCATCGAAGGCTTCGATACGTCGCTGCATGCCCCCGTAAGGTCCATCGACAAAAGCACGGTATGTGTGCCACGGGCCATGGTCGAGCGCAGTGTTGAGGACCTTTCTGGTGAAGCCTCCGAAAGGTCGGAAGACCAGCACCATGTCTCGGTAGCCCTCGCCATACTCCGAGGGGAAGTCTTCGCTACATAACGAAGCAATGGTGAAGGGGTGGTTCTCGAATACTGAGATACCTGGCATACGTAGGTAGACGTACTGTCCAGGTCTCCACCGCATCCGCGTTGGGATGGTGATCTTGATAGCGTTCTCTGGCATGAGTGTTACGGCAGCTTCGTCGCCGATGAGCCACGAGAGTTGATTTGGGCGGGTCCAGTTGAGATAGAAGAGTCGCATAAAGTACGAGACGAGCCAGATGCCGACCGTAGCTAGAAGGTAGTTCCATGATGTCAGGTAGTTGTTGCAGTGCCAAAACATCATCCCGAGGAAGACGATGGCGACAGGCACGTGTACGGCTACGAAGAGTTCGTACATCCGGTGACGGAGAGGTGCAATGGAATGCACGCAGAGGAAGCATAGGGGAACTAATGCTGCAATACCTGGGGAATGTCAGTGCGAAAGATAGCAACTAGGGAATAACGTACATACCGGTACCGTAGATGTACATGCCGCCCTGTTGCTTGAACAGTTGCTGGAAAGCCCTATGTGCGCCCTTTTCCCAAACTGGAGTGACATAGAAAGGGACGGTATGCAGAATGCTCAGCACTAGGCAAATGTATGCCGCATATCTGTGCAGCACGTTCAACCGCTCATGGCTAATACCTGTCACCATAGAGATGAGGTTTGCCTTGGTTGCAAGCGCGACGATCCATGGCATCAAAGCTACTGCCATCATTCCCGAGCGAATAGCCAGAGGAGGTGAGCCGTAGGATATGCTGTCCCAGAATAGCGGCTGTGGAACAGTGCAGTAGAGAATGCCGAGTAGCAGAGCCAAGACCCCTATGACGATAATGGCCAGAGATGGGAACACGATCGGTCTCCATCCCTTTTTGATCGTAATTGGTCGCATAGGACGGTAGAAGATGAATCGGAAAAAGGCCACTGTGTTGTTGATTAGGCCCAGAGAAGAAACGCTGGACTGTTTTTTAGGCGCGACAGGTAGCGGGCCTTCGCGGGGAAAGAACTTCATGGTGGACTTGTCAGTATCAAGTACTGATAGCTCGTAATCTGTGGCAGGAGACGATGTCGTCGAGGACTGTAATACCTCTTCTTGATGCAATGCCGTTCGGATCTTGTCCGTAAATAGGTGGTAGTAGCGCATGAGCGCTGCGATAACCAACAGAGGTATGCAAAAGTAAACATATGCAAGCGCATATTTTCCGCTCTTGTTCCAAGGATCGACTGTGTTGGCTTCTATCAATCCAGGAGGGCCTGTTGAATTGAACGGTATGTTCACCCGTCGTAGTATCGTTGAGAGGGACTCTACGATTTCGCGTTCGGCGTGCGACACTACAGTGCCCAGTTGACCCATGGCCACACCCGTCCGCTCCACGAGAGCTTCCCGAATTGCCGGCATTTTCGAGTCGTCGAGTTCGGTGGCGCGTGATGTTTGGTGAAACACACTCCGTCCAGCAGAAGCCAGAACACAAAATGGAGGCGTCCTAGGCCAGCAGGTGATGATCTTGGGGCAGCGATCGCTTAAAGAACATCCGACGGGCCGTTTCTACATGGGTACGGTGTAGGATCGTTTATTGTGACAATGCGTTCGGGGGTGCAGCGGAATACGATCCGGGGTGGATGTTGTACGGTGGCGCAAGGATACGGTGTAGCGTAGATTTGACTGTAGCTCTTTACCAAACTGACGATAATGACGGCCGGTAATTATGTTGGTATACGGCACAGCAACAGAGAATGAGGTTAAGCAACGGCGGAATGGTGGTGACCAGAAACCGTGCGCAAGTGGCAGTCCGGTTGCTTAAGTCCCTTGGGCAGGTGGAGCGCGGGTGACTCGCAGGGAATGGAAGCCGTCGTATTGTGGCAGCAAATGGTAAATGATACTCTACCGCTCACCAGAAGCTGCGCTATTGGGCCAAGATGTGATATTGACTTGACGGGGGGTCCTAAAAGAGAAATGACGAACCGAAAGCGCTGTCACATTTGTGGGCTGCAGCAATACACACATCAAAACAGTAGGAGGCTTTTGCAGTCATCGCCGCAAATGCGCATCATGTAGGATCAGCGGTGACTGGCGAATAGTGGACCGACGAGGAAGCGGACCGGCCTTGATTATCCTTCTCATACGCGGGAGGCGCACTCGGGTGCGGCGGGCATTGCCACTGGATCGCTGGCCGTTGCTGACATGCTGTTCATGGCGAGACAACTCTGGAGTTGTTGCACAGCGTCGACTTTCGAAACTCTCTTCGTTACCGTTTTTTTGCCATCGGATGTGAGACATTCCAGCAACGTCGTAACATGCCAGGAAGACACCTCGTCATCGTAACACCGACTCTAGGGTTCCCGTCCTGTGGTAGCCCAGTTTCGCTTGGTGACCGACCTCACAATGGGGCCGGTCTTTCGTTCGCATGACCGATGGAGGACGAATTGAAGAGCCGGGACCCTGAAGCCCTTGCTTAAGGTACTTGCAGGCCATGCATGGGAAGACGAGATAGTGGAGCGGGGTGCGCTTGGGCTGCGAGGTCTTGACTGGGTGACGATTGAGGTTCTAAGCGCCGACCATCCACAACCAGACTAGCGTAAAGTCAAGCTTTCCGTGCTCCGCTGAGCATCCCACGCTGGTCCGTAGTTGGTTGAACAGCTTCATCTGACAATGCACACCGCGAGATGCACTACAGTACGAGTGTTGAACTCGGCCGGTCGATTGACAAGTTTTTGGTAAGAGTTGGCAGCGGGTCCGATCGAATCCTGTGGCTTGGCCCGTCTTCCTCCCCATATCTACCTATGACAGGCACGAATTGACCCCTCCACGATGGAGTCCTCGATTCTGTTCTCAGATTCGCCGGAGAAGGAGGATATGATCACAGTCCGGCATCAATACCATGCATTCATCCTTGACGAAGACAATACCCGTGATACAGTCATCACCTCAAAATCAAACAGCTTCACCCTGCATGACCCTGATATCACATCAGCGACCCTATATTCGACCATTTTCAAACCTCTGTATACAGACGTCAAACACGTGCTCCACCACTGAGCAACCATTAGGCGCCCAACGACCCTCTCCGAGGCCGCCCCGCATGTCAACCCACAGGGCGGTGCGTAACCGCTAGCCCTACACCCCTCAGTGTACCCAATGTAATCCGATCCGGACAAGACATAACAAACTAAACTGCCGGATCTTCAGGCACCGTTCACCGTCCAGACTGCCTACGCGCTCAAGTTCGTGCAGAGTGGAATGGTGGCTGCAACTTTAATCGAACGTGTTGGGGTGTACCATGTAGCCTGGCCCAACGTCGTGGATGATGAACATATCGAGCGCTTGGATGATGTCGCGGGCGTTTCTATGGGCCCCGATGGCGCTTGAGCCGTTTTCGAGAATAGTGGCGATGTTGATCCTAGCGGGGGTGTATGGATATGTACCGTATGCAGTAGACCATCTGTGTTTTGGGTCAACCCAGCGCGTACAGTCCCGTACAACTACCAGGAACGTTTAGTCAACCATCATCCGATTATCCGACGAAGATTCAAAGCTTTCGCTGCCGGCAATGCCGGATAATGCTTCATTACAATCAAGCTCGCGGACAAGTCCGCTCGCTACCATGTGATGCATACCACAGACGCGCAGCTTTACGCTGATCTCACCGGCTAAACAGCGATTTTCATCCTGTATTTCTTATTTGGACCTTGCATCCGGCGGATCGCTTGAACGCGCCAGCGCCTGCGCCAGTTTACCCTATCTTACTTGCATTCAAATATTTTGAAACACCCACCAAATCAAATCGCACGGATGAAACGGGCCAACGCCGTGCAACGGCCTCGCGTATGCATGGTCATCTATATCCAGGCCTCTGGGTCTCTGACGAGCATCTGCTTGTGCTGCGTTGTAACACTCGCTAGGGTACTGGGGCAGTGTTCTTTGGGTCCTCTTCCAAGACTGAGGTCCGCAGTGTCACGGGCTATTCTGGGATGATGACGTCAATGAGATTTGATGAAGTCGCGAAGTAGGTGAAGGAAATTTATTCCCATTGTAAAGCCTGGTGAATTCTGTCAAGATCTGAAAATAGCATCGGCATGTCGGGCGTACGCAGTGTTCTTTGTCAGTTATATTCGGCTTACTATGACTTTCAGCTCCGTCTAGCGCATTAACGGCGGCAATACTCTGATATACCCGTGTACCATTATTAGATACTTGGGTAATACATGCGGAGCATTCGTCATACCGGGGTGGCTGGAGACAGAACGCCGATTTTGGGATTGGATATGCGTCTATACTTCGAGTTCCCATTGTCAGCTTCATGTATTGGATAGACACTGCTCTGTCAGCGCAGTTTCATACCGGTCAACAACCTCTTTCTATTTCAGGACGGTGCTCTTACACGGCAGTTCTTTCAAACACGTCTGACATCACCAAAGTAAGCATCTCCGAAGTCCTCACATAACGAAAACAGTTGGCTCTAGGAACGTCCATCAAACAACGGTATTCATTCATCACATTTCATACAACAAGGCCTAGATCTCCGCATGCGTCGCGATGCCCCATTTCTCAAGCAAGTTGTGCCTGTGCCAGTAGCTCCTGTAGCGCTTGCCCCAGAAGAAGAAAAGAGGCGTAGTAAGTATCATACCACCCGCGATGCCACCAAACGTGTTGAACACTACCGAAGGCCCGGAACTCGCGGTCCAGTCGTTGACGAAGTAGGAAAATCCGTAGAAGAGGAAGTTCTTGAACACCATGTTCATGATGAACATTTCGGAACTAAGGTGGCGGAAGGCGTCAAGCGCGTAGGAAGATACCGAGATACATGCGACGACAATGCCGAACAGATCCATGCCATGGAAAAAGGCAGTCAGGTAGAATGAGGAACCCTGTTCGGCGAAATGACCAAACAAGCATATTCCAATGACGATGGTAACAGAAAAGACCATGGCGAGGAGGCGGTATTCTGGCTCGTAGACGCCTTTGTTCTTCTTGGCACACCACTTGATCAAGGGATCCAATGTCACACCCACAAGAATGGAACCTAGAAGACCGCCAAGGAAGGGTCCGACAGAGAGATAGCCGACACCAGCTGTTGTGAGGAGGTATGGAGGAGCCATGAAGATCTGTGCCATGACGTACGATTGTGCGACGAAGAACGCAGTCAGACCTCCGGTTACTACGACCATCCAAAGAACAGCGAGGTTGAGACAGACGGCGAAAGGAGCGATGACAAGTTGAAAAAGGTTTTCGTCTGAGTGGGTTCCACTAAAGATGGCCAGACTCTGCAGATACGTCTTCTTCGGGGGGATCAGTCTTGTGCTGCTCGTAGTCTTTTCGACTTTGATCATATCGTCGCTATCCCTCATTTTCTCTGGATCATTACCATGTTTGTTCTCGAGAGCTGCCAGATCTGCCAAGTTATCGCTGGATAGCTCATCGATGTCGTACCGATGGTCGCGGTTGTAGTTGGTCTCCGGGACGAAGAAGAAGAGTAGGAGTACTTGGATCGCCGTGAAAGGAACCAGAATATGGAAGGTATAGCGCCATCCAAGGTTCGTTGCGATGGGTCCGACAATTACGGCGGAGCCGTTAGAAGCAGCAGCCAGGATGAATTGGATGACTGTCATGTATGCACCGCGTTGGTGGACGAAGAAGAGATCGCCGATCATGGTAACCACGAGTGATTCGAAAGCAGAGCTACAATGAGTCAGCATAGGCGAGGAGATGGATCAGAGCTACACATACACCGAACCTCCTTGGATGATGCGCCCAGCCATAAGTCCCTCGTAGCTATTTGCGGCACTCCCAATAACAGTACCGAGAAGACCGAAAAGCGAAGCGATTATTAGCTGCGGGCGTTTCCCGTATTTTCGAGATAATGCATTGACTATTGGGCCGACACCTCCAGTCACGAGGAGCATGTATCCGGATATCTTTGTAATGGTTGAGACGGGCTTGTTGTAGTCTTTTGCGATGACGACGAGGGCAGGCGACAGAAGAGGGGAGAGCACGGCAGCATAAAGTATAGAGCCGTATGCGACGATGGCCGTGATGACCAACTTCTGGGTATAGGACCAGTTTAATGGATCATTTGGATCTTCGGATCTGCTTTGTGTAAGTCCCATCCGAGATGCGGTGCTACTCGTGGAAAACCTACGGTTGGGGAATTAAGATGATCTCTGCATCTTTACCAGTACCGCGCTTCAAGCGCTCTGGTGGTACTGTCCCATCAGGAACTGTCAAAGGATTCTGTTCCTCGCTGAGAACGACCGTTGCAGGGACGTGCGCGAGGTGCTTGTCTTCAAGGATACCGAGGAAACCCATAGTGGTAATTATACCTCAACTTTGTGAGCTTAACAGGAGTAATGAGAAGGGAAAACAACAGAGGCAAGATGATGGATTTCAATGGAAGGGGAACCACTGAAGGATCTGAATCTCTGTAGTGCACAACACTCGTTATTAAAGTATAGAGATCAGCACTTCGGCAGGCACTGTTGATCTTTGCCGTACCTAATAGCCCGGGGTAGCATGCGCATACCAGGATTCGATGTCTAGAAACGTGGTTTCTGCAACCCCCGCACAAGCGTTCAAAACATGGACGTTTTGAAGGCCCCACCGCGTGCGCGGCAATTACCTGGGCTTCCGCTGCCAGCATTGGGGAATGCCCCGTCAAGAGGTGGGTTTCCAAGATGTGTGCGACCCATCTTGTGTATGACAGCTGCAGGGCAGCAGCAGCTAATATATGTGCAGACCAAGCGGTTTTAGCCTGATTACACAGTCAGACTGTGACTATTAAATGCTGTGACTCCTATCATTTGAACCTGAACACGGCGTAAGAGCATTCTGCACTGTATATTCGCTGCGTACCTTTCGTATGAGTTTGGAAGGATTGCAAAGGTACCCGTTCTGCGGAGACAGGCGCTAGTACCCCGCACTTGGGCCTAGCCCCACAGTTTGACAACTAGCGGATGAAACACTCTAGCCGAGCTGGTCCGCCCATATGCCACAAGTCCAAGTGCCACGCCTTGTACCTCCCCGTGGACCGCGTCACGCGGTGGGAACTTTCACAGGCGGTCAGTGCAATACGAATCTCCGTATAGCTCCGTGGGGCACATATCAAATTGTGGCTGGCCGCTACCTAACAGCTAACACTCAACCTGGGAGTCGCTTCACTGTCCATACTCCACGCTGTTGCCATTAAGCAGTCTTCTGTTTGTCACATGGACACTCTTGTCCAAGCCTCCTCGATAGAAGACCACTCGCACTTCCTAGAGACTTGACCCCCACTGAAGGCCCTTCACAATAAACTTTCGCGCCATGTCGGTGCTTCATTGCCCTGCATTGCTCTCGCGAAACCTTCCCTGCTATAGAATCGTCTATAATATCCTGAAGGGCAATTTTTGATGATCTCCCGAGCTATAACGTCGCAGGATATGATTGCGGTCGTATCTTCGGTCGCGATAGATTGCGACGAGCCGAAAATTCCTTGGTGCTAAAACTCCGGTGCCTTCGGTGCAACTCGACGGCCAGTATAAGGCCGCTGGCATCAGGAACTGGTGAAACACAAAGCGCATCGAAAACTACTCAACAACTTCAACATCGAATCTCAGATCTGCGATATCATACACACCCTGCATCGGCATTTGAAAACGGTTGTGAATACGCAAGCAGCTGTAACCGGGCTCTTGGAAGGGGATTAACTGACAATCGTGGATATAGTAATCTTGGAGAATACAGTACGATTGCCAGTAACATTTCTACTACAGACCATATTTTCCTTAGAGATCGCGAACGAGGTAGGAATTGCGCTTCGGAAACTTCACCTAAGCTCGAGGTAGACAAAGAAGAACCGATGTTCACCCTAAATCCCTACTGACATTGTTTCTCCTCTCTATTTGACTTCGAAATTTTCTATGGTAGCGATGCTAGCTTCGACGAATCACATAGGGGTAGGCGCAACAACTTCCATGGTTCGCCATTTTGTATACTGGCGAACCATGGTTCGCAGAGGCAACCTTTACAACGGGGTTTCCAGCTTCCTCTACATATATTCTTAAAAAACAGATGCAAGCAAGTAGAATCACCATCTTTCTCACCATGTCCAGCTCATCATCCACAGCTACCGCATGTGCGCAAGTGCTCGCAAACACCTCACCAGCAGACCAGTACAACCACCTCCGCTATCTCATCCTAGAGATCCTAGCATCAACCTACAACGTCGACAAACCCACCCTCCGCGCCACACTAACCTGGAAACCCCGAGAAAGTGAAGCATCTCTCCCCCCAGAAGACCTCCAAACCCATCTCGACCAACTCTCATCCCTCGTCGCAGACACACGGCGTAAGCAGAATCTGCACGAATACACATCGGTGGAGCCTCGGACATGGACTTCGCTTTACGCCTTGATTACTAAACCTTCGTACAGAATCGACGACGATATGTCATACCTGCTTGATCTATTCGAGTCCTACGCACGCAACCGTGACGATCTGGCTAGACGGTATCGGCCTACTCCTGTTACTTGGTATGCGCCTAGTACATGGTTTGGCGTGATGATCTAAGGAAAACGGCGAAATGCCTTATCTCGGACGAACATGTTGTCATGTGTATCTCACGAGATAAAGAGGCACGCGATGTATTTCGTAAAGGCATACGTCGGGCTGGCCGTAAGTATATCCGTGAATGGGATTTAGCTACGTTCCTTTCTGGGGGCTTAATACGACAGATTCGCGAGGGAATTTTGGGCCCAATTTTAAACCCCTTTTGGGACCCCCGCCCCCCTTTGGAGGGGGGCGGCGTATTTTTTTTTTAAGGGGGGGGGGGGGGGGTGGTGTGGGGAATTTGGAAGAGGAGTGGGGGTATGAGTATGTGGATGGTTAATTTGGAAGATAGGTTTGTTTGGGGAGGTTTGAGGTACACGACGTTCACTGAGTCAATGCGGCCGTGTAGTCGGCAAGCGGAATTAAAGTTTAATGATAATGAAAGGAGTGAATACATCCTATAATACAAAAACCCACACGCACTCAAAGAATTCCTCAAAACCTGCGTGCCCTACCCTCTTTAAACGCACTCGGATCATACAGCAACATATCCCTAACATCCGCCAACGTAAACCCCTTATTTCTCTCAACACACGCTTGTAAACAATGCAAAATCTTCCTCGGCCACACCACATACCGCGACCACTCTCCATCCCCCTCGTCTTCGTCAACAGCCGCGATGATCTTAACAAACCACTCCACAACAGCCTTTGTAGGCGTCCTCAACGCATTCTTGGGCACGGACAATGGTGATAAGACGAACCGTATGGCGCAGAAATGTGCCAGGACAATGTTGCCGAGTTGGTTTGTTGGATCGAAGACGTGGACGAGGGCGTTGTGTGGCCAAGTAGAGAAGATGGTTAGGATGGCCGTGAAGGCTATGAATGACGGTATGGGGTTTGGTGCGCCTGGAGGTGGTGTAGTGATGGCAGACCAGTCGATGTGTTGGAAGGTGGAATCTTGGTTCATCGGCAATAGTGGGTTAGTGAAGGCGAGCAAGTCTAAAGAACATGTCGTTGTTGTTGTTGGTGATGTAGATTGTGATAGCGTCGTTGCTTCTGTGAGGCCGGGTGTTGGGAGTGTATTGTCATTTCCTGAATCCACAGTGTCTGAAGACAGCAGATGTCGGAGCGTTTGCACGAGTTGGCCAACTAGTGCTTTTTCCATGTCGTGCACATCAGGTCCGGCCATTAGGTCTGAGAAGTCCCGTAGAGATAGTAGAGCCTCGCGGATAAGCCCCTGGTCTATCTCCGGGAAGTTCCGAAATGTCATGTCCATGCCTATAAAGTCCAGGCTTCTACGTCCGGCGAGGAAGCCACCGTTTCCCGAGCTTACGATGAACTGGGAGAGAACTGAGCATCCTCTGAGGGAGAGAAAGTGTTCCAGGAAGCCGTCTTCCATGTAACTAGATTGGAAGGATAGGAGATAAGATGCAGCAAGCATCACATGGGACTCCTCGGCAGTGGTGGGCCATCTTGAAAAGGCATCCTCAAGCCCAACAATGGCTTTCTGTCGGTGTTGCAATGCTAGGCTGGTCTTTGGGTTGTCGACTTGGACCGCAAGGTGGGACCCGGCTAGGGCGAGCATGGCGTCCATCAGATACGGGTACTGAGCAGTCAGTGACAGTGTTCACTGCGGTTTGTAAAATCATTTTTTCTGGTAAAGTATCAAGTACGCAGCGCTGTTGCTGATGCATATCTTACGTGTTCAAGTACAATCCCGATATTATGAAAAAATGTACTTACTTGATGGCTTATTTTGGGTACGTCTCTAGTCCATATCTCCTCAAAGTCGTGCGGAATGCAGGGGTATGCAGAAATGAGATAGTGATGGAACAGCTGCATATCATCTGCGCTATAAACGGTAGGCGTGTCCACTAACTTGACAACTTGGTAAGGACTTGGCATTACTAGACTCACGTGGTCCTGGTGGGCATATTTGAATACATCCGGGTATGTGCAGATGTCTGTCACAATTAGCATAAACGCCAGTAACGTCTGGCATGATGCTCACATCCACGCTTATCGCAATTTGCACACGAGGGCCATGTTTCCTGACACTGAAAGATTTCAACAGAGGTTCAAATATCGAATATCAGGGCGAGGAAGACCTACCTTGATCTTTCGTTTCTTACAAGTAAGGCAGCCAAGGCGGCTTTTGGTATGGCCGCGTCTCTGTCGTAAGGCACTCAATGTCGTAGGATCCCCGCTCGATGCAGTAACGCTCTGTGGCTGTGTCTGTTCTTCCGATGATACATGTTCTTCAGCTCTTGATACTTTTGGAGACTTTCTGGTGGATCTGAACGGAGGACTCTCTTCGAGAAAGTCACCAATCGGACCTAGCGCCATATAGCCCTCGAACAAGTCGTCCATGATGATCTAGTCGTAGGCACTAGAATGTAGGCTAGAAACGACGTCTTCGATGTTTCCATACCGATTCAGAATATCTCGTCCGTCGTACAAGTCTACTGTGTCTTCAAAGGGTCATTGTTGGAGGCCTTACAGCCGGAGAGGTCAGCGTCAGTGGCGTCGAATGATAGGATGACGGGAATAGCTCTAGGCACCAACAATAAGCCTTGTACATTGCGCCATCTCTCTACTCATGAGCCTCGGAAAAGGCGGGAATAACGCTGTAGTCAATTGGATTAGAAGAAGAGACACGTGATGTCACTGAAGACATATGGGGCCACTTGTTGTACACTAGTAAGCTACGTCATACACATCAAAGCATGGATATCCTAGTACTGCAATGGGAACTGATGACATTCAGATGCTTTTTGCATGGTTCCCAGGGTCTAATGCACGTGATGAAGGAGCCGCGAAGAGATTGTAGCCCAGTATTTAATGTTGGGTTGGGAGACTTGGGTATGGGGAGCTGTTGGGTGTCGCGTGTGCCATATGAGAGTCGAAGCGAACGGTCGTAAGGAGTACAAGCTATGTCAAGATGCGATGCTCAATCCATCACTGTAGCCATGGCATATGCTAGGTCGTATCATTTTGTCGGAGAGAGTGATTGCGCGACATAGATGAAGCGTTGGATGGGTTCTTAGCGGTTCGGTAGGTTTCCGCCCGGTCGGGATGCCTGTTAGCCGCATCAGCCATCCGGTCTGACGTCTCCCATCCACAACACCACCATTATCCTTAACAAGACCGTGGCAATAGACACGCGGCCTGCCACTTTCCCCTGCTACACGTTGCCTCGCCTTGCGCGGCGCCTGCAACGTGATTGCAGTTCATGTGCTGCCTAACCACTTGGTGAGGAGCACGCCCCCACTGAGCTGGATAAGCCAAAGCCCAACGGCTGCCCTCGATCACACCGTCAACTTCAACACCACCATTACTAGCTCGAGTCGGCGAAGCACGCAACCATGCCGTCGATTCTCTCAGATGAGGATAAGCAGATGGTGAAGCGCACCGTGCCCAAGACGGGAAACAAGATCCACGCCGTCGCCGTCGCAAAGTTGTACGTTGCCTACCCCGACCGTCAGCGATGGACCTACACCGGACTGCAGGGCGCCGTGGTGCTCGCGAATGATCTCGTTGGAAACACGTTTTGGCTCAAGATGGTGGATATTTCGGTAGGTGGGACCAGAGCTATCCGAGTATGAGAGACTGACGGATACAGCCCCAAAGTCGAGGTGTCATATGGGATCAGGAGATCTACGACACATTCTCCTACAACCAGGATCGCGTCTTCTTCCACACCTTCGAGCTCGAGGAATGTCTAGCAGGTCTATCCTTTGCCGACGAAAAGGAGGCCAAGACGTTCAAGAAGAAGCTCGACGACCGCGAAAAGAACGCGCACAAGAACACCAAGAACAAGCCATTCAGCGCAACAGCAGGAACTCGTGCGCCCACGTCCAACGGCAAGAGCGGCGGCCATGGTCATGGTCTGTTGGGAGGCATTTTTGGACACCGCAATTCCACAGCATCAGGCCCACCGCCAGCTTCCATGATCCCTCATACCACAGTCACGTCGCCCGTGCAAAGCAGCCATTCCAATGCTACGAGTGCGCGAAGCTCTGCGATTGATACTACGGATCCGTCATGGCAACCCCTTCTCAAGGAGCTGCTGGCTATGGGCATTACAGAAGATCAAATCGAGGAAAATGCCGACTTTATCAAATTATACATCGAGCAGCGCAAGTCGGAGGAGAAGCTCAAGGAAGAGAATAACCGCAAATCTAGAGCTCCTCCGCCTCCCCCACCCAGCGCGCTTAGCCCTCAACATACGGGCAGTACTACGACGTCGCGACGAGGACCTCCACCAGCACCCCCGCCAGCGCGACGAACAAGGACTGATGGACTCAACCGGAACTCTTCAGGAAGCCCAGCGCCGCCTTCTCCGCCACGAGAAGCTACACCTCCACCAGGGCCACCGAAGCCAGTCTTCAGAGCGCCCCCTCCCATCGCAGAAGCAGGAAAGTTTGCAAACCAACCGACAAGCAGAGCGCGAGCTTCATCCAATACAGCGAATCCAGGGCCACCGCCTCCACCACGACCGCCGAAGACACCCGTACCAGATGAGGAGAGGTCAGGAGGAAGCAGATTTGGGGTGCCTCCACCCTTTACAGGCAATCGTGTCCCCTCGGGCGCACCACCACCACCTCCCAGTCGAGGCCCAGTACCACCGCCTCCGCCAGCGAGAGATATGCCGTCAGCACCTCCTCCACCACTTCCTCCTGCGCACAACATTCCGCCGCCTCCTCCACTGCCTCCGTCTTCGTCTCGTCCTGCACCAATTCCGCCGCCTCTACCTCCAACAAGCAATGTTGCGCCTCCTCCTCCTCCTCCACCGCCGCCGCCACCACCGCCGTCGATGCCCGGACGATCGATCCCACCACCTCCCCCGATGCCGAACAGCGGAGCACCGCCACCTCCGCCCATGCCCAGCAGCGGAGCGCCCCCGCCACCGCCTATGCCAAACAGTGGCGCACCTCCGCCACCGCCACCGCCAATGCCTCCTTCCTCTGGACCCCCTGCACCACCGCCGCCTCCGCCACCCGGTGGCGCACCGGCACCGCTACCCAAGGTACCAGCAGTACGAGATGGCCTTTTAGCAGATATTCGAGGTGGAGCACGATTGAAGAAGGTTTCGGATCAGGAAAAGAAGGACCGCAGTGCGGCAGCAGTTCCCGGCAAAGAACCCGCTGCAGGGTCTTCTGGAGGAGCCGCAGCCGCGCCTGGAGATGCTGGCTTGGCTGGGGCATTGGCTAGTGCCCTAGCGGCGCGGAAGAGTAAAGTTAGTCACAGTGGTAAGTTCGCTTTCGCATTGCTCAAGTTGATTCTATACTAATACATCTGTAGACGATGAGTCGGATAAGGATGACTGGTAGATGAAACCACTAAGAGTTTCAGAGCAAATCCAACCCAAAAAGACGAGTCAAGAGTGGCTTGCTTCGTGACTCAGTCACGGAGAAAGTCCGGGTAGAGAGGAGATGGTAGGAAGAGGGACAGGAATAGTAGCAAAAGGTCCACTTTGGCTATCTATTCGGTGTGATAGTGTGGTAGTTGATAGCAAGAATGATATATATATATTCTTCATGTTTCAAGACTTTTAGTGTCCTAAAAGTCAAATTTGTGCATGGCCAGGACATGGTATTTTGAAAAGGGCTCCGGGGACTACCGAAGCTGAAGGCTGTACCCGTGACAATGCGGGGTAGGGATCATGTCTGTATTGCGAGTAGCATACCCGTCTGGATGCGGAATGCGGGCAGGTGTCTTCGATTGCCGTAGTGATGACAATCAATGATGCACACGTTCAATGCCAGAATTGCAAACATGAAAACAGTGAGAATAGATCGTGAAGCCTGATCTGCCAACGCTACGAGGGAAGAAGCAGTGCGGCATACGGATATGCACAGCCTCGGTTGACGACGGCGTACCCTTCGCCCCGAATTTTGCAAGCCGAGGGCAGCTCAGCATCAACTCTGAACTTTATCAAAGGCCATCAATCTCTTCAAAAGCGCGTAGTACGACTGCCCCTTTTCTTCAGAGCTGCTTAGACGTCGTCCGGCGCGACAGAAGCTAATCAACTATGTCGGCCTTCAGTCGTAATCTGTGCAGCACCGCGTCACGAAACCTCCGCTCGCGGTCCTCCATCCTAGCCAAAGCTACAAGGCCAATTGCTCTGCAGACAACTCCCTCTACTACTCCCTTTGTCTCCCGAAGTGTAGCAGCACCAGCCTTCTCCACCATGGCCGCCCTCAAGAGCTCCGTCGCACAGACGCTGAGCAAGCGCGAGTACGACCCCGAGATCAAGGACATGGCGAACTATATCCATAACACGCCCATTGATTCCGAGCTTGCGGTAGGGTCAATTAGCCGCTTACTAGAGAATCGAAGCTAATAAAGCTCCATATAGTACGACACTGCTCGCTGGGTCTTCGTCGACACTCTGGGCTGCGGTCTTGAAGGTCTGCGATTCGAGCAGTGCAGGAAGATTCTTGGTCCCGTTGTGGAAGGCACAACCGTTCCCAACGGTACCAAGGTGCCGGGCACAAACTACCAGCTCGATCCCGTAAACGGTGCCTTCAACATTGGTGCTATGATTCGATGGCTTGACTTCAACGACTGCTGGCTAGCTGCCGAGTGGGGCCACCCCTCTGACAACTTGGGAGCCATCCTCGCAACTGCCGACTGGATCACACGAACAAACAAAGCTGGAGGAAACCTCGGCAATGGAAAAATCTTCAAGGTCAGAGACATATTGGAAGCCATGATCAGGGCACACGAAATTCAGGGATGCATGGCCCTTGAGAACTCGTTCAACAAGGTCGGTCTGGACCATGTCATTCTGGTCAAGCTTGCGTCGACAGCTGTCGTTTCCAAGATGATGGGACTCAGCGAGTCACAAACGCGTGATGCCATCTCTCAGGCCTTTGTTGATGGCCAGTCCATGCGCACTTACCGCCACTCGCCCAACACCATGTCGCGCAAGTCCTGGGCTGCCGGTGATGCTTGCCAGACCGCTGTGAACCTCGTGCTCAAGGTCATGAAGGGCGAACAAGGTCTGCCTACCGTTCTGTCAGCTCCTACTTGGGGCTTCTACGACGTCAACTTTGGTGGCAAGCCTTTCCAGTTCCAGAGAGGGTATGGCAGCTACGTCATGGAGAACGTGCTGTTCAAAGTCTCGTATCCTGGTGAGTTACACGCGAGTTTGTATTCCAATACTATACTGCATACTGACCCCCCCTAAGCTGAGTTCCACTCCCAGACCGCAGTCGAAGCTGCCCAACGCCTGAACAAGAAGCTGAAGGCGATGGGCAAGAGCGCCAAAGATATTGAAAGCGTCGTAAACCGAACCCACGAGGCCTGCATTCGTATCATCGATAAGCAGTTCAAGCCCATGGAAAACTTTGCTGATCGTGATCACTGTGTTCAAGTAAGGTTGCCCCTCATGATACACCGATCGCGCTAACGTTGTGGTAGTACATGGTCTCCACCATGTTTGTTTTCAACCGCCTTGAAGCCACCGACTACCCAGATGATAGCGAAGCTGCCACTTCGGAACTTGTCGAGTCTCTCCGTCAGCGCATCAGCTGCGTAGAAGACCCACAGTTTACCAAGGACTACCATGACCCAGAGAAGCGAACCATCTCTAATGCACTCACGGTAACGCTCAAGGACGGCACTGTCTTGGATGAGGAGGTTGTTGAAGCTCCTCTTGGCCATCGTCTGAGGCGTGAAGAAGCTAAGCCTGAGATTCTCGCAAAGTACAAGAGGCACCTCGGCCCGCACTTCCCGGCAGAGCACGTGGACAAGCTGGTCGCGTTGGCCCAAGACAGCAAATCGCTCGATAACATGGACATTGACGAATACGTTGATCTGTATGTGAAGAACTAGAAATTAAGCTTCGGACCCGCAGTCCTAGGTAGATTAACAAGTTTCGCCATGGATGTCTTGCCAAGCTAGTCATATCGTGTTTTCGCTAACGCACCTGCGCTAGGTGCATTTGCGTCGAACCTTCTGTGCTTCTATATATGTACTTTATTTATACCCCTGTCACTTTCCCGAACAGTCAATTTTCGACATCACACCGAACCGCTGCACTGACCGTGTAGTATAGTTTACAATATCCCGGCCACGTCGCGTGATCCTAGCCTACCGACATGTCTGTACCACCCTAATATCACGCGCGTTATGACGACGCTGTCGACCCTCCGGATGGGCTAAGCTCCGGCTGACAGCGACCGCAGATCAATCTTGAAGCTAGAGGCATGCATTGCGGGCCCAAGATCGAGGGCTAACTACCGAAATGGGGCGTAGAGAGTCCCCACGTTGCTCTCTTGGTCCCCACGGTGGATCCTCTGCGACCTGAGTACGCAGACGAACGCGCCGGCCGGCCGCTGGCTCGACCGGAACGAGGTTGGCTGAAGCGCGCGGAGGCTTGTTTCCAAGACTACGTATCCGCGTAGGGCTGTTTTGGCTTCGTTGGCTGCGGAAATTGGTACCGGCATCCCAGAATGCGGGTGGGTATCGTTGCAGGACTGATGGGATGATGACCTGACACTGGGCCCGTACCTGGATAAGTACCAACTCCATGCCCTCTCAGTCTAGCCTGGCATCATTATCAATCACTTTCACTTTGTCACTTTGTGCCTATCCAATCTCTGGCTGAAGTCGCCCTCCGTTATCACCCCTGCCTTGTCGTGCCGCCAACGCACTTTCGGATTATGGTATCGTGGCCGCATACCAGCACCATGTCAGAGACACCAAGGAGCCACTATTCTGGTTGCAGCACTCTTAACTCGTTGGATGCTGCAGAGAAAGGCATCTACGACAGTTCAGTCGACTTGCCTGCCCCCGGATTCGTATATCTCGAACAAAAGGGTTCATTAGTTCCAGCTGCCTCACCCGTCCATCAAGGCATAACACCATGCACGAGTGTGTCAGAACTCTCGCTTGCGTTACCAGTTGTACACAAGCCTGCTGATACCGCCAAACTACCAAACTCGGTCGAGAAACCGATAGCAGCAAAACCAAAGAAGCCCGAGTACAGTCGATGGCTCCTATTCGATCTTTGGTTCAACACTTATCGGAAGTTCTTCGTAGTCGTCGTCTCACTCAACCTGACGGGTATCATCCTCGCCGGTCTCAATCGCTTCCCATACGCGGAGAATCATCTAGGTGCCTTGGTTCTGGGCAATATGCTCACCGCTGTCCTAGTGCGGAACGAGCTCTGGATGCGCTTGATGTACTTACTCGCCATATACGGGTTGGGCGTAGGTGCACCCGTCTCCTCAAACTTTCAGCCGTCACTGACACATCTTCAAAGTGGGCACCAGTGTGCGTGAAGCTTGCCGCGACCTCTGCTCTGCAGCACGTCGGTGGCATTCACTCGGGATGTGCTCTATCCGGCACTGCGTGAGTACCTCGTCTACAAACAGCAGTGATCGTCACCCCAGACTAACAGGTTCTAGATGGCTAGTCTACAAGATCGTCGATATCGTCCGATACCGAGGGATTCAACATCCCGCCGTGATCGCCACCGGCATCATTACGAATGTACTCTTCCTGATTTCAATCAGCAGTGCTTTTCCGTGGGTTCGCAAGTAAGTTGCACCGAGCCGAATATTGTTTTGCGTGACACCGATGCTAACGCTCGTGTCAGCACCCATCACAACGTATTCGAAAAACACCATCGATTTGTAGGATGGCTCGGCCTCGCTGTATGTATCCTAATCGCAATCTGCAATGGTAGCACTCTGACCTATTTGCAGATGACCTGGGTTTTTGTCGTCTTGGGCAATTGCTACGACGTAAAGCACGGCGTGTGGAGGTCAGATAGCCACAGTCTACTCAGCACGCAAGAGCTCTGGTTCGCCGTCTTCATGACCATCTTGTGAGTGAAACATCAGGAAGATACCCTCTGATAATAGCACTAACAAAGCTCGCAGTGTCCTCCTTCCTTGGGTTACACTCCGCGAAGTGCCAGTAGAGGTGGAGATCCCATCACCCAAGGTTGCAGTCTTGAAGTTTGAACGTGGCATGCAGCAAGGCCTCCTCGGGCGCATCAGCCGCACATCGGTCATGGAGTATCACGCGTTTGGTATCATCAGCGAGGGCCGCAACGCCACACACCACTATATGATCTGTGGTGTCCAGGGTGACTTCACCAAGGCTCTCGTATCCGATCCACCAAAGACCGTATGGACCCGCCAGCTCAAGTTCGGTACGTCCCCTCTCCCGCAGCGCAGTCCCTGCTACCTACTTCTATATTCGTCATCACAAAAAAAAGAATCAATAACTAACAAACCTGTCTCAGCTGGCGTTGGCCACGCATCAGCAATGTTCACACGAGGCATCCGTATCTGCACCGGCACCGGCATCGGCGCAGCTCTCTCAACATGTATCCAGTCTCCCAATTGGTTTCTCATCTGGATCGGGTCAGACCAGGAGCGCACCTTCGGCCCGACCGTCACAGGCCTCATCACCAAGCACATTGAGCCCGAGCGCATGATCCTATGGGACAGCAAGAAGCGCGGCGGCCGTCCCGACACTATGGAACTACTGCGCGACACCTGGAAGCGCTTCGGCGCAGAGGTTATTTTTATCACGAGCAATGCTCAAGGCAACGACGAGATGATGAGAGGTTGTAAGAAGGAGGGCATGCATGCTTTCGGCACTTTGTGGGACTTTTAGGATCGGAGCGTCGGATTTATGAGAGCGATGGTGTTTTGTGGGTTTGTGATTTGCGTTTTCTTTTGGCGCGTGCGAGGAAGCGACAATGATGATGACGACGTGCGTCGAACAACGGTCAGTTACACTAGATTTAGATTGCTTGGGAAAGAGCGAGGGAGAACTGGGGGGACGCTACGCCTTGGTAAGCCGACGCGGCTTTTCGTTCTTCTTTTGTTTAGTCACTAGGCGGGTCATGTTTGCGTATTTACACTTGGAGTTCTCACCGGCGATGGTGTTCTTGGCGTATAGAAAGGGTGTCTGGTCTGGACTTGTTTTCTTTTTTGTTCTGGCAGGGCGCCATTCTTGTTTACCTTTTTAGCGACATCTAGAACTTTTGTATTGGTACTTCCACTCCAGTCTTCGCAGATTGTAGTGGTTTATTAGCAGTAGTTAACCAAAATTACATACACTGACTATTTGCCCCTGACAACCTTTCTCACAACACATGCCTTGAGAACCAAGACCTCGCTACTGACCTCGTTACGACTGCTGTCGCTGCGTCTAATCCTTCCCGTTCTGGTCTCCAGAACGGGAAGCATGGAGGACAATCCCATGTCCATCCACGCGACGATACAACGCACTTCAAACTTAGATCCCCATACCCTTCATCCCTCGGGAAGGAATCGTGACGCAAAGAAGCGACAATCCCACGCTCTAAACTTAGATCTCCATACCCTGTCATCCCTTCATAAGACATCGTGACGCCCACATCGACAATCCCAACCTCACAAGTACCGAATACCAGTACCGAAACCATCAAGCATACATACTTACCTTTCGTACGTACCGGTAGATCAACAGTCCGTTAGACCCACACAATCTGGTAAATAGACCCGACCCACCCCGACCCTCCCTCCAGCATCCCGTTCTCACATCAGCCGCACGCTTGGCCTGTAAGTACCATCCCGAAACTCCATCCCTCGGCGCCGTTCGGGGAGGCGAGGGATGAAAACCTGGGAATTCAGCCTTGTCGCATCGGTTTCCCATTATCTTGATCGTCTTCTTGGGTCTCTTGGAAACCAATCAGCGCTGTCCGGTGTTCACCGGTCGTTGATGTCAGCATGGCGAAGGGAATTGTGAAACATAACTTACATTTCACTCATGATCGACCGTGGTTCATCCAGAATACTACCTTGGAACGCGACATCATGAGCCCAATAGCCGCTTTGTAAGAGTTTGAACAAGATAATCGACTGGTAGGTAATGGGTATATTGACAGTCTCGGAGTGGTTGCTATGTCCGATGGATGATCCGATGCGGTCATAGTGTTCATGATCGACTGGCGATCAAAGGAATCCCTAGTGTACCCGGAATGCTGCGGATAACTAACAGCAGATCGCCTGCCACGTTCATCTTGGTCCTCGCGTTCATTACAGTACTTGCTGACCTTGGTTGCTATCGGCATGTGTTTGCGAGGGAGGTCGGTCGCGTCCGTCGGTGAGGCGAAGTTTTCCAATCTGACCAAAATACGTGCTTATGCACGCTTTGTAGGTAGGTACCTCGGTACGGTACTTGCCAAAGTTTTATCGCAAGTGCCGAGGAGGCTGGTTGGCGATGCAGCGATCGCCGACGTTGAAAATAGATTAACACGGGTCCGGAGGCTCGGGCGCGGGTGGTGTCAGAGAGACACAGGCCTGTCCATCGTATCCAGGAAAGCATACCTGGGCATCGCTTACAACACTACTCAAATGACTCAGTGCGGCTCTATGACTCGTGGGGCGAACGTGCACACTACACATGGTGTGAGCGAAAGTTTGTAAGATACATGTGGTAATGGCGTCAAGTTGGTCTTGTGTGTGGCTGCATGCATGCATGTACCTAAAGTGTAATTGTGGCTGGAGCTTAGTGTGGTAGCAAAAACTTGGAACTCAGGCCTGAGGCAGCGTAGTCGGGCTGCAGTGCATCTTGTTTGTTTACATCATTGTATCGTTCGATGTGCAAAAGCAAAAGGCGGGTTGCATAAGGGAGGTGCGTGGCGGCGGATCCTTCGGGTACGTTCCCGTCCCACATGTTCAGAGAGACAGGTACTTACCGGTAATCAATTCCGAGGATGCGTCCCTTACTCCGCCTTGATCTACCTGCCAAACAGTAAGAAAAAGCAAAGCTCTACATGAATCTGTGCATGTGAGTCTCTCCTTCCTTTCAGCGACGCGTAGCCTGACGTCAAGTTCGTATCGAGGTCCACCAGTCTTTGGAGAAAGCCGTCTCCGTCCACGCCGTCGAGGTAAGACAAACTCGTCAACGTATGCGAGAGATAAGGAAATTACGGTTCTACCTCGTTGCCATTTTCCCTCAACCTTGCTGGGGTGAATCACATGCCTCGGTATAGCAGCTAGGTAGCATTGGAAGATTTTCACTTCTGTTTCCGGCATCTTTAACATGGATCCCGACGGAGGACTCAGTTCGGGAGAACGTGGAATCAGTTCGGAAAACCTGGGAGATCCTCATTATGGCGAGACATGCCTCTGGACAAGTAAAGCGGTCCAGGTATCACAGGCCATATCGACCGACCGCTGTTTACGAATGCACACCTACGGTAATCGGCATACAAGTCCAACGGGCTCAACCAAAGTCCGAGAAGCGAGCTGCAATTTGACATGTTGATGATCCTGCGGCCCTTCCGTGAATGCCGTCTGCACAGCCCGATATCTATTCGTCCTTCGTGTCGCTGATGGTGGTGTGAGCATCAGTGCATGCTGCATGTATTAGGATCGAGCACCGTGGCGAGACGGTTTAGGCATCCGCCGCGAAGAATAGCGTGGCCTTCGTGGCGTTTCGCTTATTAAGTGGGAGCCGGTGGTGGAGCTCAAGAGCGATCCTGCCAGACTCCGCAACAATCAATCGGATCGGCATGATTGATTCCTATCTAGGTTAAAGGCTGCCTAATAAAGTAACTCTTTAACCTATATAGGAATCAATCATGTCGATCGATTGATTGTTGCGGAGTCTGGATCCTGCTGATAGCAGTTCGATTGGAAAAGGGGTACTCTGGTTGACTGCTTGGGCAGCAACCTGGAATGAGACCTATCAGGTTCCGCTCTTGAGTGGATTGTTTTGATCCTGGAATATTGGAGCTATGCATGATATCACGTCTAGGTCGACCTCAGGTGTGAGTCAGGACTTTCTCTTGGTACCTAGGTACTCTGGAAGTCGAAAGGTAAGCCGTGTGTATAGCCTCCATGACGATATATCACACAGTGCGATAGATAAGCTTTGGAGCGTGAATCACGTAGGAGACCCCAAGGGTGCCTAAAGCTTTGGTCAACAGTATGTACTCCTCGCAAGTTAGATTATTGATAAGCATAAGGGGGCTATTGTTAGTAATTACGTCAAGTTCTCCTCAGAGTCTTGGTTGGCGTTACGCATTAAGATTCTCGCTGTTCTGGTAGCTAACTACCTCGCTGTGTCTCCGTTCACAAAGACATCGGAGGCAATTACAGAAGATGGTAGCTTTCGCCAGCACAATATGATAGCTGTAGTTTAAGCCTTCTCTAAAATCCTATCATATCCGGATACTCTAAAAGAATGAGCGGGGAGCCCCAGTGCATAGTAAGAGCAGAACAGTATTTCCTAGTTTAAACAGAAGCGGAGGATATCTAATGTGAAGGATCATCACAAGACAACCGAGAAGGAAATGCTTATTGAATCACGCCAGAAATTTTCTCAGGCACTCTTTCCTCACGTTTACTAACTAGTTGTTGGCAGCGATAGAACACCCGATAACATATCTCAGCTCGAAGTCTAGCCTTCTAGAAGAGCTATTCAAGATTTAGCTGGATGGTTTATGTCTCAGTTCATACGAGCCGAAGTGCTGCTCCATCTTTATCGCATAAGGTTCGGTCAAGCAAAGTTACGTCAACATATCTGTGTTTTGCGCCACAGGGCCTTTCTTTTAGTCCGCAGGCAGCCCAACCATAGGGTCTTACCTTACTACTCTGAACAGGATATTTCTTGTCTTGCGTACTGCCCTAAGTTATCTATTCAGATATATGTAGCCAATGTAACACCTATGCGAGACGTTATACAAGCTTAGCGTGTTGTAAAGAAGCTACTGCCTCCGGCAGACGATCGGTGGACGATTAGTGGTATTAGAATGACAGTTTGGGGTATGTAACGAGTGACCATATCAAAGTCATTACCTATAATCGTTTAGGAGCAGTAGTTTTAGGGGTTAATGTCATGATGCGGGCAACTACGCTATAGCACGAATTACCTCGCGCATGATATACTCTAGAGCTTGCGAGCTATCAAACAGTATGTTGAATACAGAATTAGGAGAAACTTTCAATATACCTAGATAAGGTAGAAATGCATATTGTTATCGGACAAAGTCTTCATGAGAAGTAGAGAATAAGAATAGGAACGGTCGTGAGACGACGACTTGGAGAAGACCAGTAAAAGTAAACAGCTTTTGCGAGGATAGATGCACTATGAAGACGTAGATCCAATTTTGTGTCAGTCGTGCCTTATGAATTACACAGCGCAATCTATAGCGGACAGATAGTATACTTCTAGCCTGCCTTCACCCCCCTTCTTTCCACTGTGCTAGTACCCGCTTATCACCCCTGACTGATTCCGTTCCGTCACTGCAGGTAGCAAGCAACTAATTTCACAACTCCGGCTCTCTTCTTGCGTTGCTTGTCGTCGGCAACATCGCATGCTCTGGCGAATGCGGCAAAAGATTCCTCTGTAACACAGCACATTTCCTACACGCACATAAGTTACTTCTAGAATATTTAATTTATAAGATAGACGTCTTACCCAGTCGTGAGTTTTACCTGCGCTGTTCTTCCCAGTTGAGGTTCCGCTGTTGTATTGTCCTCCAGCAGCCGTGCATTGATCTTGAATATGGGACCTGCCGTTGCATTTGACTGAAAATGCTTTACCAAGATCTACAACCTCTGCAAGCACTGATTAGCTTATCGCAGCGAGAAGGATTACGACGGCGGAGAAGAGCATATTTATAAGATAAGGTTGGATGAGTGGATGGGTGGTAGGGAAGGAAGCCGTCATCTTTTATATCAGGAGGCGATCAGACCACCAACTTATCAGATACTCCATCAGGCTACTAATTGATTATCACGGACCAAGCTGCAATAATCGGCCCTAATGGCACCGGCGTCGTCAAACGACATATTTTCATACAGGAGTTCTATCGAGCCTTCATGCCTGCCTGTTTCCGTTCCATCGCTATAGCCAGCAGGGACCAATTATCGCATATCCGGCTCTCTTCTTTCCTTCCCTGTCGTCAGCAACGTCGCATACTCTGGCAAATACTCCAACAGATCCCTCCGGAACACAGCACGAATCCTACACGCACATAAGTTACTTCTAGATTATTTGATTTATGAGATAGACGTCTTACCAAGCTACCTGTCCTTGAGCCTTGCCAGGTCTCTACGGGTATGCTGCGGAAATCTCCTCCAGCAGCCGTGCAATAATTAGGAACAGTTTTCCTGCCCTGGCATTCGACATTATATGCTTTATCAATCTCTACAACCTCTGCAAGCGTTGATTGGCTTATCGAAGCGAGAAGGAGTGCAAACGAGACAGAGAAGAGCATATTGATGATTGTGGTTGGGTGGTTGAGTGGTAAGGAAGGTGTGTGGCAAGCGTGCGTATTGACCTTAGACACCGTCATCTCTTATATTAGGGGGCTATCTAACCACTTTAAGCCACTACCACTAGGACTAACCTTCACCCAACCTATCAGATACTTGAACTTCCACAAGTGCTTATACCAACACGTCGAGTGGGTCGCCGACCGAATCGGTCCAATTGGCGTCAGCTTACAGTAGAAGAACAGACCGCACTGCGGCTACTGAATATGGTATCCACTTACTTCCGTAGCTCTAGGTATCAGCAAGATCGACAGGATTGCGTGTACAGTATATTCACACATGGCCTATCATGCTAGCAATGCCCCCCCCCCTGATATCGTCTTGTTCTGGCTTTGGTGCTAATGGGTGTTTTCATCTCTACTTCCTAGCTCCAAGGAATTACTGTCTTATCCGCTGCCAAGTTACATCTACCTTTGAGTTGAGGAAAGTAGTAACGTCAAGTGAAGTTTGAAGCACCTGGTTTTGGTAAATTCCGCCTGAGTACTCCTACGCCCTCGTCAAAAGCATGGGTGACACAATACCCCTTCCCTTTGTTTTCCTATACCTCAGTGTCTTCCAATAGTTGACGGATTTGATCTACTTTACAAAACGCCATGAGGTTCCCTAGTCGCCTGTTGGACAAGCGACTCCTCTTGCACCATACCACATCTTTCTGCATATGTACGAGATCAGGATGTGTGGTGTTTCGTTCAAAGTACTCTACCGCCCATATACCCAGAGCTTTTGCGTCAAGAACCTGATTGATCACCGTCACGTTGTTCGGGAAGAGAATGCTAGGACCACGAAGTGGTGCAATACCGCGGTGGAGACGGTCCGGTGTCTGTGTTTCGAGTACAAAACCAGGCCATGCCAGCTTACGTCGTCCGTCAAATTTGGTTTAGATAATTTTATCAGGTTCAGATCCTAGTTCGGCCAATTGATATGGAGCGCGATTCAACGTCCTTGGGTATAGGGAGTCAAAGATCTTGATGGAGAGAGGGGCTGGACATTTCTAGAAATTGGGGTAGATAAGTGGTTCACTCCACCCTCCTCAGAAGCACAAGTCACTCTCAATGATTGCAAGGTTGCATTATGGTTAGACTTCCAGATAGCACGCAGCGGCGATGATGCCAGACAGGCGTCTAGATTATAAGCTTGGTTGGGTCCAGGCTATACTACACTCATCGGCACCGACGATGATTAGATCAAACTTCGACAGGATGTACATCTCAGATGGAGCAGATTCCATGACGCAGTATGTATTAATGACAGCTGGGTCTCGACGTATAATGCAACGCGACTCAAATTGATCATCGCATAACCGGTTGGATCAAAGCTACTTCCTTATCTGTCCTTCTTATCTGGTCCCACAGTTCCTCTCAGCTTGTTCAGGTTGAACTGTGACGTGAAGTAATAATCAAGCACTGAAGTCGGCAAAAATGTCCACGCAAACCATACCAACCAACTCATCTTTCCCTCCCATATCCACCTCTTCTTGCTGAGCAGTCCATCACCAGCAATCACCTGCTTAACACAACTGCTTGCATACTGTCTCGTGTTCATGCCCAACTCCTGGCTATGCTTCAATCTCCTTTCATACTCGGCTGCGAGCGGTGCCATCAACGAGCCGAGTGGAAGCTTTCGGTCATTGCGCGCAATGTTGGATATGACTCCGCCAGTCACAACAGTGATGACACGGACGCCGAGGGGTGCAAGCTCGACGCGCAATGTATCGGAGTAGGCATGTAATGCGGCTTTGGACGCGTTGTACGGAGCTCCCCAGATGTAAGGCATGATTCCAGCAATAGATCCAGTTTGGGCAATTGTACCCTTTGCTTCGACCAATAGTGGTATGAAGGTGCTGCACATCTTCATCACAGAGAAGAGGTTCGTCTGGAAAAGATCCATTAATTCGTCCTCGTCGTAATCGAGCGCTGGTATGACATAGTTGCGCCCAGCATTGTTGTATAGTATGTCAAGTTTGCCTCCAGTGATTTCGGTAACGCGTTTGAACAGTTCCTGTATCGATTCGTTGCTGGTGACCTCGAGAGGAAGGTAGGTAATGTTCTTGTGAGGTGAGGTGTACTTGGCGGGATCGCGGACTGTACCCAAGACCTGGAAGCCTGGAAAAAATTAGTGAGTCTAGTAGGGGCAGTTTTTTATCAGCAATAGTTTACCTCTTTCAGCAAATTCCAGTGATAGGTAATGCCCAATGCCGCCAGGCGTACATCTACTTTTGCATCAACTCGGCTTTCCAGGTATTGGAACCGTCTTCAATGGTAATGCTGCTCACCCTGTAATTAGCGCATATTGCGTTCTCTTTCCTTCAACCATGTTAAGTACTTTCGTTAGGTGTGTGTGTGCAAGAATCGAGTCGATGTACGGAGGTGCCTTTCAAAAGTTTTGTCTAACGCTAATCTCGGCGCTTCGGCACGGCTCTTCTTAGCGCAACTCCTGTGATGGGCTAGACCCATGTATGCCTACTTGTAGGCTGAGAGAGAGCAGCGCAGTCATGCCTCCTACATAAATATCGACTACGCAAGCTGAATCGCGTTGATTCAACTTGTGCATGCCTTTTGCGCAAGCGTGGCGCATGTAGTCGTGCCGCTAGTCTTATAGACTCACGCCCGTTACAACTCCTACCTTTAAGCTAAGCTGTTAATTAGTCTACGTACTAGATATCTTCTTACTATACCTGCCTATACTAATTCATATACCCGCACCTTAGTCATGGCGTTAAAGTTACCTACTATTAGCAAGACTACGTTATAAGTCTCTAGGCTAACTACTAGACTCCGCAACAATCAATTCAATCCGGTCACTCTCCTAGACCCACTTACCTATCTAGGTAGGGCTTAAACTCCTATAGGTAACTACTAGGCTTAAAGCGGTAATCAATCAATCCAATCTGAACCTTCTGTGAAGGTCGTCCGAAGATGATCTTGGGTTGGTTCTCGGGGATAGAGTGATGCGATGGACACGAGGGTGTATAGCACGATTGGTAGATCGATGTAATATACGGGGAGTTGAGAATCAAGTACTAATCCTTAGATTTCGAAGTTGAACACAATGAACCGTAAGGGCTCATTGCCTATTGTTATATACTAACGAATGTCCTATGTCCTATACGTCCTACGTTGTCCTACACTGTCCCATGCGTGGGACCTCGTGGTACATCGTGGGATTCCTTGGGACACACGTGACATGTCCCATGGTGGCGTTCCGCCAAGCTTTGTGGGATGCGGGGCAGGCTTACGTCATTGGTCCTTGTACACCTTTGTACGCCTTTGTCTGAGAAGGGATTCCGACAAGGTCTCCATCCTTCTGCCCTTCATATCTTGCACTGTGTCCTCTCCTTAGGTTCGTAACACTATCCTCCCTCTCCTAATCTCATGTCCTCATGAGCTGACGTGTCATGGTTTCCAGAAGTACCGCCCATCGTCATACCCTTGGTGACCGAATCAACCTAGTCGGTACAATCGCGATGGTGTCTTGTCAATATTGTGCGAAGCGGGGGCTCGAGTGTCGGATGTCGTCGTTAAAGAAAGAATGTGGAAATTGTTATCGCAACGGTGTGAAGTCGTGCGTTCCTGTGGAAGTTCCTGTCCCGAACTTTGAAAAGTTAGACAAGGAGATGGCGCGTCTTGAACAACAAGAGGCCGAAGCGGATGCTGCAGAGTCTGCGGCATTAGATGCTTTGATGGCTGCGCGTGCGAAGAAGGATCGTCTTCGTAAGCAGCGTAAGCAGTTAAAGCGTCGTGAGCAAGAATAGGTTGATGAGTCGGGAAAGTTTGTTGAGGATATCGAGGCGTTGGAAGCGGTCGAGGCGTTGAATCGAGAGGTAGCGCATCTAGAAGACGGTCTTATGCCTGGTACTTTGGCATTAGATTGGGGCGTCTTCATGCCTACTTTCTCTGGGGATGATTCCGAGTTCGCCGGTCTTGATTACGGCGGTACTGCGCAAGTAGCTGGCGGCAGTTCGTAAGGTTTGTGTCCGGTTCCTAAGTGTTCTCGCTGTCTAGGTATCCTAACCATTTGACTAGGTATTCTGTGCCGTTGTCCACAACTCTGTGTGTGACAATGTTCTCGACTTCAAATTCGTTTTCTTCTTCCGTTTCGTAGTGGAAGGTTTTCTGTAATGGCGTATCTGGGTGTGCTGGTTCTAAGAGGCTTACGTGGAATCTGGGATATATTCTAGCGTCTGGTGGAAGGTCGAGTGTGTACGTAACTGGTCCTTTTCGGTTGAGGATCAAAAATAGTCCAACTTTGACGTTGTCGAGTCCTTTGCTTAGTCGCTTTGTGCGAAGATTCTTCGTGCGTAGATAAACTTTATCCCCCCTCTTTAGCTGAGGTGCCATTTTTCGTTTCTTGTTGACATATAAAATGCTTTGACGTTGTGCTGTCTCGAGTTTGCTCTGTAGCAACTCATGTACTGCCTTCAGCTCCTCAGCTGTAGCGATGGCTGCTTCTGTTTTCTAGCTCGGAAGTGTGCGTGTAAAGAGATTTGGGTGTCTCCCGTAGTTTGCATAGAACGGAGTCTGTCCTGTAGACTCTGAAAGCTTGTTATTGTATGCCATTTGTGCTATAGGCAGAAGCGAAACCCAGTTGGTTTGCTGATAATTAACGTATATCCTGAGATATGCTTTCATGGTTCTGTTCGTTCTTTCTGTCTGTCCGTCTGTCTGCGGATGAAACGCTGTTGATAGCTTGCGTTTTGTACCAATCGCGGCCAAAAGTGTCGTCCAAAAGTTTGAAGTGAAGAGCTTGTCTCTGTCGCTTATGATTAACTTTGGTATGCCGTGATGTCTAATAATTCGATCGTTGATGATGTGAGCTAGGTGTACTGCCGTGAAATCGTTTCTGAACGGGATGTACTCTGCTTGTTTTGTGAATCGATCGATTACAACGAGTATTGCGTTGTATCCTATGTTTGTCGCTGGGTCTCTTGAGACTGGTAAACCTGTGATAAAGTCCATAGAGATGTCTGCCCAAGGTTCTGTGGGTAGCTCTAATGCTTGCATCTCGCCGTAAGGTGCGTGTGTGTCGTGTTTGTTCTTCTAACATTCTGCACATTTTGCGATGAATAAGGTAACCTTTTCCTTCATTCCTGGGAACTCGTAGTTGCGTCTGATGAGTTCCATTGTTCTGGTAATGCCCGGGTGACCGTGTACAGGGTCGTCGTGGTGTTGCTGAATAATTGCTTCCTGCAATTCTTCCGGTACATTGTTTCCGATGTGGAGGATGGCGTTCAGCGTTTTTGCTGGTCCTAGCGATCCGTCTTCGTTAACCCTGAGTATCGCGGTGTCGATGACTTCCTTAGTGCCTGCGATATCTGGTCTACGGCTGAGAGCGTCTGCTCTACCGTTTTCTTTTCCTGGTGTGTACACAATCTTGAACTTGTATTGTCCTAGTAGTTCTGACCATCTTACTTGTCTGCGGTTGAGTACTTTGGTAGTCGTAAAGTTCACTAGATTTTTGTGATCTGTGTATATCGTAAGTTCCGAGCAGCTTTCTGCGTATACTCTCCAGTGTTGTAAGCATGCGACAATAGCTAGTAGCTCCTTGTCGTGAACGTCGTATCGTTCTTCTAGTCCTGAGAATTTGCGAGAGTAGTAGGCGATGGGGTGCCATTTGCCTTCGTGCAATTGACTTGCGCATCCGCCTAGCGCGAGATCCGATGCGTCGGTCTCAAAGCGTAATAGGTGTCCTGCTTAGAATATTCGAAAACATAGTGGTTCTGTGCTTGCTTTCTTAAGCGTTTGGAATGCGTTCTCTGCTTCCTTGCTCCACTTAAAGAGTACGTCCTTTCTTGTGAGTTTTGTCAAAGGGATGGCGATGTTTGAGAAGTCCTTAATGAACTGTCGGTTGAAGTTCAAAAATCCTAAGAAGGACTGTATCTGTACAACTGTTGTCGGTGTTGGCCAATCCTTGATAACCTGAATCTTTTCTTCGCTCATTTGTACTCCGTCCGCTCCTACTACATAGCCTAAGAAGTTGACCTTAGTCTTGTGAAATTCACACTTCTCTGGTTTAAGTCGGAGGTTGAACTGCTCAAGGGCCCTTAGTACCGTCTTGACATGTTCAACATGGTCCTCTAAAGTCTCGGAGTAGACGAGAATGTCGTCTAGATAAGCTATAACAAAGATGTCTAGATGTGCTCTTAACACATTGTTGATGAGTTCCTGGAACGTTGCTGGGGCGTTCGTGAGCCCAAACGGCATAACTGTGTATTCGTAGTGTCCGTATCTTGATCGGAACGCCGTTTTCCACTCTTCACCTTTCGCTATGCGAATTAGGTAGTATCTATCTCGAAGATCTAATGCTGTAAAGACCTCTGCGCGAGATAATCGATCCCGTAATTCTGTAATATTCGGTAGGGGGTATCGATTCTTGATTGTGATGTCGTTGAGCTTGCGATAGTCTACACATAGTCGTAGTTTTCCGTCTTTCTTCGGGACAAACATGATTGGATATCCTGCTGGTGACTTCGATGGTCGGATATATTTCTTTGCTAGACTTGTCTTGATGTAGTCGCGTAACGTGCTTAATTCTTTTTCCGATAGTCCGTATATTGGGCCGAAAGTCGGTTTCTTTCCTTCCTGTAAGACAATCTTGTGGTCCTAGGGTTGGTGTTTTGGCAATGCTTGTTCATCTGCCACTTCCCGGAATAGATGTTCGAATTCTTTGTATTCTGCGGGGATCTCAGGAGTTGCGCGTTTCTCCAAAACTCTAGTCTGTCGACCCGGTGGCTCCGTTCCGGCGTCTGCTAAGTCGGACCCTTGTTTCTTAAGGCCGTCCTTTGTCGAGGCTCGCTTTTTCTTTGCGATGTTATTCAGTTTCCTCTCATCTACCATCGTACTCTGACAATGCGTAGGCTGGCTTGTAGTTGCGTCCGTTCCACAGCACTCAAATGAGAACATCTTCGACTTCCAGTCGATCCGTGGGTTGTGTTCTCGTAACCATGGAAGTCCTAATATGATGTCGTGGGTAGCTAGTCCGAAGACATCTAGGTCTATCTTCTCTTGGTGTCCTTGGATGTTGAGCGTCACTTGTCTGACCTCGTGGGTGATCTCTTGTTCACCTGGCATTGGCTCTCCGTTGGCCACATGTAGTGGGTAAGCTTCTTGTTTCCGTAGTGGCTTCAGTCCGGCTGAAGACGCTGCGTGCGCTGAAACGTAGTTGGCTTGTGATCCCGAATCTACTAGTGCCTTCATCCACCTCCCTTCAAGCTTCACCTAAAGCTTGATGAGGTCTAAGGAGTTTACTGAGTTAATCTCCTTGCCGGGCCGCTCTGGGCCGGGTGCTGGCCTAAAAAAGCCTGATTTCCAAATCCATGGAATCCTTTGGCTATCGCATGAAGGTCGCATTCTTTGCTAAGGCACGTTTGCCAGTTGGGTTGTTGACATTCCCAAGCGTCTCCTTCATCGTATTCTTTTAGCCATACTGTTTGCATCTGATCAATTTCTTCGGGGTTGTCGTGACCTGGGAAGTATGTCTTTTCCCTTTTGTCCTATAAATGTATTGGGCATAGGTCGTTTTTGCAGTCGAAGAATTGCCACTTGCAGCGGTACGATCGTTTGGTTTCTTCTGGGAACCATCCTGATCCGGACTTATCCGAGTAGTGTACTCTGCAATGGTCGTGAATGCATGTAACCCATGATAACTTCTCATGTTCTGGGTTCCTAGCAGAGTTGCTATCAGTCAGTTCAGTCAGTCCGGAGCTCTCTGGACTGACTGAACTGACGTCCTGAGGTCACTGAACTGGACTGGACTGACTGCCAAGACTTTTCAATTAAACTAAAACTGACTGACTGAACTGACGTCGCCGCGGCCTGCGGACTGACTGGACTGACTGAACTGAGTTACCTGACGTCGAACTGAGATAAATGCTCCTGTACTTTTGAGATTTCTTCCTCTGATAGTGTGCGCGCTAGCCCAGAAGCTGAGGTAGTTGTTGGCTGTATACCAAGCCTCTTCCAGCTCTTCAAGCTCTGCAAAGCTGAAATAAGCTCTGGCTTCATATGGAGTCTCCGGGTGCCTAACATGTCGCCAAGCTCGCTGAAAGTCCGCTCACAGTCTGCCGCTGCTGCTGGTATTGTTAGGACGTCAATAGCGAACTTTGAGAGTATAGGGAACTGCCCAGCAACTGACTCCCAGTATAGAAGCGGATTAAGAGA